CTCTTTTACTATTAACTTTAATTTTTATTAAAATATTCTTATATAAATTTTAAATACTTATTAATCTTTAATTAAAGTCTATTATATTATTAAATTAATATTTTTATTCTATTAATATTAAAATTATTATTAATTAAATATATATTTATTAATATCTAAAATAAATTTAAAGTTATATTAATATAATTTTAGTTTTTTCTCTTTTTCTTTAATTAAATATAATAAACTTAATATATATATTCTAATTATATTATATCTATATTATTATACTTCTTTCTAACTATAAATATAATAATTTATTTAATTATTTAGATATCTTTATTAATTATATATATTATATTAATACTCTAATATAAGTTTATTTTATTTAATATTATAACTATAAAATAAACTATTAAGTTTTCTTTATTAAAATAATAGAATAACTATAATTAATAAAGAGATTACCTTTTATTATTAATAATTACTTTATAGGTTATTAATATTAATTAAAATTTAAATAAAAGTAAATACTTTACTCTCTACCTATTATATAACTAATACTTTAATTAAATAGTATTCTTTTACTTATATAGTTAAAGTATTTATAAATTTAGGAATAATTAAAATTCTAAATAAATAACTCAATTAATTAAAATACTACTTTAATTATAACTTTTATAATACTTAATTTCTTTATATACTTTTATATACCTATAAGTTATTATATTAGTATTCTTTTTCTTTCTTTATCTATTATTAACCTCCTTAACCACCTTAAACAAGGTTTATACCTAGACTAAATCACTAATAAAAATAGACCACTAAAATATATAAATAGCTTTAAAGGAATACTCTACCTAACCTTTATATAAGGACTAATATATAGGTAGGTCTTAAGGAAAGAAAATCTTAGAGAAAGGAATAAAGGATAAAAATCACTTAATAGAGAGAATTTTTAAGAATAAGAGAAAAAGAGTGGAAATAGTTTCTCTAAAAAAAAGACTAAAATAATAAAAAAAAGACCTCTTTTATAAACCCTTCACTAAAAATTCCATATGACCCCCTTTTCCTTACACCCTACTATAATATTTAATATATAAATATAAAATAATAAAATAAAGTATTTAAAGAATATAATTAAATAAAAAATATAGGTTTTATAAATAAGTTTAAAACTTTTAACTTTTTTTTAATTAAAAATTAAATAAATAACTATTTATTTTAATAATTAAATATTATTTTATAATTTAAATTAATAAATACTATATTATTAATTCTTTTTTATTATTATTAAAAGGTAAAATTTTAAAATTAAATTTAAAATTTAATTAAACTTATTTAAAAGTATTTAATTATAAAATTTATATAATAACTATAAATACTTAACTTAAAAAAGATATTAATACTTAAAACTATAAGCTTAAATTAATTATTTTATAAAATATTAATTATTAAATATTTATTAAATATAAATTCTTTTATTAAAAATAGTTAATATATAAAATATAATCTTTAAGAAATATTAAATATTTAATAATAATTCAAAAGGTTTTATTAATAAACTTTTATTATAAATATTAAATAATTAATAAAATAAATAAAAGAATATACTTTTAAATAATAATAAAATATTAAAATTAAAAAAATCTTCTTAAAATTAAAAGTTTAGAAAAACCTAATAAAAGAGATTTAAAAAAATATAAAGAAAATAAAAATAAATAACCTAAAATAAATTAATAAAATAACTTTTATATAAATATTAAGTTTATATTACTCTTTATACTACTTTAATTACTATTATTAATATTTTAATATATATTATATAAATATAATTAAATAAAAATTCTATTAATTATTAAATTTCTAATAAATTTATTATAATAAATTATATTCATAATTAAAATAAAAATAATATTTATAATAAAATTAAATAATAATATTTTAATAAAATTTAAATTAAAAATATTTATATTAAAATAAAAATATTAAAAGTAACTTTTAAAACTATTAAAATAATATAAAAATTTAATAAACTATTTATTTAATAATCTATTTAAATAAATTAAATTTAACTATTTATAAAGTTATATTAAAATAAAATTTAAATTAAACTTTAAAAAATCTTTATATAATAAAAAAGTAAATCTAAACTATATATAAATATGTATTTATAAATTTAATAAATATAATATCTTTAAAAATATAAAATATAATTCATTATTAAAAGGAATTAATAAATATAAGGATAAATATAAAAATTTATATTATAACTTTAATAAAATAATTATTTTATATATTAATTACTATTATTATTAAGTTTAATTTTAAATTAATTTAATATAATATAATAAATATATTTATTTATATTTTAATTAATTAAAATATTTTTATAAAAGTACTTTATAATTATAAAAAAGATATTATTTTAATATTTAATAAAATATTATATAAATTATAAATCTTATTATTATTATAATAAAAGAAATTTATAAAATATTTATTAAACTTAAATATTAATAAATATTATATAAACTCTATTATTATAAAAATAATAATATTTTAATCTTTTATATTAATAATATTATTATAATATATTAAAAATTAATAAAAATAAGTTAATAAACTTATTTAATAACTTTAAAAAAGTATAAAATTAATAAAAGAATTTAATTTAATAGTTCTTAAATATAAAAATTTATAAAAATTACTTAAATTAATAAATCTAATTAATTTAAATTATATATATAAAAGAATTATTAAAATAGTTAATAAAAAAACCTTTCCTATAAAGTCCCTATAATAATTAAAAATTAAAACTATAAACTAATACTATAAAATCTATTAAAATTAACTTATATTAATAAAAATTAAATTTATATTATTTATTATAATATTTATTAAACTAAATATTATATTTATTATATTAAAGCTTATATAATTCCTTATAAATTTAAATTAAAAATATTATAATATAATAAACTAAATATTACTTTATTTTAAAAATATTAAATATCTTACTCTTTACTTTATAAATATAAATAAATTTATAATTATAAATAACTCTTTTTTATTAATAATACTATTAATTAAAATTTTAAATATTTATAATAAAACTATTTAAAAAATAATTAAATAAAAATTAATAAATAAAATATAATTATAATATTAATAACTAAAATAAAACTTCTTACTTTAATATAAATAATAAAAATATTATTTATAAATAAATTTCTTATAAAACTATTAATAAACTTAAATAAAAATTAAAATTAAATATAATAATATATAAATTATAAATCTAATAAATTCTAAAATTATTTAACTTAAAATAAAATTATAATATATAAATATTTATAACTATTAATTATAATAAAAGGTTTAAAAAGTACTATTAATATAAAATATACCTTATTAACCTAAATAATAATAAATAAATTAATTAAAGTATTACTAATTAAAAATAAAATAAATTTCTCTAATAATTAAATTTAAAAATATTAATTATTAATAAAAATTAAAACCTATTAAAAGATTCTATAAAATATAAATAAAAGTAGTAAAGGGTTAAAATCTAACTTATTATAATATATTAATTTAAAAGTATATTAAATATAAAAATTAAAATTTACTATAAAAGTATAATAAATAATTAATTTATAATAAATTTATTATTAAATAATAATTTATTATAAATTTATAATAAATTTATAAACTATTATAATAAATATTTAAAATATTTACTTTTAATATAATAAAACTAACCTTTATAATATAAAAATTTATAAAATAAAATAAGTAATATAAAATTATTAAGAATTATAATTTCACTATAAAATTACTTATAATATAATATTAAATCTAATAAATTAACTTATATAAATAGGAAGGGTTAACTTATATAAATAAACTTTCCTCTATTAAATAATAAACTTAATATAATTACTTTATATTTAACTATACTATACTATATTATAGCCCTACTAAGTGACTTTCTTAAGGTGTTAACTTACTTTTTTTTAGTAACTAACTAGTGAAGGGTAGGGGCTGAGGGGTAGTAAGGAGCTATTATTAATTGAGATAAAATATATAGTAAGACTAGATGTGCCTTGTTAAGTAATAGGCAAGATGGCCGAGCGGTCTAAGGCGCGAGACTCAAGAGTTAATCTCTTCCTGCAAAACAGGATTTCTCGTATCGAAAGGTGCCGGGGTTCGAATCCCCGTCTTGTCAACTAGTTGTCTAAAGAACATAATATTTTTTATTAATTTTAAAGTTAAATAACTTTTTATCATTAGGCATAAAACTAAGAAGTTTTATAAATCTACTATATTGTCACACTCCTATGCCTCCTTAAGTGATTCCTTTATATAGGTATAGACTTATTAGTTGTAGTTAAATCCTATTTTATAGCTGTAAAGCTGTTAGGCCTACACATCCAGATGTGCAGCAATGGAATATGGTTGCCTTACCTGCAGTCTGTTCTAACCACAGCTGTCAAATCGCTCAGTGGTCGTCTCGGCTTCGCGCAGCAGGCTAGATCTCTTTTTGTAGTTATAGCTTTAGCTACCTGCTTGCTGGCTGTTGCTGAGGGGTAGGCTAGGAGCGAGGAGCTTAGTGCGGGGCACGATAGCTCTGGTGGTCTGCTTCCTCTCGACGATAACCACCCCCGTTGCACTATCATTGCTCGGCATTAAAACAAAGCATCTGTAATATATCTATTTACTGCAAGACCTCCATGCCCAGGGTGGACAACGTGAGCGAGTTAGGCACGAGTCTCATGCTAACACAAAAACAACTACACAACCCATAGTGTGGCGTAATGAATGAATTGGCAGGGACTACTTTGATCTGAAGAGCTATCTAGAGAAATCACCCTCCATTACAGTCTAGAGCAGAGAGAAAGAGAACGGGAACACCCAAAGTAAGAGCACTCTCGTCCCCAGTTCCTCGCCTGCCTATGAGGCATCCAAGACCCAGCCCCGTCCTGTTCGGCGCAGCCGTGTCTGGTGCCCGACAAGTTCTAGTAAAAGCAGCGCGCGGAGCTGATGATGTCGTTGAACTGGTAGTCGGCCAGGTTGGAGATTCCAGGGTTGCCAACGTTGTAGATCTTGCGGCCGCTCTCGTCGCAGCCGCGCTTCTCGTAGACGTGGCAGGTGACGCCCGGGTCAGGGCCCCACGAGCTGATGCTGTCCTCCCAGGGGTTCACAAAGTCCGCTGTTTGGCATGTCTTCTGTCAGCGACGTTTCTATGTTGTTCGGGGTGCTATGAGGGGTCGCGGCGAGACCGCTGGGGAGGAAAGGGGTAAGGCGGAGGCGACTTGGGCTTTTTTTGCAAAAACTTACCGCACACATCGTTGCCCCAATGGATCAGGGAGCAAGCCGGCTGGAAGTTGGCGTTGATGCAGACATACACGTTGCCGCTCGCCCGGGCGGAGAGCTTAGAAGCGGGAGCAACAGATGCGGACTCCGTCACGGGGCCAGCAAAGTCGACAAGGTGTGCCTCGGCAAAGGTCGTGTTGAAGGGCTCGATGCCTTGCAGGGTAGAGAATTCGAGCGCGTCCGCGCGGGGCACTGCTGAGGCGGCGGCCAGCTGCAGGGCCATGATCAGGGAGGTGATGGTGAAGCGCATCTTGAATTTGCGGTGTCTGGCTTGACTTGGAGAGGCAGGGAATGTAGAAGTGCTGTTGGATCTTGAGTCTTGAGCTGGAGTCTGGAGAAGATGCTGATGAAGCAGGAGGAGATCGAGATGGCGAGCGAGTGATGGGATCTTATACTTTTTTCATTGTGGGAGGCTTTCCTCGATTTCAATATATCAGTGAACATAGTCTTTACAATTCGTCCTCCAGAAACTATCTCCATCCTCCAGACAGCATGTAGTCTCAGGTATTGCCTGGCTACTCCAGTCCAGCTTGAGAGTCCAGACTAGGAGAGTGGAGGGATATGCATGGAGCTGACAGACGCTGGCCCACTTGCAATGTATTTTGGGAGTTATTCGAATAGCCTCAGCAAGGGTGCTGACATATCTATTTACCGAATAGTGATTAGTATGTCTAAAATTTGAGTCTTCGACACTAACGCTAAACCAGCATCCGTGTCCTGGTTGTGGGGCCAACTTTGAGTTGCAATAGGCAACAGTATTTGGAAAGGGGAAGTTTTCCCGAGGGTTGTCCGCAACTCCCGCTGACTCAATTGATTGGTTGAGGGACAACAAGACACGGTCAAATGATCAACGACAACGCTACAGGTGAGCTTCGGTCAATCTGACAAAGAACTGGGAGGCTTCATGATTCCATGTATGGTACCCTAGGGTAGTATTGCCAAGCCTACACTCTTCGCAGGCCTGTCTTCTCTTGGCATTACCCAAGCACCATGGGCGCTACACTAAGCGAATGGTCGCCAAGAACCACGATGCCCTCTTAATTCTCACAGAAGGATGAGAGTATTCCTCAGCCGCCTGCATGACAAAAGGACGCTTTAGTGGGCCGGCACCACGCCGAGTTGTCTCTCGGACATCATTTGTAGGGTAATTTGTTGAGCGGAATAGCAAGCGGTAGAGTCAATGGGAGTGATTACCTGGAACCAAAATGTGAAAACTGGGTAGCCTCTTGTGCAATTATCACACGCTGTACGGGTGATTTAGCCATTGCACTGCATTCATTCTGAATGTTCCGGGCGACAGGGAATTACACATATTGAAAAGTTGCCTTCCAAAGACAGTCCCTATCTCGACAACTTGAACGGTCCCGCGCCCGCTGTTTGAAAGAATGCCTCGGGGTCATACTTCGCACTGACCTCTCGCAGGCGCGCGTTACTCTCCACCCCGAAGGATGCGATGGGATCCTGCGGAGGACAGGCGTAGTTCAAGTACCGGAAAGACGCAGCGACCTTCCCTTTCTCTGCCTCGTGGTCTATGGCCTCGAGGGCTTTCTTGTTTACCTCAAAGACCTTCTCGTCGTCACTGGACCTGTCCCAGGACGTGTACAACAGCAGTACTACAAGCGGGCCATCCTCCGCTTGCAACCCAAACGCATTCCCGCCGCGCGCGGCTGACTGCTCAAGCAGGGAAACTGGCAGTGGTTCGAAGGTGAGCGAGAACAGGAGGTTCTCGACCACCCCTTTCAGCTCCCCAAGAGACGCGTTGAACGTCTCCACCGCATACTCGAGGATGCCAGCATTGGCTTTGACAGTGGTGGACATCCTCACCACCCTGGCCCCTTTCATTAGCTGTTGTCACACACGGCCGCGATGACACACAAGTACCATAGAGGATAGGGCGACCTCTCACCTATTCGCAACCGCGCCGGCGAACCCCTCGTCAGTGAAGTCCTTCAGCGAGCCCACACGGAGGGTCTTCATCTGATCGATCTGCGGCTGCATGTCGACAAACGGCCGCAAGGCCTTTGGGTTCTCCTCCGGCCTCAGACAAAAGACATCATTCATACACATGACATCGCCAAGCATCGGGGCATATCCGAGGCTAATGCAAATATGCACGTCGGCGTCGGGGGCTGGATCCTGCAGGTACGCCATAAGGCTTTGGATCTGCGCGGGAATGCTAGGCTGGAAGTAGAACACCTTGCCGCCCCAGAGCTCGCCCTGCTCAAAGACGGGCAGGTCGACGCGGGTGACGATGCCGAAGTTGCTTGCCCCGCCCCGGAGTGCGATCCACAGGTCCCTGTTCGTCTCCGCGTTGGCGTTGACGATCTCGCCGCTGGAAAGAACAACCTCGTAGTTGACGACGTTGTCGCAGACAAAGCCATGAGCATACGAATAGTACGAGAGCCCACCTAGACACAGAAGGTTGGTATCAGAACGCGGTAATAAATGTGGTGATCTTATGGGTACAAAAAAGAACTCACCCTGAAGTACATCTCCTCCAATGCCAGCGGAGGAGTGCCGGTTGCCGACAACACCGAATCCTGCAGCCATGACAGTCTCATAGACCTTGCCCCAACGCTCGCCGGCTGCTACAGAAACTGTCTTCTTTTCTGTGTTGAGCACGACCCCGCGGAGGTTCTGCAGTTGAATAGTGATGCCGTTTTTGACATTGGCAACCCCGGGCGTCGCCTGCTGACCGGCCCCACAGATAGCGAGCTTGATACCCTCAGCAAAGGGTCTCAGTGTTTTCAGGATTTGTGAAACCTCTGAGGCAGAGCTAGGAACCAGAAAACATGCGGGCTTCAGCTCACGCTCGAGCTCGGAAAAGTATGACTTGGTGATCTCGTCATACTCCTCGTTCTCGGCGGAGACAATCAAGTTGCTCGAGAACTGCCTGATGGCTTCGATGGCGTCAGCAACTGAAGACATCGTGAGGCAGAGTCAGGTGGTATGGCGATGAAAAGATTTGACAAGAGCTTGTAGCAAATGCCTAGGGTGGTAGGGTCAAGTTCCAAATTTGAATACAGGTTGTATGTTGATGCAACGCCTACCAACAGAGATAATTTCGTTTAGCTGGGTGGTGTTCATTAGTTGTTGATTTCGCAGGAAGAAAGACATGAGCGAACGCAAAGGCGGCGGCGATGCCGCTCACCCGGTACTTCTACCCCAGGCCGCCTGTTGGTCGTACACTTGCATGAGGCACAGCCAGCCGCCCCCCCCCCCCCAATGTCTTTGCAGATGAGGCTCTTGGCCACAGGATGACAGTGCGTATTAAGTTAACGGGGCCAACCTGAAGTTGCCTGGACAGCTTGTCCGCCAAGAGGCCTTGATGTGATTATCAAAGCCCTAAACAAATCATCAGTCTTGTCCTACCGACCGACCCCCTCCCTCACTTAGAGGTACATGCCATGCATTCTCGAAGATCATTCCTAAGTTAGACCTTAATATTAGTACTTTATTTCTTATATCATACATTTTCGTTTCAAATAATCAAATAATAACATTTTCCTTCTTTAAGTCTATATATAATCAACTTGAATTTACTTATTTAAAAACAGATTCATAACTTTATTCTCTTAGGATACTAGCCCCAGATTATAGCTCAGTAGAGGGAATCTAGAACATGGAAAAAGTCCATACTACAGTGTCATATCACCAGCAAGCACTCGGAAGGGGGAAGAGAGTTGATATTGTTGTTTCATTAGTTATATGCTTGCCACCGACCTGCCTCGCCGCGCCTCGCCGCGCCTCGCCTCGCCTCGCCTATTTGTATTGATGGTATGGTATCTCAAAGCAACAAAAAGAAGCGAAGAGAAACAGAACAACAAGAAGCAGGATGCCGGGGGGAAGAGGGGGGGTGGAGAGAAAGACACACACGGCCATGGTGCGTGCGTGTGTGTGTGTGTGGAACATGTTCAATCGACCAATACATCCAGCTAGCTAAGTAAATCAACCGGCCAACCCACGCAATATTTGAACCAAGAGCAAGCAAGCAGGCTTAGCAAGAGACCCCACGCGCAATGCTTTGAAAAGACTATGCGCGTACCACCTTTGGCAAGTAAATCCAGGGCTGCCGCTCACTACACTCAGTATAATTAGTATAGTATAATGCATATAAATAAGCCCACTACACCCCATTACACTAAGGGTATTTTAAAATCTATTATATTATACTAAAAAGTTCAATATATATAGTATAGTGGGTTTTAATATAAAATTATTAAATTTTTAGGGTTTTAAATAGCTATAGTTAGGTCCATAAAGGTTAGTTATAAACCTTGCTTTACACCTTATAAGGCGCATATTTAAACTATTAGTGCGCCTTATAAGGCATATATTTATATATATATAAGTATTATATATTCTAATAAAGTCCATTAGCTATTATATAAAAAGCTTTAAGTAAGCTTTAAGGCATAGGTGCAATTTTAAAATATTAGAAGCTTTAAGGTATTAAAAGCTTTAAGGCATTATCTAGATAATTTACTAAAGCTTACACCTAGAAAGGTATAAGGCTAATTAAAGTATATATTTCTTTAAATATAAATATAAACTATTTTAAATTAAAATAAAATTATAATTTATAGTTTATTATTTTTAAATTTTATTTATAAAACTAATATTATATTATATTATATTATAACTTTTATAAATATTAAAAACCTTTTATTTAAAGTTTTTATTATTATATTTATATATTTTAAAATAAAACTAAATATAATTATTATTTTTATTTATTTATATATTTTAATATATTATTATTATTTAAAAATATAGCTATTATAACTTTTAATAATATATATAAGTTTTATTCTTATATATATATTATAAATTACTATTAATATATTTATAAAGTTTTAAATAGCCTAAAATATTATTTAAATTATTATATTTAAGGTATAATAAACCTATTTTAATAATATATTATTTAATAATATAAGTATTAAGCATATTTAAAATTTATTTATTATTTATTTTTAGTAGTTAGCTTATTTTATTAAGTAAATATATATAGGTTTTTAACCTTAAAAATTTTATTATAGCTATAGTTTAAATTGCTAGCTATATTAAAATATTTATATATTAAAAGTATACTAATAGTTATAATTTATAATTAGGTTATATAATTAATTCTATTATAATTAATTTTTATATAAAGTTTTATATATTATTATATTAACTATATATATAATTATAAATTTACTAGTTATTAATAGTTTATTAGTTTAGTTTTTATTTTAGTAAATTTTATTGCCTAAATAGTATACCTTTTTAACCCTTTAGTTTTTAGCTTTATAATAATTTCCCTTTCTTTTTTTTTTTTTTTTATTTATTTTTCTTTCCCCCTTTTTCTTTTATATTAGTATTTATTTAATTATAAAAAAGTACTTTTAAAAGGTTTTAAGTATATTAATATTAATAAAATTTATTTAGTTTAAGTATTTTTAAATTATATTTTTATAGCTTATAATAAAGCTAAAGTTTATAAAAGCTAAAATTTTATAAAAAAGGATTTTTTTAGTAATATTAAAATAGGCAATATAAAGGTTAATAAGTTTAGGTTTTTTAAATTTATTAAATAAACTTTTTTATTTAAAAAAACTATTTTACTAGTAACTTTTATTAATACAAATATAGCGCTATTATTTTTTTTTTTAGTAGATATAGACTTAAACTTAAAGGTTTTTAAAAAAGGAAAGTTAAAAAATAAACCTTTAGGGGTAATATTTAGGAGTAATATAGCTGCCTTTTTATATAAATAGGGCTAGTAAAATTATACTTAAATAGTTAAAACTTTAATTCCTTTATTTAAAAGTATTTATTACTACCTTTTTTTAATAAATTTTAATAAAAAAGCTTACTAGTTTAAATAGTATTAATAGGTAGAGCCTTTATTAAATATAAACTTAGCTAAATAAGGCCCTTAATACCTTATTAATAATAATTTAAGTAAGTCTTTTAATTAAAATATATAATATAAATAGTAGTAGCCTTATAGCTAGTATATATAATATATTATATTTTTTTCTTTTTTTAGTTACTTTATAACTAATATATATAATATATTATATTATTTTTTAGTAGTAATTAATATTTAATATTTAATAACCTAATTAAAAGGGCCTTATTTTTAGCTTATTAAATAGCGGTTTATTATACTATTTTATTTATAAGGCATATAAGAAATTAAGACCTTAAAAGTTAAAACTATATTTATATATAATAGGATCTACTTGCTATTAATATTTTGCTAGATAATCCTATATATAGGGCATGTTATAAACTATAAACTATATATATGTGCCTTGCAAAATATAAGAGTAATAGTATACTAAATACTAAGGCTGTAAAAGTTAAAACTATACCTATAAGATCTACCTGCTATTAATATTTTACTAAATAATTTTATATATAAAATATACTATAAATTATAGACTATATATATGCGCCTTATAAGATATATAAGTAATTTAAGTGTATGCCTTATAAGGTATAAAAGTAATAGTATATTAAATATATAAAAAACCAATTATAAAATAAAATAGAATAAAAACTATTAAAGTTTAGCTAAATTTATATATAATTACTCTACTTATATTATAAGGTTAATATATCTTATAAGGTATATATTTAAATTACCTTTATACTTTATAAAATATAATAATAAATTAAATTATATATATACTAATCTAGGGCCTAAAAGTAATTTCTTATAAATTATTAAATATTTCTTATTTATTACTTAATATATATTTAATTTTTAAATAATATAGCTTATTATTAATATTATATTATTAAAAGAGTAACCTATATTAAAGCTATTTTAGGATATTTTCTTTTAGGTTTATTTTTTAAAATTTACTAGGTTTTAGCGCTTTAAAAAGCCTTAAAATTAGCTTTAAAAATATAACTTTAATATTAAAAGTTCTATAAATTAAAAATATAGATAGGTTTATTACTATTATATATAAAAAAAGTTCTTTAAGGTATCTTATAATTATATTAAAGGGGGTTTTTAAAATACTAAATTTTATTTTTAATTAAACTATAAAATATAGAATTAGTTTAAGAGTATATTAAGGCCTATAAAGGTTAAAGTTTAAAATTAATTTATATTTAAAATATAGAATATTATTAAGTTTTAGCAGCTAGATATTATTAATTTAAGGAATTAAGTAATTATAAGTAATTTAATTAGCAATTTTAATAAAGACGTTTTTTAATAGAAACTTTTATATTTTATTATTATTAAAAACCTTTTTTTGCTTTATTAAGTTTTAAGCTTTATATATTATATTTAAGTATTTAAACCCTTAGTTATAAAAATAAATGCAATTTTAAATAAACTTTATTATAATTAAAGTTTATTATTATATATAATAAATTTAAGTTTATAATAATTAAGGTTTTATAAAATGCTTAAAAATAATTTATATTATATTTAATAGTTAGCGCTTAAATAACTAATATTTTATATATAATATTATAATATTCTATTTTAATAAGTTTATATGCCTATAAAAGCTTATTTTTAATATATTAAAATTTATTAGTAGTTATATTAAATAGAATATTATATTATATATATTTAAGGTTCTATAAGTATTTAAAATTATAAATAAAATTAAATACTTTATTTTAAATAATATAAGTAATAATAATATAATAATAAAGAAACTAGGCCGGCTTTTAATATTAATAGCCCTAAATGCTATATTTATTATTTTAAATATATTACTAATTTAGTTATAAATACTTTATTATTTGGAAATAATATTATATTATTTAAAAACCTTTTAATTTAAATAATATAAATGCTAAATTATAATATATAAAATAGTAGAAAACTAGCCCTATTATTAAACATAGTACTTATTATTACTATTTACTAGTTTAATTAATTAATTAATTAGTTATATAAAATTTAAAAAATTTTTGTAAATAAGAATAAAATAAACTTTATATATTAAATAATATTAAAAATAGTTATATATATTCTAATATGCTAGCTATTTATATTTGCTATTATTTGTTAAGCTATTAGGTTTTATTTATTTCTTTTAATATTATAATAAGAATAAAATAACTACTAGCAATATATTATTTGCTACTATATGTTTTAATTTAGAAAATACCCTTTTATTTTTTATAAAAAAATAGAATTAATAAAAAGAAATTAGAATATAATTATAGCTATAAGTAAAGTTCTTAAAGATATTAATAATATGTTTAAAGTATTTAAGGGTAATAGCTAAATTTAAAAATAAAAAAATGGCTTTAAAGAGGCATATAATAGTATTTAAAGTGTTATTATAGGCTTTAAATTTTCTTTTAAAATATTTTAAAATATAAAAGAAAGTTACTAAAAAATTCCCTAAACTAAAATACTTTATAATTAATATAAATTATATATAAAAAAGTTAAACTTTTATTATATTAAGTTTAATAAATTGCCTATTTATTATGTTATAATAGCTCTTTATCTAATATATTAGTAGGCTTTTTTAAAAGTATATAAAATAAAAAAAAGTGAATATTTAATGCTAAGGCTATAATATAAGTAATTTAAGAGTAGAAATATAAAAATAAAAATATTATTTTATTTAAAGAAATTTATAACCAAGTAATAAAAGTTTTTAAATATATATTTAATAAGTATTAAAATAATTTATATATTTAACTAAATAATATCTTTTATTAAGCTTTTATTTTTAATATTATTTTTAATAAATTTAGCATTTAAAACTATAAACTATATAGGCTTAATAAATAAGTATTAGTGCTAGTAATAAAAATATATTTTACTAATAGTAATATTAAGGATCTATTATTATACTAGTATAATTAAAAGGTAAATATTTATATTTATTATAAATAGCTTTAAATTTTCTTTTTATTATAGTAATAAGCGCTAAGATTAAAAGGTTATTTTTATTATTTTTATATATAGTAATAGCTTTTTAAAGTAGCCTTAAAGTAAATATAATTTTTTTATATTAAATATTATATTTATAGCACTTATAAAAAGTGGTTAATATTAGAAAAGAGAATATTATTTTATTTAATAATAATAAAAGAAATTTAAAGTAATAGTTTAAGTAAATGTGTAATAAATTATAAGAAAGTTATAATATATTGCCTTTAATAAAGGTGGTTAGAAATAAGGATGGGCGTGTAGTAGGGCTAGTAGGTGTGCTTAGTAAGGCGTATATATAATTAAGGTGTGCGCTTTATAAGGTGTAAGGTAATTCTATTTAGTTTATTTTTAATTTTATTTATATTATTATAAAAAAAATTTTTAATTATTATAAATTTATTATTAAAAACTTATATTATATTATATTATTACTTAATATATATCTATTTATATAGATAGTTTATAAATTAATATTTCCCCTTTTATACTTTTTGTGCTTTGTAAGGCGCATATTTAAATTAGGTGTGCGCCTTATAAGGCGCATTACCACCCCCTTATATTTATATTTTAATTTTTAACCTATTATATTATATGCATTTATACTAAAGGCCTTTACATTATATTATATTTATATTAAAGGTTAAAGTATTTATATTTATATTCTATTGGTAAGCCTAGTGCGTGTAGTGTAGTGTACGGCAGCCCTAATACTGTAAATCAGGGGGGCTATATGTAGTTTTCGAGGGCAGGGGTATTGAAATATCTCCAGCATTTCCTTCAACCAGGCTATCCTTTTCCTTTCCTTTCCTTTCCTTTCCTTTCCATTTCTATTTTACATGACAACCTGTTGTTTCGAGGACGCCAAGTTAGCTTCGCAATACGCCAATAACTCGGATGACACCATCCGAGCAGTTTGTTGAGGAGAAACGCGACAACTTACACAGTCGTCCTTATCCTTCGTCTTCGGAATACCCATCTCCTCAAACGTAGCCGGCCCGTTGCCCATGGTCTTTCCGTCTGGGTGATCCGTCGGCTTGCGCGGCGCCTTGGGAGGCGCGCTGGCCACGCTGGGCGCAGGACTGGCGGCGCCGGGCCCATGCGACGACGACGCCGTTGGGGGCCGTGCTGAGGCGGGGTTCTGTTGAGGTGGCGCGCTCGACCGTCCACCGTTATCTTGGAGTTGGTACCCGGCCATGGGTGGCCGAGGCCCGCTGGTGTGCCGGCCCTGCTGCTGCTGCTGCTGCGGCGCGTATCCGGGACCGCCGGGCATGGAGCCTGCGGGCGGGATCATCGGTGGAGACTGCGGGCCTTGTTGGTGTCCGTACGGTCGGGGTTGTCCTGCTGCTGTTTGTGGGGTTGGGCTGGTTAGTCTCTGCTTTGATGGATATCCATGAGAAGGGCCGACGTTGGATGAGGATGCCATACCATTTCCAGCTGGTCCGCCGACAGGTCTCCGCCCATCCGGGCCCGGTCCACCCCGGCCGTAGCCACCTGCTGGCCCAGGGCTTGGTTGCCTGTAGCCTCGTCCACCGGGAGGCATGCCAGCTGGTGGGATAGCACCGGGCGCCAGGTTGTTCGGTCCCGGACCTCCTCTTCCGGCGCTTCCTGGACGGATTCCAAAAGCACCCTGGTTGCGCATCGGCGGCTGGTACCCATCTTCGGGGTATGGTGCGGCGGATGACGGCCTGTTGACGTTGAGAGGGTAAGGCTTGGTGTCGTCTTCTGGGTAGGGCGCTGCGGACTTGGGCCTCATGGCAAGGTTGCCATGGTCGACGTTCAAGCCGAACGCAGGCTGCCGACCATCAGGGCCTGGAGCATGCCTGGGGGACGGGTTGGGTGATACCCTGGGGCTCCTCCCGCTCGGGTCGTTTGGCGTCGATGGACCCTCAGGCAATGGCGCCATGTGCTGCTGCTCCTTGAGCCTCTGGAGGCGCTCTGGGCGCTGGCCCCTCATCGACCCGTGCTGAGACTTGATCCTGGTGAGAGCCGTCGTCTCGTGGTCCTTCTTCGACAAGCTCTTGTTCCTCTGCAAGCTGTCCAGCCGTCCGACGGCGTCAGGGTTTCCATGCGACGCTGCCAGCTCGTACCATCGCCGTGCTTCGTTCAGGTCTTTTTGCATGTGGATTCCGATTTCGTGGTAGTAGCCCATGGCGAACTCGCCGGTGGGAAGCTTGGCGTCTGCGGCTTGTTTCGCGTACTTGAATGCGAGCGCCTCGTTTTTGGCGAAGTTGCCTTCGTATCCGAAAAGGAACCACCGACTGACGCCAAGCGCCGCCTCGGGCTGGCCCTGCACCGAGGCAAGGCCATAGTAGTGCAGGGAGTAAGCAGGCTGGAAGTCGCAACCAAGCTGGCAGAGCTCGTAAGCTTGGCCCATCTTTAGTTGCGCCTTAGCAAACCCGAGGTAGGCCGCCTTCTCGATGTACTGCCTGGCGGTGTCGACCTTGTAGGGGAGCAAGTGCTCGGGGACAGTGATGTCGGGGAGATCGCGGGCGATGAGCATTCCGAAGACGTATGCACCTTGCGGCGCATCCTCGTCTGCCGTGTCGGCGGCCCTGTTGATGAGGTCGACACCGCGCTGGAAATCCTGTCTTTGGCCATGTTGCCCGAGCAGGGACATCATGCCCAGGCGATACATGGCGGCAGAGTCGCCCAGCCTCTCGCCGTTGTAGTAGTGCGTGATGGCCTTGTCGAACTCGTTTGAGTTCTCGAAGAGCATACCCATTCTGTACTCGGCGCGGCCCCACCCCTGCTCGGCTGCAAGCTTGTAGCCCATGAATGCCTTCCTCTTGTCTTCCCTCACGTCGAACTTTCCGAACTCATCCCACTTGGCCATCATGAACACGGCCTCGGGGTGATGCTGTTCGCAAAGATACCTGATGATGTTCATGGCGTCGACGCGGAGCTCGTGTTGTTGCTGAGGGGTGCCCGGGCGGCCGCTGCTCCCAGCAGTGCGGGCGCGGTCCTCGGACGCGATCTCGACGTAGTTGAGTGCGTCCCTCGCCCACGACAGCTGCATGTTGACGTTGTTGGAGTGCAGGACATGCTCGCGCGCGTTGTATAATATCTCCTCCTTTTCAACATCGCTGGGCGGGATGTTGTCCCCCTTCACCTTGGGGAAGGGGGTATAGCTCGGCATGTCGTTGGCGGCCATGGACCTGTAGGGGGCGTGGTTCGGATCGTCTTCGAATGGGCGGAAGTTGCTGCTGTCGGGCTCGTGCTCCTGACCGTAGCCGCCGCCGTGGTGCCCGGCGCCGTTGTATGACTGTTGAGGACGACCAGCCTGCTGTTCCATGCGCTGGAGGTCTTGTTGCATGTTTTGAGGAACCTCGGGCATGACCCTGCAGCAGTGCCCGATCCAACGTCAGTCTCTCAGCTCCTCCTCTCCTTTTTTAGCGACCAAGCTGTCAATCGCGGCCGCGAAAGTACAGCGGGCCACAACTGGGTCGCACAAAAATGGGGGTGTTGGGGCAGAAGATTAAAGATTGAGCAGCATAGGTAGGGTATCTTGACTTACCGCTGGGGCGCCGGAGCGTACATCTCTGGCATGGAATAATCGTCGTAACCTCCGGGAACAAAGGTTGCAGCAAACTGCGGCATGTCGTTGGAAACACTGCGGGTTGGCTGGATGGAGCCTGCTGCATAAATAAAAGTAGGATCGGTCAGCCAGAGTCCCTTTTCTGGCCCCCTGCAACGGTGCAGGCCACAAGAACAAATCTCCAAGGACCCTGAAGCTCTCCCAGGATGGGTCAGGCGCAGGCCGTTAACGAGGTGAAGCGAGAATGGACAGGAGGGGCGGGCTGCGGTTCTAGAAGGACTGATGAGCGGGACAGGTCTTTCGGACTAGTCTAGTGACCTGGGTTCGGTGGGTTCGTGCGCCAAGAGAGATTCCAAGATCTAAGCGGGAATGGGAGGGGAGAGACCCGTGTGGTGGCGTACGTGGTGCGCAGTAACTGGTAGTGATTGAATATTGGCGGCCCCTTTTTCTGAAGGTGGAGAGGGTGAGAATGAGTTCAGGCCGGTTGCCAGGATGCTCCTCTATCCGTTGATGACCGACCCGACAGAGGCAGACACCACAGCTTGAGAGAGTGGGAGGGCAGCACATAAGCACGGCACAGCACAACACAGCCCGAGCTGCCAGCCAGAACTCGCAGCGACCAGCGCCATCTGGTCTGCCAGTCCCGCTTTCGTCACAGGCCGAGGGGTTCCGGGCTCCACCACCTGGCTTCCGTTAGATTGATTTGGAGAGGAACGCCGTGGCGAATCATGCAGCGCGAGGGCCGGACACGTAATGGAACAAAGGGCCTTGTCATTCAGCTCTCTGCAACCCTCTGACTGTCAGACTGTTTGGGGCTTTGAATGGGTGCTCCGGCAGGTCTGGCTCGGCAGCGCGGCACAGCCTGGATTGATGACGCCGTTGGTGATCTCCCCTGGCCTAACCCAGACCCGGACAGGGGCGGGGCTCGTAGGCTGGCCTGGCAGGTGGGCTGGCGGCAGCGTTGGACTGCTGGACTTGCTGGGATGACCGCCGCACGCCATAGCTGTCTGTTTTAAAGCCCTCTCTGGTGCCTGGCCGGGGGGATCGGATGGGCTGGGGGGCTGGCTGCATGCCATCCATTTTTAGAGTTGGCGGGCCGGCCAGGATACACCATGCGTGGGGCGCGGCCGAGTATCGAAATCTTTGGGTATTGGCCATAATCGTAACAGTTTGTGTTGTGAATGAATATTGCCAACAGTCTCATTTCCCATTGAGCCGGGTCGCAAGCAGCTGGCTGGCCTGCCGTGCGTGCTCTTCTCTCTGCGTGTGCGTGCCTGTCTGATTTGTCCGTTCTCGTGCAGTGGCTTCACCTCGCTTCACGGCGTGGCGTCCTTGAACCTCTATTACACACGGAGGGTGCATAAGGTGGGGAGGGAGAGCTTCAGGGCCGGGTGGAAGGCAAACGAGCCTCCCTGTGGACAGGACTGCCTCTCTGTCGGTCCGTCCATCTTCGCAGGCAGGTAGGTGGCAGGCAGGCTGACCAGCTAGCTGTGGAGGGGCTTCGATGGCGGGGGGTTAAGAGGGTGGGTGGGGACACTTACCAACACCGGGTCCGAGAGACGACTTGTTAGTCGGGATCATGGTCGCGGAAACACCCCGTCTCCCACGAGGAACCGCTGCAGCCGAGGCTGCTCCTGGCAGCGACGACGCAGCATAATAAGGCGAGGGGGCTGGGGCTGGGGCTAGGGCTTGTGCTGGTGATGGTGCCTGTGCCGGTGCCAGATTCGGACCCGAGTAGTACCTCTTTGCCTGCTGCTGCTGCTGGTGTTGCTGCTGCTGGTTGGGGCGGGCTGCGCGCGTGTAAGACGGGAGGGAGCTCCTCGCCGATGAGCTCATCGTGGGCGACTCTGACTCGGGTTGTGCCCGCTTATTGTGGCAGCAACCTTATTATTACGGTTTATGCCCTGCCGGGCGATCTCGACTTCAAGTCCCGGGTGCCAGTTCTCTTGGCCAGGTAATAAATGAAGGTATGTATCTCTGCGGTACCGGTCGAAGGTCTTGGTGCTCGTTTGTCGCAAAAGGGACTTTGGAGGTCTCGGTTGGGCTGCGCCGCAGACGAGGGCGGAGGAGGGGTTGTTGTCGCTCTCGTATTAACCGGTTCTGGTGAGGGAGGATGACTGCCGCGCCTCAATGGGTCAGCGTCAAATGCCCAGGGGCCTCCAAAAGGAAAGGACAGGGCAAGCAGACGGTCACGACGCTGGTGGAAACTCAAGAGTGGGAGGCAAAAGTCGAGTTTCGATTGAAGAAGAGTCGAACTGCAGGTTTGGGGTGACTGGCAGGCAGTGTTATTGGTGTTATTTGGCGCGCTCACTCGCAGTGCTGCTGTCGGTTGTGGTGGGCGGTGACCCTTGTTGGGTGGGTGTCATCCAGGTCGGGTTGGAGGATCACGAGCCGCCTGGGCAGGTCACTCCAACACACGAGTTTCCGGCAGTCAAACACGCAACGAACGGCAGGATTGTGAGGGTTAAAAGGGGAAAGGGGAAGGGCAAGGGCAACAAAGTGGTCAAATTGCACTCTGGGCAGAACCTCTGGGCAGGATAAGACGGCTGGCACTCGGCCAAGGCAGCAAAGCAAACAAACATCAGTCTCAAGGGGAGAGATGTTGTACTTTTTGCCTGTCCGTGCTCCCCAGCTCCCCAGCTCCCCTTCATTTCTGGAGGGGTAATCGCCCGTTTGGGAAAGTACTCAGGTACCAAGTGCGCAAGACACAGCCAGTCTGTGCCTTCCCGTCGACCTGGCCTCCAGGTCTGGCCCAGGTCAACCCGCAAGCAGTTTCCAAAGGGGGAGGATTCCAGAACTCCCCCAGCCTTGTCTCACATGGGGCCACCTTTGGATGACCCTCTCAATTCCAGTCCACCAACAGAGGGGACCATCTCCCACGTGCTGCCCCAAAGGCTGGCACATTTTCTTTGTCGGACAGTGAGACATACCATTCAAAAAGCAACGGGGCGGCCCATGCACTCAATGGAGAGAACCTGAATTGTATTATATCAAGTGTGACTTTTGGGGCTGAGTACAGAGCCACTGCAGTGCCATGCAACTACCCGTCGCTATTCTAAGATCTGGCTTGAAACGGCCGTATGAAAGCCACCACCATGAAGCCATGTCAAGCATCAATGGGCTGTGGCTGCAGGCTCCCGCGCCGTCAGAGAGGGAGACGGAGTTGCCCACTGTTTCACCCACCAAGCTAGGTACCTAGGTACTAGTACTGCATGCCACGTCCCAGCCCCCTCTTGAACAGCAGAACCCGAGCTCATCTTGCACGATATGATGGCTCCAGCTCCGATTATAGCCGGCCGGCCAAAAGCGAATATTTCAAAGCCAGCTGAAAAGGTTACCGAAGAATTTCACTGGGTGCACATGCACTGTAGGGACTTCGGGACCATCTTTACCAAACATATCATTTGAAAGTCGTAATTGCTTAAAACCCAGCGCTGGGAAAAAGTCAGTACGGCTTATGCACTTGATAGACGTGAGCCTCCCATGTCGGGTGTGAAAATGAGAACAAAGTAAGTCCAAGGTGCTTTTGATGTTCTGGTATCTATCCCTGGAATCTGTGCCTGGGCCTTGAGTCGATCAACATTTTTCGTGTGCCGGTTATAGAGCTAGACTCCGCCGTCCGTTTTTGAATCTGAGTTCATTCTGTTGACACCGCCGTATAGTTACTACTATAGGTGTTGATGGTCTGTATTGGCAACGATGCGAGCGTTGTTAAGCACCTGCCAGATCTTAACATGGTTCCTCCGTTGGCCAACGATGTTGGAGCTACCGCCATCCTGCCACTTTATCATCCTATATGAACTGCTAGTTCATCAACCCCGTTGGAATTCTTTTGGGCGGTTCACGACGCAAGTAAGATGATGTAGGCAGAACTTCTTTGTGTCATTCTATGAGTATTGTTGCTGATAAGAGTAAGGCTTGCTTATTTACAGCGAGGGCGAACGAGGCTTATGCGCAGGGCTTGCCGTTAGAAACTTTTTGGAAAAAGTCAGGCTTAGAAGATGACTATGGATTACAAAGAGTTCCCGCACGACCTGATCCTCGATCAGACAGAGGTCGAGGGAATCCCTTGTAAAAATCTCGACCAGAGAGTGGCCGGGGCAGTTGACGGGCCGGCTACAATGGTCGAAGACTTGCGGCCAGCTCGGATTCTGGATTGAAGCGGGGTGAGATATATGGTGGTTTCGTTTTTAATCCCTATATATGTAAAATGTACGTGGCGCCTTCATACAGTGGTAAACACTTAAGACCTAACGTTTAAAGAAATATAGTACTAATAATAATAGAAAGAGAATATAGTATATCTATAGGTACATAGCTAAGCCTTATACCGTATAAATAAGGCTGGAAGGCATCACTCCTAACGGTGCTATATCATTGATATAAATAGCCTAAGGGCTAATAGCTAGTAAAGTAGTTATATAATAAGATTAGAATAGTCTTAAAATAGCCCCTATAAGAAGAAGAATCTTATAATATAAGACTTAATAAGCTAACTCTTCCCTATTAATATACTTAATAGTTATTTAAATCTACCCTTATTAAATAAGCTAAATATATTATAATCCCTATCTTAAATATATAGTTAATAGAATAATAATATTATAATAGTAAACTTATTTAAAAAAGTCTTTTTATATAAATTTTATAAAAAGATTAAAACCCTTTTAAAAGTTAAATAGAGTTTATTTACTATATATTAAATAAATACTACATAAAAAAAGTAGAAGTTTAAATACTTAAAAATTAAATCTTTTTCTTTTAAGTATATTACTTTATTATTAAAGATTTATCTACTTTTATATAATATATAAGGAATATAGTAAAAGAGGGAGCCCTATAAAGGAAGTTAGTAACTCTACTATATATAAATAAGTTTAAAGATATATATTAAGTAATTATTAACTTTATACTTAAGGTATAAGTTAATAATTAGTTTAAAAGTTAAGAAGATAATAAATAGATAAATAGTTGAATAAAAAATATAATGTGGCTGAAGTTAGGGTGAGATATATATATCGATAAAGCGAGCTCTTCCTTGTAATAGGGTTGAGTTGGTCCAACGGGATGCGGGTAGCCGAATTCCGAGCTGCAGATGATTTAGAGCACCGTTTATCTCCCTTCACGCACTTGTACCCATACGAAAGATGTCGATGAGCACGTAATTTTCCACCACCAAAGGGCCTAAGTACATCATCTTGGGCTGTACGGTGGCTAACGGCGATGCGCTCGCCGCTAATAACCTCCCTGCCTTCTAGGGTAACCCGCATTTCCGACTAAATTGGCCGGATCATACTCTTGAATGTTATATAATCCAGGTTTCTAAGCGCTTCCTAGATCACCTGTTAACTAAGTGCGCGACTAAACGCTATTTTAAAGCTATCAATCTTAATACTAGTTATATTATTAGGTATGTGTAATAGATCCTCCTTACTAGTTTCAATTTACTTAGCTTAAGGCTGTTACTCTAATAGTTAGTAATAATAATACAGCTTTCTTAATGAGTGAATAGCTACTAAAGGCTTTAATAGTAATGGTTACTGTAGGTTGACTTGTTGGAACATTTGAATGTAAGTATTTCAGTCCCTTTTCCGATGCAACATGGCTGATCAGGGGCCGCTGTTGGGGTTGTAGGAAAAAGAGGTTGAAAGCAAGGGTTTGAGGACCGTTGAGCCGTGGCCTAGTAAATGCAACCATGAACCAACGCAAGTTAACCAACAGAAGTAAATCAACAACCAACAAATGCTTTTCCCCTCGCAGTGAAGGATTTAAGATGCGACCTCACTGCTGCACGCATTATCCACCGAGAGCCGCTGGTGCTTCTCCCCCTTTCGTGTTGATCTCCGTGTCTCCTTCTGCAGCCTGGAATCTCTCCTGGACACTCTAGCTCCCATCCAACATTCTCCCATCCGTTCATCATTTTCAAGGATACTCAAGAAAACATCGTTCACTACTGTCTTCACCGTGTCTCAAGATGGCCTCTTCAACCAGGCCCACACTCCTCTTCCTTCATGGTGGCTGGCACGTCCCTCAGAGCTACCACAAGCTCACCGACGCCCTTCGTGCTGCCGGCTTCGAGGTGCATAACCCTCGGTATCTGTCCATGAACCAGAGCCGGCCTCCAAATGCCGACTTGAGCTCTGATACCGATCTTATTCGGTCGTATGCCACCAGCCTTGTTGAAGCCGGCAGGACCGTGGCAGTCTTGATGCACAGCTACGGTGGTCAGGTCGGCACAAACGCGCTTCATGGGCTGAGCAAGAAAGCCGGTGCCGCCAAAGGGCAGCAGGGAGGTATTTCCCACCTGATCTATATGGCTGCATTCGCCTTGCCAGAGGGCAAGAGCATGATGGACAAAGTAGAAGAATTTGGGCACATGGATCGGATCCCCGTGGCTTTCGGCTTCGACGAGGACCAGAGCTGTGTGGCCAACTACCCCAAGGAGGGCCTCATTGGGGAGCCATATGTCAATGAGCTTGATCCGAAGGAGCTTGAGGAATATGTTGGCAGCCTAGTTCGTTGGAATGGGAAGTGCATGTACCTGCCCATTGAGAACACCCCTGCCTGGCGCGACGAGGCTGGTATCTTCTACATTTACACAGCTGGTGACGTTACGGTTCCTGTGGACTACCAGAAGAACATGGTCGAGCATTTGGAGAAGGAGGGCAAGACTGTGGAGACGGTTGAATTGCAAACTGGTCATTCCCCTAGCCTGACGGCGACACAGGAGGTGGTTGACGCAGTTCAAATGTTGTCAAGTTCACCGCACACTGAGTGGAGGGCTCGGTCAAATTCTTGTTTCTGGGTGAGCAGCATAGGGTCGCCTTGTGTTCCCCAACAAACATCACGTAGTTTTGTTGCCGCACGTTTGTCACACACCCGTGATACTTGCAGTGGTCTATGCCTTTGACGCAGATAGAATTTCTTATTGAATGGATCATTTGATACGCTCTGCTCGCAGCATTTGTGCCCTTGTTTCCCCACTTCCTTCGAGACAGCCTGTCATGCCCAGGTGCCAATCAAGCTTGCACAAGAATTGCAATGTGCAAGGAATCCCTCACTTCCGGCCCACAATCCCCCATCCCGAGGTCGCTATGGACTAGTTGCGTATTGCTTACTTGATTCCGGTAAAGCACTGCACCTTGGCAGCATGTTGGATTCAATGAGGTGGCATGGCGCGGCCCAAAAGAGGCTCTGCGTCAAGCCAATAGTCTCCACGGTTGGTTCGGCCGAATGTTGGCACCCGTTTGGTCGCATTGGGGGAGGGCGCCAACATTGAAGGGAGACTGTCTTGCAACTGACAACAGTTCCACGAAATCACAGCTTCTGCAGCACATGGGGGTACCCATACAAATTTTCGAGAAATTTGTCTCGCCGTGGCACCTAATCAAGCTCATCAAGCCCGGTCCATGCAGGATTGTCTCGGAAAGAGGATATACTAGTAGTTCGTGGGCACGTGGCTCAGCCTCGTGCCGCATAGACAAGGCTGGAAGGCATCGCTCCCGACGGCGCCGCTCATCGTCGACACAAGTAGCCCAAGGGCTAATCTGCCAAGATACCAGAGTCAAGGCCGGTTTCGTGAATATACCTTCTCTCAGTCGGCTCGCCGCATCACAGTGACCAGGTATCCCGTGAACCTCCACAAAGTCTTCGGCCTTCCGTAAACACTCACCGGCCTGAGCATCAGTCCCCTCCTTGCCCCAGCAGATGACAAGACATCCATTCCCCCGGCTTAAAGATGGCCAGCATTCAAGACATCTTTTGTTGACGCCCCCACCGGAGCTCCCGGGTCCATAATTGGATGTCCGCCTGAAGCGTGTTGTGCGTAATCCGTCAACATGTTGGTATTGGTCAGTCAATGCGGCGTAGGCAGCTATTTTCTGCCTGTTTATTCTGATCCACAACTCTTGCCTATAAAGACCTGAACCCCAAGCTTTCTGGCTGTGGTCATTATCTTCTCCTTCAAACCACGTTGCACGTCTTTTAAAGCCGCCCATCCATACACAACCCCATCTCGCACCGTAAGGACCTTCGTCACCTGGGCGAATTTAGTTCAACGACTTCTCCATATCACCTACAAAATTTAACTCAAAGAGCTGCCAATGACACAGAGTATGGGAGAAGGGCCCGTTGCAAAGTTGACAGAGGAGGGTGACAAAGTCAACACATCCCCGGTGCGGGGGCCCCGGGGGGTACACATGCCGTTGAGACGGCAGAAAGCAAATCTGGTATGACGGAGGACCAACTTAGAGCTATGCTTCGCGAGGCTCGGAGGAACGCTCATAAGGCGGTCGAGAGACTAACTCCCGAGGAGCGGAAAGGTAAGTCCTGACACGCAGGCGACCTCAAATTGTTAGACTTGAGCTGGACTAATTTGAACTGAAAAACCAGCTATCTCTCAGATGGGGGTCCCAGCAGGGAGGGCTATGGAGATTCTGGAGGAAATAGAGAATGCTGACGAGAGGAGAGGTGAAGCGGAAGAGGCTGCTGAAGCCGAAGCTGAAGCGGCAAAGGTCAAGAATGAGACGATTGGGAAGGGTGGGCAAGAAGAATAGGATAAGGCATCCCGAGATGCCTAATGGCTTTCACGCCCGGCGTACCTTGGCAAGTCAGGAAGTCTTCATGTTTTGCGTTGGCCGTAACAAGATGAATAGCCGAAAGGATCAACCGAGCTGATTAACAGACAAGATGCGAGCAAAGTCCGACAGGACAGGCAGACTGAGGCCGAGGCCGACAATATGATTGATTATTCACACATCACTCCCAAAAAAACACCGAGCAATGCAGCAAGTACCGCTAACACTATTCTAGGCGAAAGCACAAAGCCACTTGAAACCCCACTCTCATCCTTCCCAGACGCCAACTCCTTTACGAGAACCACATGTGCACGCCCGCTGCCCTGACAGACACCCCTCGCGCACATCTAATCTATCATGTCAGAGGAACAAGAACGAAAAGACAAAAAAAGAGGAAGACAAAAAGCCACAGATGATCCCTCAGTGTGATATGTACTGGAACACGGCAGACACGTTCTCCTCCCCACACTCCTGCCGGAGCAGCAGGTCCTGGATCCCCTTGAGCCCCTCGTTGGCGAAGTGGTTCCACGTGCTCGTGTCGCCGTACAGCATCGCGGGCGCCTTGAGGAACTGCTTCCCGTCGGGCTTGCACCGCTTGCACTTGAACGTCTCGTGCGTGTCGCTGAGGGTGTCAGGCCGGTACTGGAACAGCTCGCGCAGGCTGTCGAGGCTGAAGTGGCGCTCCACGTCCTCGGCCTCGTCCACCACGCACGACGACAGCGACTGCTTGTGCGACTGCCGCTGGAACACCTTCTCCTCGATCGTGCCCGTCGCGATGAAGCGGTACACGAAGCAGTCCTTCTTCTGCCCGTCGCGCCACACGCGGGCCAGCGCCTGCTGGTCCGCGGCGGGGTTCCAGTCCGGGTCGAAGAGGATCAGCCTGTTGGCGCCGATCAGGTTGATGCCGCAGCCGCCGGCCTTGCTGGAGAGGAGGAAGACGAACTGGCCCCCGTCGGGGTCGTTGAACTTGTCCACCAGCTTCTGTCGCTTGTTGACGTTCATCGACCCATCGAGGCGGAGACAGGGGTAGGCTTCGTTCCGGCACAGGCGCTCAAAGAGGTCCAGCGTGGACGTGTAGTTGGAGATTAGCACAATCTTGTCGTCCGTGTCGGCGCGGATCCTCTTCAGCATGCGGTCCAACACTGCCATCTTGCCGCTGTACATCGGTTTGACGTCTCTGTCACGGCCCCGTGCCTCCTTGGGAACGTAATCATCGGGGAAGTGGTCCTCGCAGCCGGGGAGGTCATTCGACAGGTCGAGCAGGTCTGGGTGGTTGCAGAGTTTCTTGAGGATGTTGATGGCCTTGAGAGGCTGGCTTCCCTTGCCACGAAGCAGCGCTTGGATGTCGGGACTTTTGATAAAGTAGTTGTAGAGGTCATGTTGGAAGGGGGCATTGCTGCAGAAGACAACGTGCTCGTACTTCAGGGGAAGGTACTTGGAGAGGAGGTCATTGGACCTGCGGATGATGAACTTGTTGACGACCCCGAGCAGCTCGGACAGGCACTCGTCTCCCCTCTGGCGGTCCTTGTCTGACGCATCAGCATCACGACCTCGTAGGATGGGGATCTCAAACCGCTTCCGAAACTCAAGTCTCGTGCCCAGGAGACCAGGGTTTGCGAAGCTGATCAGGGCGAAATACTCGGAAAGGTCGTTCTGGATCGGAGTTCCGGACAGGATGATGCGGCGTTGTACGTTGAGGCTGTTGAGAGCCGTGAAGGTCTGGCTTTCGCCGTTCTTCAGACGGTGGCCCTCGTCAGCGAGTAACAGTCCGATCTTGCAGTGCTTGAGCTCCTCCACGTTCAGGCGCAAGGTCTCGTAGGAGACGATGATGACGGGACGGGTGACAGCTCGCCCACTCGAGATGGCCCACTGTTTGAGCTGCTGGTTAAGCTGCTCCTTGGTGGCCTTCCCGTCGATGGCGAAGGGCGTGATGGCGCCAGGACCAAGCCACTTGACCAACTCGTTTGCCCAGTTCTTCACCAGACTTGAGGGGCATACAACGATCGCTTTTTGTATGGTAGACTTGCCGGCGTCCGGGGATTGCTTGAGTAGGGTCCACAGAAGCGTGATGCACTGCAGCGTCTTGCCGAGGCCCATTTCATCGGCCATGATGCAGCCGTTGGCCTTCTCGTCGATCATGCCGGTTGTGCAGCGGTACATGAACTTGACACCTTCAATCTGATGGGGGCGCAGGACCTTGGCGAGCTTCGGGTCGATGACCACTGGTACACGGGGGTGTTCTGTGTCGACCTTCTTCTTGATACCAAGAATCTCGGCAAGACTCTTGTGCACAAGCGGTGCGTCAATTACCTGGGTCGCAGGTGGCTTGTCCTCCTCCTTCGGCTTCTCGACCTCCTTGGGCTTGTCGTCAATGGTAGGGTCGTAGAGGACGATTGAGAACTCGCCACTCGGGTCGTGCAGGGGCTTGGCAACGAAGACAGCGCCGGTCCTCAGACCCAGGGTGGGCGGCGGCCGGTTGGGATTGTAGGCAGCGCTATTCTTGTTGATGAGGGGGATGGAGAAAGCCTTGCGGAAGACCTTGTCTTTGTCCTTGACTGCAAAGACGGGGAATCGGTTCGCATCTCGACTCGCGAGGGCGAGGCGGTCCTCGTTTGTGTATGGCTTGTCGGCGTCGGCATCTCCGTCGGCTCCCTTGTAGTCTATCTTCCTCTTCTTCCTGGCAGGTCGGTCGGTTGCCACTGTTCGAGTGGCAGATCCGGGACATTTGAACGGCTTGTGGAGCCTGTCGATGGTCTGGGGCGTGGGGAAGCGACTCCTAGGCGCGACATTCTCCTTGTTTGCCCTCGGGGTCGACGCGACCTCGGTCCTGCAAGACATGAGTGCTTGATCTGAGCGGGTGATGATGCTTGAGCAGGACTCACATTTTGCCTCCAATGTCGTTTGGGGCCGAGATATGTGGCCTGTTGGACAGGAATTTGCCACTTTGATGGGCTCGGAGATGCTCGGATGAGCCGTGGTGGTTCTTGTTTACTTGACTTGGGGGGGAGCGCGACTGCCAAGCTCAAGTAAGGAAGCGACGCGTCTGCCTCGCCGAATCACGTGCTGCAACACGTGCAAGCTGGCGTCTTGCTGCGGAGATGCTGTGTTCCCTCGACAAGTTCTTGTCTCCAGACTGCATCAATGACTGACTTGGCTATTAAATTGAAAATCAGAACAGCATGCATCCACAAACATGAGGGCTGGCTGGCGAGTTGTCTTCCAGCCTTCTCCTCCTGCTGGTCGACTCGCCCGTTTCTTGCCGCATCACCGTTGACGTAAACCGCCGCCCAGCATTTGGGCCGAGGTAAATTATGGAGGACTTCCTCCTGCGCAATTAACCAGATATGCTTGGTAGGCCTTCAATACACTCGACTAATATCTCTTCTGCGTAGATGCATTCATTCAATTGGTCTCAGAGTGCGTAGACCGCTGTCATCGATTTCGAAAGATTACTGGTTACCACAGTTTTGTGAAGTCGCACTCCCATTCTTGAGTGCATCGCTAGCCTCCTTCTAAAGTGCTCAAACGTGTCCACTCGGGATTGCATTCCAGGACTCGCGGAGGTCCTTGATATTCTGTGCACCCTTCGTACATGTGCTTTGGTGCCTAGTGCTATGTGCCTGCGTGAGGACTGTCCAAGGACAAGATCGCATTGAAGCATCACGTATGAAGCACAGGACAGTTGACACGGACATTGAAGACGCCGGCACCCCATAAACAATGTCTGCCGACTTCTGGGCCGGCTACATATCCGGCGCCGTCGGCATAGTCATAGGCAACCCCCTCGACATCCTCAAGGTGCGCCTGCAGGCCTCGAGCAGCGGCGCAGGAAGCCCACATGCACCCTCACCAGCATCAGCATCGCCCGGTCTCCCGGCCCAGCCATCTCCATCTCCATCGCCATCGCCATCGCCATCGCCATCGCCATCCGCCTCAGCCCTCAGCCTCCTGCGCAAATTCTCAACGGGCACCGCGGCGCCGATCCTCGGCTACGGCGCCCTCAACGCCCTCCTCTTCGTCTCCTACAACCGCTCAGAAGACCTCCTGAACCGGGCCCTCACACCACACAACCCTTCGTCTTTATCATCATCATCACCATCGCCACCACCCACGACCGGCTCCAACCTCTGGACCACCTTCCTCGCGGGCGCCATCGGCGGCCTCGCCACCTGGGTCGTGTCCACGCCCACGGAGCTGATCAAGTGCCGCGCCCAGCTGAGCGCCGGCCCGCACGCCTCGAGCTGGGCCATCACCAGGCGCGTGCTGCGGGCCGATGGCGGCGTGCGGGGCCTCTACCTCGGCGGCACCGTGACCGCGCTGCGGGACAGCGTCGGCTACGGCTTCTACTTCTGGAGCTACGAGCTGGCCACGCGGTGGGCGGCGCGGTGGTCCCGGGAGACCGGTGGCGGCGGCGAGACAGCCAGGGCGCTCCTGTGCGGCGGGCTCGCAGGCATCGTCACGTGGGCCAGCATCTTCCCGCTGGACGTGATCAAGACGCGGGTCCAGGCGCAGGCCCTCGCCCCGCCGGGCACCATCGCCGTCGTCACGGGGGAGACCGGCCCCCTGCTCCGGGGCCCGGCCCCGGCGAGGCTCGGCGCCGTCGAGGTGGCGCGGGTTGCGTACAGGGAGGGCGGGCTGAGGGTCTTCTTCAGGGGTCTGGCCGTCTGCAGCGTGCGGGCCTTCATCGTCAACGCGGTCCAGTGGGCCGCCTACGAGTGGATCATGATGGAGCTCGGCCAGGGACGGAGGAGGCCTGAGGCCATCCCTGCTTAATTTTTCTCGCTCGCAAGCGCGACCCAGAAGTGGAAAGGCACTGCCCCAGAATGGCCGGAAGGGGTCACCAGCTCGCAGGGGGGTTCGACCAGACTGGCGTCCAGAAGTTTGATGGCAGCTCTTTGCGGAGTATGGACGGGGCTGCGCTTCCGCCGGGTGGATCTCGTCTCCAGCTCACAGATCACCTCAATATCATGTGAACCGCGGTTGCTCAGGACTCATGGGCGCTGCCATCCGTCTTATCCGCCTGGAACCATTTCATCCAACACATGCACGCGTGGCGAAACCACTCGCAGCCTCCAGCACTTCTGGAAACATGTCTAATGTTGGACTCTATCTAAAATATGTGTCTAGGGTATCGAAATTAAAGCTCTACATGTATTCGCAACAATTGGCCTCTCGAGGGCCAGTTCTTCCCGCAGGCTCTCCGGTAAATAAAGCTCCCAGGACGACAATTCTTGGCACATGTCTGGCAACCATGTACTTCACCAAACCTTGCCGCTAGAAGCATTCGCCCAAAACCTACTCTAGACGATCATGGTCTTGAGTATCTCCAAGCACTTCTCAGGCTGGCTGAGGAAAGGGAAGTGGCCGGCGTCGATCCTCTCTGCCTTGAAGCCCAGCGACTGGGCGAGGTGCTCCTGCAGCGGGCCGGGGACGCACTGGTCCTGGGTGCAGATCAGGTAGCTCTTGGGGATGGTGATGTCGGCGGCGCTGAAGGTGACGGGGACCTCGAAGGCGTCCTGCGAGTGCGTCACGACGCCGTTCCAGTACCTCTCCAGCTCCTCGGGGCTGCCCTGCACGTCGCTGAACAGCACCTGCTTGGCGTCCTCCTTGAGCGTGATGGCGTGGTTCTAGCCCGGGGGCGGTTCTGTCAGTCCAGGCGTTGCGACACAAGCAGCAGGGAGTGCACCAGCACACAGCCCTGCCGACAACAGGCGAGCGTGTACATCGGCAAGAAATGCAGGAAATGGGATAAATGAGCTCGGGAAACGCAAAGACGAGATGCGCCGTTCGACAACCACGTACCTTGGAGTAAGCAGGCGCAAACTCGGCCCACGGCGGCCACTGGCCCCCAAACACGGCAAACAGGTCCACGCCGGCCGCGGGGATCGCAAACGCGGCGACGTAGACGATGGCCCGGAACCCGCCGGCCTTGCCCTCCCGCGCCCGGTCCGCGACGCCGTTCCCCTTGGTCGCGGAGCCCGCCGGGACGCCGCCGTATGAGTGCGCGACGAGGACGACCTCGCGGCCGGCGTCGAACAGCGGCCGCGCCGTGTCGAGGATCACCTCGACGTCGGCCTCCCACGTCTGGCCGCGGACCTCGCCCTCGTGGCCCGAGGTGCGCAGGTGGGGCAGGTGGCACTCGTAGCCTAGGCCCTCGAGCTGGCGTTTCAGGGGCGTGTAGGACGGGTCCGGCAGGGACCAGGCGCCGTGGACGATGATTATTGCGGGCTTCTGGGCGGAGGTTGCCATGGTTGGGAATATGTTTTTTTTTTTTTTTGTTTTTTCCTTCTCTTTTTGTCTTGGCGTTTTGTGGACCGGCAGTTGTTGCTCGGCAGGATTGTGGCGCGCGGCAGTCAGGGACGGAGAGGTAGAAATGCGTGGCGAACAAGGAATACAAGTATGGGGAGGCCGAAAACGAGAAATGGGACGCAAATTTTCTCCTGTACCCTGCTTGGGGAGATCAGACGAATAGGGAAATAAAACACGACATTGGTGGACGGGCGCCCGAGATAAGTAATGGTGGTTTTTGGGTTTGGCGGCCCGGGAGCTGAAGATCTGTATCCCGGCGCGCAGCAAAAGCGGCGAACTTGCATGAGCGTTCCTGATCGGCCAGTGGGGTGGTGCCGAGTCGTATGACACTTATTCATCGCGAGCCTCATGGTGGATAGGCAGCCCACTCGTGGGTGGATGTGTGAGCGAGTCAGCGACCAAAGAAACGCATTATTGCATCGGCTCACTTTGTACGAACCACGGATGGCAGCACCACTTACACGACACCCTCCCTTGGCCCGGCCAGCCGGTCCTGCCCCTGGCCATGCTGTGTGAACCTTAAGAGTTTCAAGAAACCGAATGTTGCAATCCACACACCCGGACGCGCTGGCAATCTCTAATGAATTCTCCCTTTCTCCCACTTTCTCGAGTATTATCTTCCCCCGCCAGTCGGGACAAAAAAAGAACTCGAATCGATCGATAACAGCCGCTGATCTCAGGGATATTCCTTCTTCCACAACCATCCGCCGCAATTATCGAATCCTCTTATGCAACATCAGCAGAAGGGCGCCCTTCTACGAGTCGCCGAAACCCAACACTCGCACGATTGACCCACGACAGGCCTAATCACCACCGCCGGACTCTTACTCCTTTCCGATGGGTAGTAATGCAGGGGACCTGTCACAGTTCTCGCAGGAGTACATCGACTATGACCAAGGGCCGGCCGTGATCGGTGTCTCCATCGCCGTGGGGCTGCTCGCGCTCGCGAGCGTTGGCTTGCGCGTGTGGGCTAGGCACATCAAGAGGGTGCCGCTCGGGATCGAGGACTACCTGATCATAGTGTGTGTGGTACGCAGAACACCAACTTGAAGAGGTGACTGGTGGGAGTCGTGAACAGGGTTAAGAATGAGCATCTCCTTGGACTGACACCTTTTATGCAGCCACTTCTCGTCGGCACTGTTATTTGTGGTAAGCAGGGTCTCCTTTTCTTTATCTGATCATGACTTGGGCTCACTCCTATTGACGCATTCTTTTAGCGATCTTCGGTAAGCTTCCGTCTTGCTGCCATCGTAGGCTGAACTTTAAGCGTGGGTACAATGAATTAACCCCTTTGGCCAGCTGTCCGTCTCGGAGGGGTGGGTAGGCATTATGCGGTGAACAAGATCGTAGATCCGGCCGCCTACGGGCGGGGCCAGGCAGTAAGCTTTCCCAGGAGACCACACGGCAGGACCTGTCCTCGAACAGGGACGCTGCTGACATACCCCAGGCGCTCTTTGCCGTCGAGTGCATCTATGGCACGCTGCTCGTGGTGTGCAAGTTCTCCATCCTCGCCATGTACTGGCGCATCTTCCCGACGCCCTTTGTCAAGAGAGGATGCTGCGTGCTGGGCGGGCTGACGCTGGCATGGATCATCGCCGTCGCGCTGGTGGCGTTCCTCCAGTGCCAGCCTATGCAGAAGATCTGGCTGCCCGACACGCCGGGTAAATGCATCGACAACAACAAGTTCTTCATTGGCAATGCGGTGCCTAACATCTTCACCGACTGTGCCATCATGGCGCTGCCTGCGTACGAGATCTCGCGGTTGCGGATGGGGTCCACGCAGAAAATAGGCCTGGCTGGTATCTTCCTGCTTGGAATATTGTGAGTGCTGGCGTCCATCCTGAGCGCACCTGTCACTATTGTTGCTGACCCGCTTCTAGTGTCTCGTTCATCAGCGCGATCCGTTTGATCTTCTTGTTCCAGCTCAGCGCCGGTGGTCCAGACGGAGATCTGACGGGTGAGTTGGCCCGTTTCCTTGCTCATGTTCAACCGCTTTTGGGGACATTTGCTAACATACCCATAGTGCTGATCGCCGTTCCTTGGATATTGACAATAGTAGAGGGCGAGTGCGCCGTCATGTGCGCATGCCTGCCTCTCCTCCGACCCGTGGCACAGGCCGTGTTCGGGCGTGTCCTCACGTCTGGCGCGGGCAAGTCATCCAACAGACGACCGAGTGGATTGAGTGGCTTGAACTCGGCCGATCTCGTGACAATTGGCGGCGGAGCACCAGGTGGCGGGAAGCGGCCCACATTCAAGGCTGGCGCCCGCCCGTTTGAGGTTCTCGACGACACGGATTCCGGGGAGCACATACTGGTCGGGGGCCACAGCATGAGGACGAGCGTTCAGGGCAGTGATGGGAAGGCGCCAAGTGAGGGCAGCGATGAGATCCCGCTGGAGAGGATCACCGTGCGGCATGAGGTCAAGGTGAGCTGGACTGAGTCCAAACCTAATCATGTCTGAGGTGCATGTTGACTTTTGATGGTGTCATCGACGATGTTTGTATGAGCCGTCCTTGATTTGGAGGGACAATAAGAAGTACGTACCCCTAGATGTCAAATAATATTTAATGAGTAAGCAAGTAAGCAAAAAGAGAGGTTGTCACCAACACTCTCCTCACGCCCTGCCACCCCTACAAGGTGCTACAGCGCGTCCCTCCTTTTCGGTGTTCCCTGCCATGTTTGGGCAGGGGTTGCGGGATATTTATTTGCAGTGTTTGTTCTCTCACCTGCCTGTGTTTTTATTGACGTTACGGTGAGCACTGTATCTGAACGTGGGGCCTTGTGGTTAGCTGGTCTTACCAGGACTTATAAAGTCGCTCGCCTTTGCCGTTGCGCCAGCTTGCCTGTCGTTGCAGGTGGTTGGTTGCGGTGGTTGATGTGGTTGAGGCGAGTGAATGACAGACAGCAATGGAAGTTGGGATGAGGCTCTCAGAGTGTGGCCCAGGCCAAGACCTGCCAGTGCCAGACCTGGTTGACCTGGGAGTGCAACACCCACCCCTGCATGTCTCTGGGCCATCCGATCGGCAGGTGCAACTCAGGCTAGCCCTGCATGTCAACTGCTCCAACAGGGCGGATCCCCCAATCACTGATCTCAAGCTTGCGGGTAAAGGTGGGTACTAATTAGGGGGGATGGATGGCAACGACCAATCCCTTCTTTTTTTCCCTTCCCACAAGCCAGTCAGCCAGTCAGCCTGCAGCCCGTATCTCTTTCTGCCTCTGCAGCCTCTGCACGCAAAGAAGATGCAGGCTGGCAGCAGGTTGCAATTGAGCTCCAGGTCAGCTCTTGACTCGGCTTGACTCGACCGGCGCATCCAGCTTGCTTACTGAGTCTGCCTGCCTGCCTGCCTGCCTGCCTGTCTGTCATCTTTTCACCTCTTCACGTCGTCGTCCACGTTGCAATTTGCTTGTTGGCCTTGTCCTTCCTATCACCGTACAATAATCTTAATCGTTTTGTTCGAATCGCTGCTTTTTGATGGCTCCACATCACCCATTCTGACGTCGTTTCCACCAAGGGACAGGATCAGCCCGTCACCCATTCATTCCAGTGAGACAGGTTTCAAGTCGATCAATTGATTGTGACCAGAAACAAACCCCCGCGACACATCCAGGGATTGAGTTTTGAGCTCGGACGAACTGCAGATCCCTTTCGCTTCACACCCTCACGATGATCGCCGTGCGACCACGGCCTGTCGTGGCAATATCCATCGCCATATTGATCACCGTAACCTTCTACCTCCTCCACCCCAACCGCAACGCCTTGCATGTCCCCTCGAGCTTCTCCGCGCCCTTCTCGGCCTTCAGCGGCGCCCCAGCCGAGTCCTCCTCCTCCTCCAAGTCGAACGTCGCAGAGAAGCCCTATGGCAGAGACTATCATGGCCACTCGACGCCCGACGACATCAACCGCGTCACCAACGGTACCCTTGGCTTCGGGAAGATCTTTGTGGTCGGCCTGCCCGAGCGCACAGACAAGAGGGATGCCATGTCGCTCTCCGCCGCCCTGACGGGGTTCGATATCGAGTGGGTGGATGGCGTGCGCGGGGAGTCGATCCCAGACAAGGCGGTGCCCTTTGGTGTTGACCGCAAGAAGTTGATGGAGACAAACCTAGGCAGCTGGAGGGGTCACATGAACGCGATACGGAGGTGAGCGTCGCGCTTGGCAATGTAACAACGTTACTTTGATGCCCGGGAGCTAATCTTTGCCCGTCCCTCGTCCACAGGGTTGTCGAACAAAACCTCGACGCAGCCCTCATAATGGAAGACGACATGGACTGGGACGTCCGCCTCAAGCCCCAGCTCGAGATCGTCGCCGCCGGTGCCCGCGCCGTCATGTCCAACCTCCCCGACACCTACTTCCCAACCGGCCGGGCCTCCTCCACCGCGGGCCCCATCCCGACCAGCCCCTACGGCGACGACTGGGACATCCTCTGGCTGGGCCACTGCGGCGAGCCCTTCCCCGAGGACCTCCCCGAGAACAAGGACCTGCCAGAAGACGACCCGGGCAAGGTCGCCATGGCCCGGCGGTACACGATCCTTAACGACGCGACCGTGCCCCCGCTGGACCGCGTCACCGGCATCGTCGACTTCAAGGCCCACCCGGAGCGCACGCGCTGGGTCCACGTAACCGCGGCGCCCATCTGCACCTTCGCCTACGCCGTGTCCAACCGCGGGGCGCAGAAGATCCTCTACGACCTCAGCGTCGACCGCCTGTCGGGGCCCTTCGACAACGCCCTCGCCTGGCTGTGCCGCCGCGCCGTCGGCGGGTGGAGCAAGCTGGCCGCCCTGGCTGCCGCGGGGGACCCCACGGACCGCGAGGGGACGCTGGGGGACCGGGGGCTGGATGCCAAGTGCCTGAGCGTCACGCCGCCCGTGTTCTTCCACCACAAGGCGAAGGGAAACATCCACGGGGACAGCGACATACAGGACGTCGGCGGCGAGAGGCCCGAGGGCGAGGAGCCGCCGCCGCCTGTCATCCGGGAGAAGGGCAGCACCGAGAATGTCATGTGGAGCGCGCGGCTGAATATTTTGAACATGATCCAGGGCACGGCTATGAAGAGTCAGTACTGATGCCCCTACCGGCACGGTTGCTCGACCTTGGCTTTGGGTCGGACATTGTTTTGGCTTTTGGCTCTTTCCTTTTGGCGTATTCGGAGAGAGACGGACGGGAGCGTCTTTTTCAGCTGTTTTGGCTCATGGCGTTGTAGGAGACTGGTTTGGAAAGACTTTTTAGATATCCCTGGTTAGAGATTGGATCACCTGCGGCTGACGACCCCTGCTCGGGTTGCCGAGGCGGTGCCTGATAATGTTTGAATGACAAACTGCTACAAAGCAGGTGTTCTGGCTTTCGTGACTGGGTGAGACTTGCATGTTTCCATTCCACATACGCAACCAGGCATTGCCCGTAGTGGGGACTTTGGATGGGCGCTGGAGGAGCTTTGGTCACCACTGGATTGCTGCTGAGAATTACCGACGTTCACTTGCTGTGCACTAGGTGTCTGGACAAGTCAAGCCCTTGAGTGTGACGTCGATAGGAACGAGAGAGCGGGCTTCTTGGCCGACTTACACCTCTGGGCTGCTGTGTTTACGTAGGCCGGGACGAGTTCACCAAGTCCAATGACATGCCACGCTTGAGAATCCGATACTTCGTTCAAGTTCTAATCTAATTCATTAGCGACTTGGCCCGAAGCCATTCATGACTCTTCCACAACTATGCCCCAGTCCTTCGCCAGGCCCTGCTCCCATGACTCCAGCGTCAATTCCTCTATCTCCCGGTCTCCTTCATAACATACTTCCAGTAGACATCCATCCCCCTCCACGGGTCTGACTACTGGCATCTTAATGCTCTTAGCATCGAATCCACGGTAGAAGTCACCTCCCTGTCGCGGCATCTTGAGCCACATGTGCGCCGCGCTACACCGCATGGCTGGCACTGACTGCTCGCGAAGCTTCCCGAAGCAGTCTGCGCAGAAGTCGAGGTCGGAACAGTAGATGCAGTGGAACAACTCCTGGTCGAAATCGGCCACGTTGTCGCAACTTGTGCCTGGGGGGCCGAGCCCATCGCACCACCGGCGATATCGCCGTAGCGCTGCGTTCATGACTGAGGCTTGCGTCTCATGTAGGGCATTGATCCGTGCCTTTAGCATCGCTGTGAGTTTTGCCTTTGTCGGGTCGGTATCCACGAGACTCTCAATGTGGTCCTTGGCCACTTCAATTCGACGAGCCTGCTGTGAAGAATCCGGGACTTTCGCCTTCACCACTTGCGACACATCTCGTCCCATGCCTTTCAATAACTCCTGAATTCGAGGCTGTTCGCCTTCGTCCCATTCAGAAGTGTCGTAGTCCTCGAACTGTAAAGAATTGGTAACGAGGTCCGGAGCGCCCATCAACGTCAAGGCCGCGGCTGCGTTATCGAAGTCTTGATACAAAGTCAGGCACTTGAACAGGATGTGATGTCCAATAAAGTCGTTCTCGGCCCAGCCGTCTGAGAGGATATCCAGCGCGTATTTGACCTGGCGCGCAAGCATCTCTTTCGCCTTGTCCCTCTCTCCACCGCGAGCATAAAGTACCGCCAGGAATCCAGCAGCGTCCTCACTGTCGACGCTGGAACTTTCATCAGCCAGCTTCGAAAGCGCTTGGCGGTGCTCTGTTAGCCCCTGGCCTTTGAGCAGATTTTGGAAGTAATAACTGGCGAGCTGGTATATGGCGTTCATTATGGTGGTGGATGCCACCCGACCACCAATGTTCCGGAGCTGATGGCGGCATTCTTCCCAGAACTTCAGCGCGTCGGCGACGTGGTTGGTGCCTTCCGAGGACATTCTATACGCCACTGTCATTCCTCGGTGATATAGAAGCACCCCACGCGCCTCTTGCTCTGCAAAGCCTTCCTCTCTAGAGATCTCGGTGGCTTGGTCATGCATAAACTCCAAAGGCTCTGTCCCCTTTTCGATAGCTGACACAATCTCCTTCAGCAGCTCAGGATCGCCCTTGGCGATGGTAAACATCTTGTGTATCGTGTTATTGTGGTCGGAATCCTTGGCAACCATCTTCAAAAGCTTTACCTTGCTAACTTCACTCTTCTCCGTGACGAAAGCGGTGCGAAGGATATTCTTCGCCTCTTCTGCATCATTCACTAATGATGCGTTCAAGTGAGCCACTCGTCCTCGCCCAATCCAGGCAGCATCAGAGCTCTCTGAAACTATCAGAAAATGTTGGCGTGCTTGCTGAGAGTTGCCATTCTCTTGGTACAACTCTCCAAGGCGGAAGCGAATTTGCATCAGATCCCCCTCTGTCGGTGTGGGCCTACAGCCTTTAGATCCCATTGCCGTCATGGTCAGCTCGGCTTCAGTGATAGCATCTGTAATGCGATCCAATTGGTAAAAACACTCCGATAAACCAGAGTGACACTGCCAACTTGGGTCCTCCTTGAACAGGGCGCGCTGGTAAAGTGGCATGACAAGCTCTGCGTTTTCTTTGCCTTCGTCCCATGCTGCCTGAGCAATACGTTGCCACCACAAGGAGTCGACTTCAGACTCTGGAAGGTCCAGAAAGCTCTGACACCACCCACTTACTCGCTCCCAATCAACCGGTGGAGGGTCACTATTTGTAGAGCCCGATGAAACTTGGTCGGGGGCACTGAAACGTGGAGTCTGAGGTGGTTGCGACGCTTTGTCGTCCTGGACGAGAAACATGTTAACGATGTGTGAGAGGGGAGCATATCACGTAGAAGAGTGAGCTCAGTAAGAAGAAGAAGAAGAAGAATCCTGGAGAAGGTTCTTGCGACACAGAGAAAGAGCCAAACCTCCGGGAACAGACTCACCACCTCGATGAATACCCGCACCCAGGATTTGTAACTACCCAGGGCTTCACCGGATAAGGGCTCATGACTCCTCAACCAGCTCTCAATGACGCATTTGACGAAAGGTCTCAAGAAACCCCTCACGGGACTGGAAGCTCCCTGAACTTCTTCGCGCCACTGCTTCGGCACCCTGCGCACAACCGCAGAATCCATCAGCCACTTTTGCAACATCTCCACTTCATCGGCATACCACAACGTCTGCTCTGCAACCGACTTGTGACGTTTGAAAAGCCGTTCGTCCTTAAAGAGTTCGTAGAGGTGATTTCCAATCTCGAGCTGCTCATCTGGCATGAGGTACCCCATCTCCTCGTAGTGGAGCTGTGAAAGCATCCCCAAGTGGCTCGGAAACCAGCCGAAGAGATAGCGACCTATCAGTCCAGTCCCTTCACTGGGCTCGCCTCTCAAGTACTTGAATGCGCGCATGGCAAGCGCATGATGTGCCTCGAACTCATCCACAGCGATAGACATTTGTCGCGCATGGGACACATTGGACGCCGAGTCCAAATTGAAGCGGAACTGATCGCGAATGGCTTTCTGAGCCAAGTCCCATAGAAAATGGCCTACGATCTCCTGTTCCACGTTGCTGATGTTGATTGTCATACTGATGACTGGCTTGTCTTTCGGATGCTCGGATCTATGCGCTTTTTGCTTTTGTAAGTAGTCCAGTGCTCCATCTTGGCCTTCCACGAACGGCCCACCGGGCGAGTCGTCGATCTTCAAGATGGCCAAATACTTGCTATTTATTATGTCATCGAGAAGACCAATGGATTCTTTTTCCGAGTAAAGAAGCTTTGCAACGACAATTAGTTCACGGTCCTTCACAAAGGTAGGCAAACACCAGAGATAAACTGCTACCATGAGGGAAGAGGCCTTGAGACCAAGAATTACACTCACCATGGCCGACTCAAGCTCAGCAACCGTCATTCTCTCCTTGGCGAAATGTACCCATTTCAAGAGCTCATTCAGTTCCTCAATCTCTGCACCTGTCAGTGAGCGCTGCAATGACTTTATGGCTGTCTCGTGACTATTCATAGCCTGGTCCAGCACCTTGTCCAACTCATCGAATGATGTCCGAGAGCTCAGCATGCGGACGACCTCATCCAAGGCGAATTGTAGATGAGAATAGCTCCCAGCTGCTTTTTGGGGCAGTTTCGCTATGACATTGTCCCTGGCCTTCTGTTGACGGGACCCAGGCTTGGCGTGCCGGAGTAGGGATCTCTTGATGAGTTTGTCCTCGATGAAAATGCGCATGTCCGCGTCATTATATTCCTTCATGTCAATGCGAAATGCGTTGTGGGCCTCGGCGTAGCCATCCAGAATCTTATCCGTTCCGCTCACCAGAACTCGCACGCGACCGGCTGAGTCGTCGGCCAATTTTGAGCTCGAGACAAAACCCAACAGCATATCGCGGTTCTTCTCGTCCAGATTTTCGATTCCCTCGAAAACAAGAAAGTAGGTCGATCCTGAGCCTCCGATCTTAAACTCGGACCACAAGCTATCGAGGTTCGACGTCGTATTCCGGGCGCCCAATGAGGTGCTGGCGGAGTCGCAAGCCTTTTCCAGTGATTTCCTCACCGTTGGATCCACTCTGGCTATCTGGAATGCCATGTAGCGGAGACTTGTGTGAACAGGGTATTTGCTTCCGTCATCACCTTTCTGTGGCAAATAGAAGTAATGAGCAACAAAGGTGCGACCCTTCTCCTCCTCCAGGTGCTTGATGATTTGCGCAGTGGCCAGGGTCTTTCCACTTGACGCAGGGCCTGAAACGACGAGTAAATTCGACACTTGGCGCTCACCAGCCTTGACGGGTCCTTCTTTCCAGCTGGAAAATGCCTTATCAGCCCAGATCCAGGATCCCGTCCCCGGCAAGGACATGGCCGCGATGTTGGTGCATGTCTGTGTGGTTCGCGTGTCGAGGAGCACAGTCCAGGGTATGTTCAAGGTGTCCTTAATCTTGCTCAGAGCCTTCTTGCGGCTATTGTCCTCCTTTAAAGTCTGCACTCCCTGGTATGTCTCGTCTACGGTCTTGGCGAAACCCGCAAAACTTTCCAACAATTCAGCGACATCAGCCTGTGTCTTTACCAACAAGCTGAGTGAGATCGTCCCCTCAATATCACCCCTAGCCTCTCGAAGTCTCCGCAGCTCGCTCAATTCAGCGTCCAGGGGCTTGTTGTCATCGAAGATGGCTGCAAACTGCCTCCTGAACCGGTCTCGTCGGCGGCCCTGGCGGTATTTCACAACATGGGCGCATATCTTGACAATGCTTGCCATCATGAGATGGATTTGTTCGATCAGCAATGGCTGATTCATGTTGTCGATCGACTGGTAGATTCTGAATTGTGAAAGTGACGAGGAAACTTCCGTGAAAACTCCATCCACAGCCTCGTTATAACCTCTTATCTTCTGCGGAACGTCGAAAACAAAGCTTAGAGCGGAACCTGCAATGTTTGCGGCAGCTGATGGCACAGGAATCTGGCAATGTCAGCGTTTGAAGCCCCGTGGATTGGTACGGTGGCACCCACGAACTCAGCGGCCTGAGAGGCCGCTCCAAGAAGCATTTTCATGTATTTGAGAGACTGCAGGCCCACGCTCTTTGCCTTTTCCCACTTGTCGTCTTGCTCATCGCTCGAGTCGTCTGGTTCCTTGGTTGTATATTCAATCTTCTTTCTCACATCATCGAAGCTTTTGATGTCACCCCTCTCAAGAGATTCGCCACATATTTCCTGGAACTTCTTTGCCGCCTCAGCCCAGATGTCATCTAGAGAGGTTGAGGTCTTCGACATCTTGTTCTCAAAGTTCAGGCGCACTGCGTCGTGGGATGTGATCAATTTACAATTGTTTCGGTCAAGGACCAAATAAGTCGAGCCAAGGATCGAGGTAAACAACTCGGGGTGGGCGTTTTATTTGTCTTGATGTGGTCGATTCCTAGAAGCAGGCTCTGGGACCGTTAACCTACCTAGGTACCTAGGTATCTTAGTAAGAAAGCAGGGGTCTTGGTGTTACAATGCACAGCCATCGACTGCCTAATGGCACAATGCGCATGTAACAGGTGCCTTGGAAGCACTTCGGTGCACGCCGCCCATTGCGCACGCTCCCTCCAACAAAATGTATTTTTTAAATACGCGGACCCACGTAATCCTACAACCAGTACACGAGGGAAAGACCACAGACTGTGCGACAAGACTGGAAGATTCAGCGCGTACCACGACTCCATACCGACGGCGGCTCTGTATCTGGGATGCTTACGTTGGCTGATACCAGGATACACCAAGTAGCCATGCCGGGAATAACGAGACTACATGCTGACATGCGTCGACTAGTAGATAAACTAGCCTGCGCTGCCCACATGAGCGCCTCGTTTTGGCCACAGCCTGCATAGGTAATAGAAAATCTACCCACTCACAGCACTCAACGATGATGCACACACCCTTTAATGTTGGAAGAATTAATGGCCGACACCACGCAGCCGCAGCCCGGGACCGGTGAGAAACTTGGAAGACCAGTACACCACGATTCTCAGCAGATCCGACCCTCAGATGAGCAAATACAAACCGGAGTCGTACGATGAGTGGCGGGGAACCTTTCCTAAATCCGCATAATCACTGTCTCCGGTTGGAAGTAGAATCATGACAGATCGGTAAGCAATGAAAGGAGATGTTATCTTCTGCGCAGGCGCACTGAACTTTGAGTAGAAGTCCAATAACACCACCTCGAAAGGGTTGGCATTTATCGATCAGGGACACTCTGAAGCAGACATATTATGGTGTGATTAGTTTGCGGGGGGGGGGGCCTCATTCACATACCGCCCCCAGGGAGTGTCTAGGACAGCAATGGTCTTAATGTGTACCTAAGTAGGTAAAATGGAATACTGATTTGTATTTAAGATCCATTGGTCTACTTTCGAAGTTCCTTTTTTCAACGTGTGTGTGTAAACTTTCTCTCACATGCCCGTCGCGGCCAACGTGTCGAACTGCATGCAGTAGCCAAGTATCAGATCTCAGAGCTCCCTCTGCGGGCTTCCTCAACCATTCCTATACGGTTGTCATCTCACTGTTTTTTTTTAAACGCTGGGTCATGATCGTTTACCACTATATAAAGGCACCATATATATCCTCAGACATATACAGAATAGAAGCGAAACTAGCTAAATGAACGAGGTGCGTAGTCCTACCGAAGGGAGGGAGTGTCCTTAATATAAGTATATAATTATATTAAAAATTAATATTGAAATAAAGTTTAAATATTATAATTAAATATTAGTAAAAGGTTAATAAAAGTTGAATAGCTATTTAAAAGTGAAAAAAATATATCCGACACCTCAGAGATTCGAACTCTGGCTCCCGAAGGAAATGGCTTAGCACTAGGTGATAATTGTTAGAAACAGATTAGGTGAAATGGGTTTTCATCGGGCACAACTTACGGCCATCGCGTTGACCACTCCGCCAAAGTGCCTTGGTCTGCTTTTCAATGCCAGCAACCTTAATGATATCGTAGATTCAGTCCGTAATCCTCAGAAAGGCTCTACTAGTACTGCATCTGCTGTTACGTAATCAAGCTGCTGGCCAGCAAGCTCGGGCCAAGGACCCCTGCACCAGGACCGCGCCTGCCGGCCGGAAAGGCAACGTCAGTTCGTCAGCCTTCCGCAGCCTGCTCTGCCGTTGGCTGAGAGCCGGAGCTCTGCTGCAACTCAACCGCCACTACTGTGTGTGCTGTGTGTAATCTGTACTGGCCATCCACCACAACCACCACCGCCCCCGACACCACCCTCGACGACCAACCTTGCGAGCCAACCACGGCTGTCTTTCTCTCTCTCTATCTCCCTTAACGATCTGCGAAGCCCAGCAATCTGTCCACATCATCTCGACCGTCCCCGTCCAGCCGCAGCAGCACGAGCAGCACGAGCAGCACCAGCCTGCGACACCGCCGACACCGCCGACACCATGGCCGAACGCCAGCTGCAGCAGATCCTCTCCCAGCTGAAATCCCAATCCTCCACCCTCAGCTACGCCGACGCCGCACCCCTCCTCTCCAAAGCAAAACTGCAGCTCCTGAAGCTCAACGCCCTGTCGCCACCCCCGGCCACCATCGCCCCGACCAGCAGCGCCAGCGGCAACACCACCCAGCAGCAGCAGCAGCAGCAGCAGTCCCAGAGCATCCTCGCCCTCGCCCGCGAGACCTACGAGCAGGGCGCCCTCTACAGCATCCGCGCCCGCGACCCAGAGGCCTTCACCCGCTACGTCGCCCAGCTGGCGCCCTTCTACGAGCTCCCGGCCTCGGTCCTCGCCCCCTCGCTGGCCGAGCGCAACCGCGTCACGGGCCTCTACCTGCTGCTGCTGCTCACCCAGGGCCGCTACGCCGAGTTCCACTCCGAGCTCGAGAGCCTCGCCGCGCGCGAGGGCGGAGGCGCCGCCGCCGACGTCGAGGGCGACCGCTTCCTGGGCTACCCCATCCGCCTCGAGCGGTGGCTCATGGAGGGCAGCTACGACCGCGTCTGGAAGGCCATGAAGAGCCGCGAGGTGCCCAGCGAGGAGTTTGCCGTCTTTTCTGAGGTGCGTGCGGGATGTCTTGTCTACCCCCCCCCTCCCTTTGCTAACCACCCCCCCAACCAAACAGATCCTCACCTCCCAGATCCGCAACGAGATCGCCTCCAGCAGCGAGCGCGCCTACCCCTCCCTCCCCATCTCCTCCACAAAGTCCCTCCTCTTCCTCGACTCCGAGGGCGCCGTCGTCGACTTCGCCCGCTCCCGCGGCTGGACCCTCAGGGACGGCCGCATCTACTTCCCCAAGGAGCAGGCCGAGGCCGCCGAGGGCGACGATGCCGACGAGGACGGTGCCGCGGCCGGCGCCGGCGGCAAGGAGGACATGAGCAGGCTCGTCATCGAGAACGCGCTGGGTTATGCGCGCGAGCTCGAGACTATCGTATAGGTTTACTGCATGCGTGCCGGGGATGTGGGCCGGGGTGTGTTGTTGAGCACTGCGGGATGAATGACAGGGTGGTCTGGGCTGCGGTGGTGTGTTTTGGTCCGCGACATTTGCCGTCGTGTCTGGATCCTGGGAGAACATGCACACAAAAGAAATAGAAATGATGACACTTAATGCCACTGCGACGACTGTATTGGTGACTGACTTACCGGAGCAACGGTCCACGACGAGGGGAACAACCAGTAGAGTGTCCCAGACATGGCTGTTAGTGGCCAGGCCAACCCTCCTTGATCATGGCTTGGACTTGACGGCAATAAGGGGGGAGCGTTACCATGCTGTACCAGTAGAAGGCATGTGAGAGCAAGGCCCTTCCTACGCCGCTCTGCACCCAAGCAATGAGATATGGACTCGAGCACGCACGACCACCACCACTCGGACACGACTTCATCAATATAAATATATTGCGACAGCATTCAAAACATTGGTTTTACCTTTCACCCGCCAGGTTTTCTTTCGTCTAGGACCCATCAGGGGAAAAGCACAGATCTCGACTTTTGTTCGGCAGGCGAGGAGGCACGCTGCCCGCATCCATCGCTGTAATCTCACCGCCACGGCAGGCCCCCCTGCCCCGTCCGTCACTTCAACCAAGGCTCAGGGGCCCCCCTCCCCCCCTTCTTCGTGTCGTTAAAAAGAACCAGCTAATTACATATTCCAGGACCAGGGGACTGTACCGTCGCGTAGACCCTGGCGCGCATTCAAAAACCCCACCGCAGCTGGCTGTGCTCAGAAGAACAGCTTCAGCCCGCTGCCGTGCTTGCCCACCTCGCACACCTCGCAGACGGTGCACACGGTGCCCTTGTATTTGGCGTGGTACTTGGACCCGTCAAACGCGCACTCCTCGTACGCCGTGCCGCTGTAGATGGGCGTGTGGCTGGCCGCGCAGATCTCGAACTCGGCGAACTGGTCAAACTCGATCTCAATCTCGTCGTGCGGGTTGCGCTCAGCCAGCGCCTTGGTCTTCTTGGCCTGCAGACAGTCTTGGTTAGCATACTGGGTTTTCAACCTGGAGTGCAGTCTGCCGTGTGGCCGACTTACGTTCTCAAGGATCTTGCCACCTCCTCCGTTGGCCAGGATGCGGTTAGCGAAGCTCAGCGCCGAGCTCAGGTTCTTGGCGTTCCTGGCCAGGTTCATGGCGTTGAGCAGGGCCAGCTGGCGATGGGGCACCTCGATCTTGGGGATTGTGAAGTACGCCGACAGCTCCAGTGACCGCTTCAGCAGCTCGGGGTTGGCGTTGACCTCTGCCGGCGAGCCGAGTCTCCTCCGTTCCAGCTCAATCGACATGGCAACCGTGTACTCGCTTGCCGAGGTGATGAGCTTCTTGGCCTCGGCGACCTCGCTCTCGCTGGACACCGCGTTGACCAACAAGGCGTGGAGAACACCCTTGAAGATTTGGACACCATCCTCCAGCTTGTTTGCCTTCATTGTGTCGTAACCTCGCTGCAGGTCATTGGTGGCGAGGTGCTCAAGGTCCCGCGGGATAAAGGGCAAGACTGACCGAGGGTCTTGCTCATCAACCGTACGGCGCACGTAGTTGACCAGTGGAGGCAGGCCCGCCGATGCAGGGAGGTACGTCTTTGACGCTTCGTATACCTCCAGGAATCTTGGCTTGAGTGGTGCGAAGCTGACGGCACCGACTTGCCTGTTCAGGAGGTTCATGGCACTCTCGAAGGAACCCCCCGCGACATGATCTACGGCCAACGGGGAATTGCGAGCCCACATGTCAGCCTCGCTGCTGCCAGCACCGCCTGCATCTGCGCTTTCGACGTTGACAAAGTCGCCCTCGACATCAGGAACCTCGTCATCTCCCATGTCCCACCCGGCAGCGTCCTCCTCGTCGTCGGCCTCCGCCAGTGCGCCGTTCTTGGCCACGAGATCGTCCACGGAGTCGTCGCCGAATCCATTGGTGGCTGCAGGGGTGTCCTCGAGCGAGAGACCCTCCACCTCGCCAAGCAATGCCTTCTCAAAGAAGGACTGCGACGTGGCCTTTGTCGGCCAGTTTGCCTTGAATGTGGGCACAACTGGCTTTGGCGGAGTAAGGGGCTCGCCGATCTTGGGCAATGTGATTTGGTCCTCGGTCAAGCCTGTGGCCTCCAGAATCGCCTCGCACTCCTCCTCCTGGCCGCATGACTTTGCAGTCAGGTATGCCAGAGGGTAGAGATCCGCCTCCTTGAACATTTGTATCCTGTCCACATCGCCAAGGAACAGGTCGTTCTGGAACCGAGAAGTAAAGTCCCCCCTGTGCTCTGCGATCTTTGCCATCCTGGCAAGCTTAGACTGGTCACCAGTGGTCAGGTACAGGAAGGACAGCTTGTCGAACTGCTTCAGCTTCTGGTAGCACATTTCGACGGTCTGGTGGTTTCCGTGGGCCAGGGCCTCGCTTCCAAGCTTCACCCAGAGAGCCTGCTTGTCCAGTTGCTTGGCCATCTCCACCGCGACCTCGAGGTTACCACACTCAAGGGCGAGCTCGAACCTCGTGGTGGGGTCCTGCACGAACTGGAGTGCAATCTCAGGGTAGCCCTTCTTTTGCACATACGAGATGACAGACTGGCCGACCAAGCTCGAGTTGCGGATGATGTCGAGCATCTCGCTGTAGTTCTTCTTGACCAGCGACAGCTTGAAACGGTACTCGGTAGGGTCGATGTGGAGGACCTTGGGCTTGGCCGCGCGATCCAGGCAGTACACGTTGCGGCCCTTGACACGGGTGAGGTACACAGTCGTGTCCAGAGTGCGAACGATGCCATTGTCGCCGTTCAGGAGAGTGTACTTGATGTGGTTGAGAGTCGAGTAAAGTAGGACGCCGGCATCGTCCCAAGTGGCACTCTTGATACGGATCGTCTCATGCAGGGTGCTGACCTGCTCCAGTGTCTTGGTAACGATGGTGACGTTGTGCTTGCTCAGCAGAGCAGCGTAGAGGCCGTCATTGGACCACACCACGTACTTCACACCGTTGACAGTCAGATCCGCGATGCTCTTCTTCTGCTGGATATCGTAGAGGTGCACGGCGGTCGGGGTAATGATGAGAAGGTTACCCGTGCCACCGAAGTAAATGTCAGTTGTTCCTACAGGAGGCTTGAAGGAACGGGTAGTGGCGTTTGACAGGTCCTTGATGTCAATGGTCTGGCTCGACGTGTTCAAAACAGCGAACCGATTCCTGGCCACAAAAATGGCAGAATTGCCCTGTCCGCGTTTTGACTCGGTTGGCTCGATGGCGCCGGACCCATCGCGGGGGAGGTTCACGAGCTCGTACGACCCGCCATCCGAAGAGGAGGTGACCAGAACGGAGCGTTCAGCAGGGTTGTATGAGAGAGTACGAGGAGGCACCCAGGCTGGCCCGACCTTCTTAAGCGAGAGCAGCGTCGGGCTCTCGATGTTCTTCTGGAAGTCGTATGACTTGACCTGCTTCTCCTTGGTGATGTAGAAGAGGGTGCTCTGATGGACTGCCATCGCCGGCCTCTCCCTTTCCAGCTTGAATACCATGACGCCGTTATCGTGACCGGCAGCAAACAAGTTGATCTCGGGGTGAGCGGCGATTACCCAAAACCTATCGTTTTCTCGCTTGAAGCTCTGCACGCTTGTCCTCTTGTTCAGGTCCCACACGCGAATGGTCTTGTCTTCTCCGACCGACAGGATGAGGTCCTGGTGGGGGTGGAAAAGACACCCAGAGGAGTTCTGGAAATGGCCTCGACATGTGTCGACCTCCCATGCCTTGGTCTCGCTCATGCGCCACAGCTTGACCAGCCTGTCGTCGCCAGCCGACACGATCAAGGGCATGGTGGGATGGAACGAAACCCAGTTGACACCACGGTCGTGGCCCTCCAGAACGAACTTGACGACGGCGTCCGTGTTGCCGAACATATCAGTCTGGTTCTGGTTTCCCCGGGCCACTTGCTCCTCGAATGTGATGGACGTTGGGGCGGAGTGTTTCTTGCGCAGCCCTGAGATATCCCACACCCTGACGGACTGGTCCAGGGAGGCCGAGACGACCAGGTCTTGTGTGGGGTGGAAGCTGGCGCACATGACATAGTGGTTGTGGCCTGTCATGGTGCAGATCAGGGATCGGTTCTGCCAGTTCCATATCCTAATGGTCTGGTCGTCGGAGGCTGAGATGATCCATGGGAGCTCGTGGTGGAAGAAGACGGTTCGGACGTAGTCGAGATGCCCATTAAGCGTGAACAGCTCCCTCCTTGTGGTAAGAGACCACACCTTGATCTTGTAGTCGTCGCCGCCGGACACGAACAGGGGCTGGGTCTTGTGGAAGTCGACGCCGCGGACGGGCCCGCTGTGGCCTTCAAGCCGGTCGATCAGGGTTCCCATTCGGTCTATGCACGCACAAAGTAGAAGTCAGCAATCATCGAAGCTCCGTCGGGGCCCCGAGGGGGTTGGGCGACCAGTGCACAGAGCCGAGGGGTCGCAGTCCCCTGCCCAGGCAGTCTGGCAATGCGCCCGGCCCCATTGGCATCCACCAATTTGTACGTACAGTCCCATAGCTGGATGGTGGATGAATGCAGGGATACGAGAATCCATGGTCTGGTAGGTGTGAGTAACAGCGTCGATGGAGGGGGTCGGGTGGATGTCGTCGAAGCTTACCGCTTGGGGTGGAAAGCAATCCCCTTGGCGCGGGAGCTTTTGCTCTCGAACTGTTGCGCGTTGTCAGCTCTGGTCTCGCTTCCCCTGCGGTGGCCGAAGCTGATGGGGCTGTGTGCGGACGGACCTTGGTGAGCATGCCTGATGAGGCCATGTTGTGTGGTGCTGTGGAAGCCTGAGCTTCACATCAACTGAGAGGGACAGGCTGGTGGGATGTTGCGGTTGAAATCAGGGCGAAAGGGCCATGCAGCTGCTGGCTGGTGCTGGTTTGAATCTGAGTGGCCTAATTACTGAAACAGTGCCTGATGTGGTCGAAGGTGAAGGAGCGAGGATGGACCACCTGGCACCGGTCGGTTCGAGGCCACGGCGTGTTGGTGTTGGTGTTGCTGGCTGGTAGGGGATTCGAGGCCGCAAGAGTGGAATCGTGGCCATCTGCAAGGTGGAACTAGACCAGGGAGTGCGCCGCCCAGCCAGCCAGCCAGCCAGCCGGAGCTCGCTCGTCACAAGCGTGGACCGTGCACCGCCCCCCGTTTGAATTGACACCCTGGCACTGCCAGTACCCCGTGCTGATTGTGCCGATAAGGATTCGATTCGCTTACACGGTACACCTCGTCCCATTTTGGGGTAGTCATTGTAGCCATATGGGTTGAAATGGAATTGAACTATTTGAAAAGACATGATAAGAGTTCGTTAATTATTCGTTGACGGTTGTGAGCAATCGAATATATTCCAGGGGCATCGTACAGCATACCGTTTGCCACAATACGGAAGCAAGCCGTCTTGACTTGAGCAGCTACCATCCGTTTGCGCTTAACCTCTTTGGGAGAGCTCCCAAGGCAATGTGTTCACTTTCGACGCTGGGCCTGGCAGCCAACAAGCAGGGACTAAGTACAATTCCAAGACAACTTCCAGAAGACCAGCTTACCTTCAGCCTAGCGCTGTACTTGTTATCCTTTGTCGTTGCTGCATTTACAAAACCAGACGACCTGCCATATTCCCGGGGCAATGGGAGAATAGTGGAGCTTGTTAATAGGCAGCCCCAGGCTTATTGACTACCACAACTGCTGCTACGTACTGGCTTCTCTCGAGCACACCCTCCGAACGGACTGCGCCGTGTAAGGCTGCTTCAGCCAACAGCACACCACACGATGATACGACTCTCCCAGCTGCCAGGGAGCCTTCTGGCGTCCCTGCTGGCAGCAACTCTCTTCAAAGCCCAGCCGACATGCGCCGCGCCGTCTGTCGAGATCGCCATGAAGGCTGCATTTCCCTCGCCTCCGTATATGATAGAGCTGCTGTAAGAACCCTGCCTGGAGGCACCACCTGCATGTCACGTACGTGAACTGATCTTTCTTCTAGCGAGACTGCCGCCCAGGAGAATGCGTCAAGCTACTTCCCCCTTCTCGACCGTATCGCAGACGGCTACTTCTCCGAACTCAAAACCGACGCAGAATTGTACGCGAGCTTCCTCTCCGTCCTCCAGGAGGATGGTTTCATTACCACCGACGAGGACCTGTCCATCTTGAAGCTGGCCTTGTCGACAAGGTCGGCCGTCCCGCGGATCGAAGCACATTACCAGTACTACCAGACAGGCGTCGAGCCAACGCTACAGGGGGACCAAGCTGGATGTGATGCTTGGGCAATATGGGAGGGCCAGCAACATTGTATACCCAGCCTGGACGCCGGCCAGGCCCGCGGCGATGTCTCAGAACGACAGGACCGAGATCTGCCTTTCGACCGCTCTCTTGGTGATGGCCCTAGCTGTATTCTGTACGCCGACATCACCTCGCCACGATTTGCGCCGTTCCACAAGGTGCTGTCAGAGAAGGCACTGAACCGAGAGTGCACTTACAAGCTCCGCCACCGGAGGCTGTCCTACGAGGATCTCGAGCCGCTACCCGTCAGTGGCTATGGTGTTGCCCTCCAGCTGAAGAGGACCGACTACATTGTCATCGACGACCGCAAGGCAGAGGAGGATGCGTCGCAGAAGGTCATGGCATCCGAAGTCGTCCTCGACCAGGAGGAAGAGGTTACTGACCTCAAGCCACTGTCCACGTCGGAGCTGTCCTCCCTTGCTCTGAAGGCATCGTCTTTCATCATGCAGAGCGAGGACCCCTTTAGCACATTGCTTAAGTTGACCCAGGACTTCCCAAAGCATTCCAGCTCACTTGCCGCCCATAATGTCTCGGATGAGTTCTACAACGAGCACAAGGGCAACCGGGCCGAGCTGGTCCCCGCCGGGACCAACGTGCTGTGGATGAATGGCGTCCAGCTCGTTGAAAGACAGATGGATGCCTTTACTCTGGTGGACTTGTTGAGGAGCGAGCGGAAGCTCATCAACGGCGTCACCGACCTGGGCTTGACCGGGGAGGAGGCCATTGACCTTCTCACCCACCAGTCCGTGGCTGCTGCCAAGGCAACCGACGATGTTCAGAGGTTTGTCTGGCATGATGGGCCCGAGGATGGCAAGGTCATTGTATACTTGAACAACGTCGAGAAGGACAAGCGATATGAGGGCTTCCCCAAGCACCTGATGAGTGTAAGAGCCGCCCAAGATCCACTCTTCTCGGATTTTTCTGACATGTTCTAGCTTCTCCAAGGGGGCGGCATGCCGGGCCAATTGCCTCAAATTCGCCGTGACATCTTCAACGTGGTCTTCCCCCTGGATCTCACCAACGAAGAAGACGTTGCTTTGGTGACAAAGCAACTCCAGGAGTTCGTCAAGCGGAAGCTTCCTGTCAGGTTCGCGATTGTTCCTCTGGCTTCCACCGATGCCTCCGAGCGCCAGGCCAGGATAGTCTATAACTTGGTTGAGACATACGGCCTCGGCGCGATGATGGCATACCTTCAGACTGCCATTGAAGACAAGAAGACTGCAGATGCGGACAAGGCAACCTTCGAGACGGCAGTCACTAACAGGACATTGCGTGAAGATGCCACCGCCTTGTCATTTGAAGACGTGCTGGCATCTGAGCACCACGCAGAGCAAATTCGTCTTTCCGAGGTTTGGGCTGATCGATTGCGTGCACATGGTCCTACCCCTGTCTTCTTCGTCGACGGCCTTCCCATGCCCCGTCAAGGCAACTGGGTGCAACCTATGAGCCAGGCAATTGGAATGGATCTGCAGATGCTTCGCCAGGCCCTCTTCTATGGTGAAGTCGACGAAGACATGTGGATTCCCGACTACTTCCTGCAGAATGCCGCCAAGCGTCGCAACACTGTCATTTTCTCGAACGATCCAAAGGACCTGAAGGTGCTGGATGTCAACAAGCTGCACTCGGAGCATGCAGACCTGTTTGAGATAATTCCGGTGCTCGAGTCTTACCCGGACTCTACCAAGGAGAACTGGGCAGTGCTGACACTGGTTCTTGACCTCACCAATCCTGAAGGCGTCAAGCTCGCTGCCTCGGCTTTGCAGTTCCGATCCAACAACCCTGGCATCCGTCTCGATATTATTCACAACCCCGTGGAGTCAGAGGAGGCGCACAAGATCAACTCTGCGCTCAAGGCCAGCCAGTCGGACCTCGCAGCCGCGGATTCTGAGGAACTGCTCAAGCTCATCATCGACGCCAGCGAGGGCTTAACGGAGGTCAATGACCTCTATGACTCTGCTTTACGCCGTTTCCTGGTGACCGCGGCTATCCGACCCGGACAGAACATGCTCATCCTCAACGGCCGCATTGTCGGGCCTGTCGAGTCAGCAGCAGACTTCAATGCAGATGATTATCAGCTCTTCTTGGACATCGAACAGAAGGCAAGGATACTGCCAGTCTATAATGCGGTCGAGGATCTTGGTCTTGCGGAGAAGGTCTCCGGCCCTCTGGCAGCTGCCAAGGTCACTTCAATCACTGCGCTGTCTACCATGCCAGACTTGCCCGAGGGTATTTTCGAGTCTGGCTCTCCGCTCAGGATCTCTGCATTCAACGTCTGGAACTCCACACATACTGCGTTCGAGATTGGTGACAAGTCAAAGGCCACGATTCAGCTCGTGGCCGTCATCAACCCTGCTAGTGAGCAGGGTCAAAGATGGGTACCAATCCTAAAAGTTCTCTCTGAGCTCTCGGGGGTTTATCTCAAGGTTTTCATCAATCCTAAGGAAAAGCTGGAAGAGCTTCCGGTGAAGCGATTCTACAGATATGTTCTTGACCATGCTCCTGTCTTTGATGAGTCAGGGAAGGTCAAATCTCCCGCCGCAGAGTTCAAGAGCCTGCCCTCCGAAGCATTGCTGAACGTTGCCATGGACGTGCCTCCTGCGTGGCTCGTAGCTGCCAAGGAATCTGTACATGATCTGGACAATCTCAAGCTCAGCTCAATCAAGAGCGATATCGAAGTTGTTTACGAGCTCGAAAACATTCTCATCGAAGGTCACTCCAGGGAGTCCACGGGAGCTCTTCCGCGCGGCGCCCAGCTGGCGCTCAGCACCGAGAAGGACGCCAAGGTAGCAGACACCATTGTCATGTTCAATCTTGGATATTTCCAATTCAAGGCCAACCCAGGCTTCTACAACATCCAGTTGAAGGAAGGGCGCAGCTCTGATATCTACTACATCGAGAGTGTCGGTGCCAAGGGCTACAGTCCTGTGCCGGGTGACGAGGGAACCGAGACCGCATTGATGAACTTCATGGGTACCACGCTCTACCCGCGCATCAACCGAAAGCCCGGGATGGAGGAAGCTGACGTGCTCGAAGAGACTGATGGAGGCGGTGTCTTCAACGCCGTGTCTAAGGGGCTCAAGTTCGGCAAGGACCTATTTGGCGTCAAGACTAAGTCTGCCTCGGACGAAGAGCACGCCGAGATCAACATCTTCTCAGTCGCCAGTGGGCATCTGTACGAGCGCATGCTGAACATCATGATGCTCAGCGTCATGAAGAACACGAAACACTCGGTCAAGTTCTGGTTCATCGAGCAATTCCTCTCCCCGGCATTCAAGGACTTCCTCCCCTTCATGGCCGAGGAGTACGGCTTCAAGTACGAGATGGTGACCTACAAGTGGCCCCACTGGCTCCGCCAGCAAAAGGAGAAGCAGCGCGAAATCTGGGGCTACAAGATCCTCTTCCTTGACGTTCTCTTCCCACTGTCCCTGGACAAGGTGATCTTTGTGGACGCCGACCAGATCGTCCGCACGGACATGTACAATCTGGTGCAGCACGACCTCGAGGGCGCCGTGTACGGGTTCACGCCCATGTGCGATTCCCGTACCGAGATGGAAGGCTTCCGCTTCTGGAAGCAGGGGTACTGGGCAAACTACCTCCGCGGCCAGCCATACCACATCTCGGCGCTATACGTGGTCGACCTCCGCCGCTTCAGGGAGCTGGCGGCCGGAGACAGGCTCCGCCAGACGTACCACACGCTCTCGGCGGACCCCAACTCGCTGTCCAACCTCGACCAGGACCTGCCCAACCACATGCAGTTCCAGATCCCCATCCACAGCCTGCCTCAGGAGTGGCTTTGGTGCGAGACGTGGTGCAGCGACGAGACCTTCGCCGAGGCCAAAACGATTGATCTGTGCAACAACCCGCAGACAAAGGAGCCTAAGCTCGACAGGGCCAGGAGGCAGGTGCCTGAGTGGACGCCGTATGACGAGGAGATTGCGGCGCTGGACCGCAGGAGGAAGGGCATCGCGGACGGGGAGAAGGAGAAGGTCTTTAGGGGCGATGGGGAGGAGCTCAAGGAGCCTCAGGAGGAGAAGAATTCCAAGAGTAGGGCCTTTGAAGGGGAGGATCCTGAGGCTACGCCACATGTGAAGGATGAGTTGTAAGATGGAGCGCTTTTATAGAAACAAATAGAGTATCAAATGATTGTTTCGATTATGGCAAACCCATGCCAACGTAGCTGCGTGCATAGGATTCACCGCAACTTCAACAGCACTAAGCGGAATCCTTTTCTACCTGTCACGCTACCCATATGCTTACGCTGCTATTGAGGTAGAAATTAGAAACTCGTTGACGTCGGGAAGGCCTGTAACAAGCGGTCCTGAACTCTCCGGATGCAAATACCTGCGCGCTCTTCTCGTCTCTACGCCTGACGCCACCTTCCAGTGGTTTCCTTCGGCGTAAAGCTAGTCCGAAATCGGACAATCCTCTCATCGTGGACGATAGGAATTGGCTGTAGTTGATTTGATTCAGCATATCAGATTTTTTGATCTGTGCCGGGATAATCCCATTTTACCATTCCTGTCTTTGCAAGTTCACCACTCTACCTAAGTATGAAAGCGCCGTTTCTAATTTTGGACGTATACGGAATCGAAACGACACCAATTATTGTCAAGTAGACATATGAGTGTAATTAGCAAATCACGGTCTCAGTGATCACTGTGATGGCGATTCAGTATAGCAATGAGCGATTGGGCAGCAATCTTTTACAACCCGCCGCCACCAAAATCAATGTCTTGCATCGCACTTCTGTTCACATTTCGGCGGTTTTTGAGGAAGAACTAATTTTGATACCGTAAAGTTACCAAGATAAAATATCTATGGAGGGCTAGAAAACTGAGCTCTCATGAAGAAATAGATCACTGAGCCTCACTCAGACACAACAAGCTGCCACGGCGCTTACTGACTTCAAGTCGCGACCCGGACCTTTCTTTTTCCGCCCTGACTTGCGCCCTCTTCATTCCCTTTCCACATCATCTTATGGCTTTGTTGGGCCGCGGTGCCAGTTTGCGCTCTACTCGATCCTCAGCTTCTGAAACTCCGCTGGAATATCAGTGCCGTTGGTTGCTTGAGCTGCAATTGCAATCTAAAACGAAGATGTCAGTTTGCGATTGACCGTTGATAAAAGCGAACAGACGAGGGATTCAGACGTACCAGCTCGGCCACTTTGTCATCGTCCAGATCAGCTAGGTTGAAGATAGTGCCGTCCTCGAAAAAGAGCTGGTCCCGCTTGGCGCAGTCGGCATAGTCAGCCTCGCCGCGCTTCCTGGCCCTGAAGCCATACCCGGCACCAGAGAACGGCCCGATGCTCAGGCAGATGGAATCGACGTTGGTGGGGTAGCCCCTTTCTCGGAGGCCGTTGCAGTCGCCACCGTTATGGCCTCTGCCCTCGATCCTCCAGTCGAGCGGGATAAATCTGAACTCAACGCTTCCGAAGTTCTCACCACCAGCGGGACAGCAGGTGTCAGGATTCAAACCGCCGCACTGGACGCCGCTGCCGGTACAGCCTTGGCTGTAGTAGAGCCGGGCATCGATAGCAGCTGCGGTGGCAGCGAGGCCGAGGAGTGCGAGGAACTGCATCTTGAGTGAATTAGGAAGTAAGGGTCCTTGTGTGAAGCGAGTTGGTGAAGTGATGGAGATGGTGGATGGCATTGAACGTTTTGGACTGGATCAGGCCGTTGAGCAGCTCTTTATATATGCGTAAAGATCACATCATCAAAGGTAGTAACTACCAGCTGACGTCGATCGGTATAGGGCATGACACCCAAGTCGAGCAATCTTTGTAAGTCGTGCTAGTACACATCGTGGACTTCGTCACGACAAGGCTCAGCTGCTAGCACGGCACCTGGGCATAGAGGCGAGTTCGCAAAGTATTACCTTGGTAGCCCTTGGGATATCCACAACTGCCTAGGCAGCCTCCTTGGCAATGAGCTTGCTTTTTACACAGTAGCATTGAGTTTGAACGCCGCCTGGTGTTGTGGATCACAAAATATCGAGCCCTTCCAGTCTATTGGTGGTGTAGCCCGACTCCCTGCCAAAAGCTGGGGGACACCCCTGCTAGACGGCTTCCTTCAGGCTTCATATGGTGTTAGCCGCACCGGATCCGAATGCAACTTCGGATCTCATCATTTAGTGCTGTGAACTGGTGCTGAATTCGTGTAATCCTCCCAAGGGCCTGCGAAAAACCGTGGAAGCTTTCGTATAATCCCATCAACACAATGTCAAAGGCCGAAAGAGCACCTCCACCAATGACCAATGGATTGACGGCTGGCAAACACCGCTGCTTCCGACACTTTTGAGGTCCCCGTGGTGGTGGCCGTGGCGACATCAATGCGTTCAATTGGACTTGATATGATGATTCGGCTTGAAGATACCAGCCCAGGCCGCCTCACAGACACATTCTGACGGTTCTTCTGCGTAATTTTACAAAATTCAAAAGGATATGGTGCAGCAACTCTGCCATTGGAGTCCGCGGACCCTTTGGGGGGGGAGCTTGAGAATGAATCTGATAGTTAATGGACACTTTCCAAAATATTACAAATTACACCACACTAATAATAACTGACTAGTTAAGTGCTGACATTGTCAAGGGCGATGTCAAGGCCCCTCATGTTCTTTTTGCCTGGGTACCTAGGTAGTTACCAGCGATATGCCTGCTCCCTTTGGCTACCCAGGTACCGGATATCGGTGCCTTCGCCACTCTACCTCATAATGGGTATTACTCCGTGCTCCAGTTAGGAATGTCACCTGTGTGACTATTACGGCTTGGGCAGCAGTGGTTCTGGTGAATACCCTAGGGTACTGAAGCTGGTCCACAATGCATGGCATGCAACGTGACAGTCGGATAAGGCCTCGGATTTCGGATTATATTTCATGGTGACCACTACGTGGCATGTTACGTGACTCTCGGACAAAGGGCTCGCATCGCCTAAATGGGATCTCTTCACACAGGGTCTTAATCCAAGCGAGATGGGTTAACTGATGTGGGCATTGAGGTACTGCCATCAGTGCAGTGTGGCCAGACGTGTGTCAGACGTGTGTTTCTGCCTCATTCAGGGCTAGAAACTGAATCTTCTCGGGCAGGCTGCTTTTAGGTTTTCTGAGGTTTCTTTGCCCATTCAATTCCACTTACACTGATTCTGTGCTGAGTTCCCCCATCTCTTGAGTGTGGCTGTGGTGAAGCCTTCAGTCTTTGTGTATACGAATGGCCTCTGTGCTAGCTACCATGTAAATTGATAAACATGAACCTGCTGCACCGACCCCTTGGTAACCCAAGGCTGACCTGAATCCATTAACTACTTGCGTAACAGACTGACTGGCTAAAGGACAAGAATTTCAACTTGGAGACTTAAGCATTCCCCGCCGGTTATACTTAGAGGCACAAGTGGTCACAAAGTCGCATTGAACCGTGGCTAACACTTGAAGTAGGAATGTGGTTTCGCTTCTATTCCGTATAAGTCTGAGGACATACATGGCACCTTTATACAGTGGTAAGCGCTCAAGACCCAGCGCTTGAAAGGACACGATGTTGATAATGATAGTTATAGTACAATGAGTGCTTTTGGCGTCAGCCTTAAGACGCACAGTCGAGGCTAAGGGGCACCGTCTTGACGACGGCGTCAACTAGAATCGTGGACACAAGTAGCCCACGGGCCATGCCTGCCTATGAGCCCCATTTTCACAACTCCTTCTAAGAATGGAACTCAGGTTCTCTTAGTTCTGAACGACCGGCTACTCAACTCAAGACTGGAGATGCCGTATGGCAAGATCTAGTAGAATAAGTAACCAGAGGGATGGGTCCGGAGGCTGTTAGTCAGGGTTGCTTCGGATCCTCCGTCCACGAAAGATGGATGTTGTGGTAGCCCAATCCTCCAACGGCTGAAAATCAACTCCCAGATGGCAGAATCTGGAAATGGCTGTTAGTTAGATACTCCAAGTCGGGAGTTACAAGTTGAACTATATTCTCACCTATATTGGTTGACAGCAAACTGTCCTTGCCTTTATCAGGGAACTGGCCACAAAGCGCAGAAATTATTGTGTGGTATGGATCATGGACAGACATTGTGGAAGACACTTCGATTACCGTATCTCCGAGGCTTTGGTGAGGAGGTATTTGAGTCTACTGCTGTAGCTCTGCTTAAAGACATTAAGAAAGGCTTGGAATATGTACCCATGGACGCTTTGAAAATAGTGTGCTTCTCTAACCCTCATAGTATTGCACCAAAGCATAAGATTCTGCTCTTGATGTTGTGCTCAGTCGAAGTGGCAAGGCTTTTAGGGTGCCTGAGGACAAGTCAGTCCTTGATGTGATCAAAAAGTCTGGTGTTGGAGTGATTCTACTTACAATACTTCAAGGGCTTGTGTGGTCCTTGTGAAGTCGAGGTTGTCAAGTGGGCTGCCCAAGCACAGAGACGCTGTCCTTGCTCCAGAAGAGAGAAGGAAGCATTACAATGACTTGTGTGTCCATGTGTTGTGGAAACAAGTGTTATATTTGACCTGTAGTGGTAGCATACAGGAATCAAGAAATAATGAAAGTTGAAAGTATGTGATAGAAGTGATGGAACAAGCTTGAAATGGGAGCCTCTGCTGAAAAGGCTTGTTGGTGTCCCTCAAGCTAGCGCGCCAGTGCTGGGGGCTTTCAACCTGCTTTGGGTTTGCTTTCGAATTGCCCCTATGATTCTTGCGAGACGCGTCGTCCAACAGTCCAACTCTCAGTCCAACTTTTCACGCGTCGCTGGCTCTACTTTCCACGCGTCACTGGCTCTTAGTCGATGCGAATCTGAGAGATCACAACACCAAACTCCATCCTTTCCTCTCTCCTGCCGAAGCAAGCAAATTCTCTCCGGTCTGGCCGTCCTTGCGCTATGGATATCATCACAAGGTACAGTACCCAACCTCCTTAGTTCCCGACCAGAGGGCATACTGACACCACCTATCAATAGTCGCGGTGCCACAACGCCAGCACAGGGTCAACCCAGCTTGTCTGTTGTGGGCAATCCTTCTACGGCCGATCAGCGCCCTTCAGGATCTCTACACTGTGGTAGCAAGCTGACGGGCTGCAATCACTCCTGCCAGCAGCGACAGCATGGAGATACCGATTGTGGCCCATGCAACCAGCGCTGTGATGTATGCTGCCCACACAGGCAGTGTACAATGCCTTGTTCTGCTCCCTGCAACTGGATCCCGTGCGCTAGGCGCTGCCTGCGTCTGTTGGACTGTGGGCATCAGTGCCCTTCTCTTTGCGGCGAAGCCTGCCCCGATACCAAGTACTGTCAGACCTGTTGCACCGAAGAGGACATCCTAATGACCCCCCTGGTCAGCAAGTCCGCAATGATGGACTTCAGGGACGTCAACCTGGACGAGGACCCTTGTGTCTTCCCGCGCTGCGGCCACTTTCAGACCCGATCCTTCATGGATGACCACTTTCGGATCGGGGACTTTTACAACTTGGGTGATGACGGACTGCCCTCCTCTATCAAGGGCACACTGAAGCCATTCTCTGTCCAGGAGATCCCGTGCTGCACCTGTTGCCGCGGCTCGTTGCGCGAGATCTGCCGCTACGGTCGCATCATTCGTGGCCCCATTCTCGATAGACTTCTGGAAGAATTCCTTGCCTGGCGGAATGGCAGGTTTTCTGAGCTCATCCATCGTTTGGAGCTGTGTGTGCCAGCCCTCGACTGGTACATGGCATACCGCGGCCTGCCGAGCACCATCTTGCTCCACCAGATCGCCATCCCGGTCCGTCTCAATGGCAACATGCTCCATCAGCTGCATGTTTTGAATGACCTCATTGGACAGGGAAGATACGCGGACATGGTTATGCTGTTCCTACACATCCAGGACTTTTCATATGGAGAACTGAGATACAGGGAAGGCATTTTCCAGAGGGTGGCCGACTCCACAAGGCGCGAGAATGGAAGTGGCAACCCCGGTACTCGGCGTTTCACCGATCTCACTCGCCAGCACGAGCCTCTCTTCCAACTTGCCGGTAACATTTACGCAATGGATCTCCTCCTCCGATGCAACATCGTGGTTCTCGATGACTTCCTCAGACTATGGCGCAGAAACCCTGCCGCCAGCACGAGCGCTGTCTCTCGTCCCCCAATTCTCTTGGACTTGGCGTCAAACTTTCGAGGATCCCAGCTTTTTATCAAGGAAGCACGAGCCGCCAAGCTACACATGGTCACCGCACATGGTCATGTCTATTTCGCCTGGTACTGCGCCTTCGCACTGGCCCTGGGAGAAGACGCATCTACGCAGGGCCGGCGATCTGGTCAGGCCGTGGTCGGAGGCTCTGGAATCCCCGTCACACAGGACGAGTTAAGACGCTGTGCCGAGGAACACCTCGCCGAGGCTGCTGCACTGTACCATAAATCCTTGCAAGCCTCCAAATGCCTGAAGGACGCCATTGAAGGCACCAGAGATTTCCTCCGGTCCGGCAACCAAGGGAGTCTGAGGGTGGAGGGGACCCTCTGGTACACAAATGTCACGGGGATGTCCAACCGTACTGGTCCGTGGTACGTCTGTGGCAATGGGCACGCGTTCATGGACGTGAGGCGGCCGTCCATGTTTCTGGGCCAGCTGCGCTGTAAAGACTGTGGGGTGATTGTTGAGGGCCGCCAACACGCTTCCGAAGAGGAAGCACCGCCTCAGACGGCTGCGGCTGGACCTTCTCAAGAGGCGATTCTGATCGACATCTGAGGGGCAGAGAAGAACATGTACATTTGTTTTGAGTTCCTTCTTTCCTTCATCTTTATACCATACCACCGGAGGCGTATGCGGTTCCATCATGCCGTGGTAAACGCTTGAGAACGGGTGGCATTCTGAAATTGTTTGGCAAGGCGAGATTGTGGAGGGGTGGAAATGTTTGAGTGTCACGTTGAAGCCGGGGTTTTTGGGCGCAACTGTATGATTTCTTGTGGTTTTATATGTACAATGATGTCTTTCACTGTATGTGTGTACTTCTTTTGTCGGGTTTGTTGGACATCTGGAGGTTATCAAGGGGTCGTATTCCCTTGGAGGGGTTCTCATACTGCGTAGCATCGGCTTCAGGTGACTCTCTCTTTCCAAACCTTGGAAGCCATCCATGTGACGTGCAAACGAGCTTCCGACTACAATTTTAGGTGCGGTCCTGATCGCCTCCGTCGTCACGCCCACAATACATGTGGATGACGGCGCATTGAAATATACCACGGGGGAAGCTCCTCCAAGGGAGTGAGTGCTTCGTACCTCCTTTCTCCCCTCCCGGGAGGCGCCTCCTAATAGACGAATAGCACAACGATGATCGCCGGTCCTGGTCCCACCGTCAGCAAAAGAGTCCCCGCACATGCAGCACAAGACACTGTATGCAGCTCCATGCCTCTGGGCATGTACCAACTCTGGAGCATGTCAAATTCCCCCCCCCCCCCTGTCCAAGAGTACTTAATTGGCTGCGGGAATTGCGAGGTCTTTCTCACCAACATTAATTACTGGAAGAACATCTAGTAAATAGTGGGGACTCCCCAGAGTTTCCAATTATTTGTGCACCCCGCAGCCAGATTGTATGGCTTTGTACCTCGCATCGAATGGTAAAGGCCACATGTTTACGTGGGCACAAATGGGACCCTAGAGGGTGGTATGATGGACACCACCAATTCAATCGGTAGCACTGCGTCGCTTATGGATTCCCCTCCACTCACATTGGAGATCCGGACGTAGTAGCTGTTCAATAAAATAATTGGCATTATCTGTGGCATCCGCACCGGCACGTATCCCATACATAAATAGTGGTCCCCTCTTGGGACAGTTTTCCTCAAGACTTGCTCCTTCAACGACACAAACTCCAATACTAATCTGCCACATAGACATATACATCAATAACAGCCACCCTTGTTTGTATTTTGTCTTACATTCCGGCATTAAACCGGCACAACGAAGATGGCTGGTGTCGCCCCTGGAAAGACCTTTACTCCAGGCTTGGACTTCAGCGGACAGTCTTACAGCAATCTCGCGAAGAAAGCCGAAGCCGATGTCTCACGGGCCAATGAGATTATCAAGGAGAAGCTCCCGCTTCTCAGTGAGCTCAAGGCTCTGCTTCAGATCAGCTTTGGGGACCACCCTCCCTTTTTCATCGACGCACGATCTGGCACGGCGTGTATCCTTGCTTCGACTGACGACGAGCCTGACACGAAGCTTAACATTAAGCCTGAGTACATTGCACAGTTCTACGACGGCAAGCTTGAGCCACGATACGGACTGTTCAAGGATGCGTTCTTCAACGAGGCGTCCATGCCCTCGGGCAGCATCCCCGTGGCCATCAAGTTCGCCGATCTGCTGACCCCGAACCCACCTGTGCCGCCAAAGCATGCCGATGCGTTCACGCGGCTGCCACAGCCAACCGAGGACATGGAGCAGGTCAAGCGGGACATCAAGGAGTTCGGATACGGCCTTGTCAAGAACGTCCTGACACCCGAGCAATGCGCCATCATGAAGAAGGCCGTGCAGGAACAGGCCGCAGGCGAGCGCGAGGCGGGCATCGCGCAGATGGACGGCGGACCCAAGGGCCCCAACCAGCGGCTCTGGACGCTGGTGAACAAGGGTGAGGACTTCCTTGACCTGCTCAACCACCCCATCATCGACGAGATGGTCCCGTGGTTCCTGGGCGAGCACGCCATCATCACGACGTACACGGCCAACATCGCGCGGCCTGGCAACTTGCCCATGCAGCTGCACACGGACCAGGTCGCCGTGCAGCCGCCGGTCCGCGACCTGGCCTTTGGCATGAACATCATGTTCTACCTGGCGGACGTGACCGAGGCGAACGGCGGGACGCGCGTGTACCCGGGGTCCCACCTGGGGCAGGTCGCGCCGCCCGACATCTTCACGGTGGAGGGGACGGCGGCGGCGGCGGCCCCGGCCGGGTCGGCGCTCGTCTTCGAGAGCCGGCTGTGGCACGCGACGGGGCCCAACCGCGAGGCCGCCGGCGAGCGCCCCGTCATCCTGCTCTTCTTCATGCGCTCCTTCGTCCGCCAGCAGGAGAACAACTTCCTGTCGCTGCGCAAGGAGGTCTGGCCCAAGCTGTCCGACCGCGTCAAGCGCATGCTGGGCTTCTACACCACGGGCGCGCTCGGCGGCGTCGACGGCGAGGTGAGGGAAGGCATCTTTGTCGAGTGGAAGGAGGGAGTCGGCAAAATGCGTGCGCCTCATAAGCCCTGGGAGGGGTAGTTGATAGAGGGTGGTACTTGAGTAGGTCGTCGACATGAGCAGTGGAGCCATGTTGAACTTGTGGAGATTGAAAGAGCTCAAGTGATAGCTAAGTAATTCATGAAATTCTTATTTCCTCACGTTTCATTGGTATAGGAAACAGGCACATGTACAATGATGTGTTTTATTGTATTGATGAACTTCGTCTGGTCTGTTCATGTTTTATTTTCCCTAAATATACATCTTATGCGTGTTTCTATGCTTGGTTTCATTTTGTCTATTCCAATCAAATACAGACCCCAACTTGAATCGTCATAGCCATCGTCGTCTCCGGGTAGTTACTTTACCAAGCTGGTGCTGATCACAGTTTGGTTCCTTGTTGTCCGTCTCCTCACCCACGGATATTCTATGATGGCCAAAATACACGGCCAGAAAGTCATTTGCAGAGTCCACATGAGGGACACCTTGAACCTTAAAATTTGTGCTCACTTAGAGTTGAGGGCACTCACAAACTCCTTTTTCTGTAGGAGTGGGAGGATGGCTGCGCCGCACAACGCGATCGAGAGCCAAGCCGCTACCATCAGCTGCCGCCTGAGCGATGATACCACCTGGGCAGTCACCTCCCTGAACTGGGAACAAGTCGCGGACTGTTGGGTGTGAAACCATGGAATAAGACATTTAGTGTGTCCGTGTCCAACCCCCGGGGGCGATACACTCGAGTCCTTTAACAAGCCGGTGTCTCCTCTCTCGCCAGCCTCTGGGCATGACGTATTTTCTTACCCTCTCCACCAGCCAAATGAGAGCATTTCCAACCGCTATTGCTGACCTAGAAGTTGAGAACATATAACAGGTTCGTCATAGAGTACTTCCCCCCGGGCCTCTATCTACCAACAACCATCACTCAAGCCCTCCCAGTCCTGGCGCCGCCTTTTCCTCCCCAGCCACGACCATGTCGACCACCAACAGCACAACAACCTGCCCGTCCAACGCCGTCCCCGAGCCCATCAACCTCGGCATCGACAGCGACTCCCCCTTCGCCGTCGTCCCGCGCGGGGACTACACATCCGACTCCCCCGACGACTGGATGGTCAGCTGCTGCGCGCCCAACGCGGCGCGGCTGGCCAGCGACAACTCGACCGGCACGTGCTGGCAGTGGTGCGACCTGCCGCCGCGGTTCACCAACGGCACGTCCGGCTCGTCCAGCCAGAGCGGTGATTTCCTCGGCTGTGTCAGGTCTACTGCGAGGGCGACCAACTCTTCATACATGCCGTCTGCGGCGCTCGTGTCTGCCGCTGCTGGGGCTGGGGTGGTGGGTGAGAATGTATTTGGGCTGGGTGTGGTTTTGGTGATGATTGTTTCGCTGTTGTTGAGGTGAGAGTCTTCCAGGGTGTGTTTGACCTGTGGATTTGCTCAAAGTTTGGATGGCTCGGGGGAGGATTATACATACCTTGATCGGAGAGCTTGGTCAGCATGGCATTCGTGACAACGTCGGCTAGAACTCATCGGGATCCCGGTGTAAGCACGAATTGGGTCGACAGGCATGAGCGTCTGCACAGTCAATCAGAGTCTCTCGCCATGGAAATGATTGATGGATGGAAATAGGACGGCTGGATGAGGTGTTGGGCAGGCCTGTTGTGGTTTTCCAAGAACAGTGTGGGGCGGTGAAATGGGGCTGTCAAGATCGCACGACACGGAGGGCTCTTTGGCTTCATCTCTGTTCATCGATGTTCATTCCTGAAGTGCATTTTGCTTCTAGCAATTGATGATTCTATGACCAGTGACCAGTTCAGATGTAAGGATTCGTGCCCATCGGCTCGTGATGGATGATCCTGACGTGTTGCTGGCCGGGCATGTCGAAGAAATGCCCTTCGCAGTGGCAGGAGATGACTTCTGCCTGTCGGGAGCCTAACTCATTTCGCCGAACTCCGAAAAGTCCGGAGAATATGCTGTGTCAACAAGTGGCCCTTTTAAAAATCAAACGCTCTCGAAAATCAGAAGATTCCCCATGCAGCATGTCTCAGTGTTGGATATCCGAAACCTGTCCTCATGGTGCCACTCCCATAATCTCTGGGCGCTTTCCATACCCCAGGCGCAAATATGTCCCCTCGGTGGTAATACACTTCCCCCCCAAAGCGACCATAGATGCAGAGCAATTGACCGAATATGCAAGACTGCCAGGTGCTCCTGAAAAAGTGGTGTGATGTTCATGCCCGCCTGGCGCAGCTCTCTTCCGAAGCTAGCGCCGTCGCAGTGACTCCCATCCAACACCCCAGGAACTCAATCAACCGTACATGTCGACGTCGATGGGCGCATCTCTCGTACCATCGGCGCGGGAGACTGCCTTGGGTGCGGGTTGATACCCCATCTCTCTCGTCCCCCAAGCCTCGAGCGTGTCCAGGAGATTGTCCACCCTCGCAGGTAGCTGCTGCATCTCTCCCATCGTCTTTGCCACGCCTTCGACCTTGGCACGTAATTTCCAGAAGTCCTTCATTCTGACATGTTGCTTCTTCTTCATCTTCTTCGTCTTTGCCACGCGTTCGACCTTGGCACGTAATCGCCGAAAGTCCTTCATTCCGACATATTTCTTCTTCTTCTCCTTCTCCTTCTTCCTTTTTCCGGGCCGTATCTTGTTACCCTTCTCAAGAGAATAGTCGTGGTCGCCCTGCTCTGCGCTTGGGTATAGCTCAAGCCCTGTGTCCGCACTACGGGGCTCGAACTTTTTGGTGGTCTGCTCGGCGGCGGCTGACCGGGCCGCAAAAGCCAGAATGCGCTGTGCCCGGACCTTCGAGACATATTGGATCTGAGGAGGGATCAGGCCCAGGGCGTACTCGCGCTTGATCTGCTCCCACGACTTCCCCTCGAGCTCGCCGGGCGGCATGCCCTCCCACCCAAGCGTGTCGTACTGGCCCAGCTTGGACCGTATCGCATGCCTCATGACGTCCCGCTTGGTGTAGGGCCACACGCCCTGCAGCCCCGAGGGCATCTGGCCGTTGCAGAAGGCCCGCGAGAACTCGATGGCGATGCGGATGGGACACAGCTCGGCGTTGAAGACGCGGCAGCAGGGCTTCCGCTTGCGGCCCAGGACGAGCTCGCCGAACATCTGCGGCAGCATGTACCTGAGCCTGCCCCTGTCGTTCATGCGGTGTGCGGCCCGGTAGATTGTGACCAGTGGGCAGTACCTTGCGTTAGAGTGCGCGAGGCCGTCCAGGGTATGGCCTGCGGGCTTCTGGCCGTCGCGGGCGGAGCAGTCGTGGAATGGGCAGATGACCACAGCCCCGCCCGAGGCGGGGACGTGGCAGTTCTTTGTGCTGTGTCGGTGGCTGCCGCAAGCCTTGCACCGTAGTGCCGATGCTGCCATGACCGAGGCCACTTTTGAACCGCTGTTGGCTCTGTGGGCTCTGTTATGTGGCAAATCCGTGGTGGTAGGGTCTGACACAGGGTTAGCGTGGCTTGCTTGATTGTGGGAAGCAGGGTTCGGCGGTGCAAGATGCATCGCGGATTCGCAGCCGGTGGGCACGCGAGGGACGAAAAGTGGCTGGTTCTGGTGGACAGGAGGGAGGTAGTCGTGCTGGCTGGCGTCGTGCTTACTTCGTTTGGGATTGTTGGTAGAGGTGAAGCGGCGACGATGCTTGAAGTCGGTTTCGTGCTTGGAGTGGTGGTAATGTGTAGGTTGAAGATGTCGAACAACTGGGCCCCCAGTTCAAAAGTTGTACCTTGGGATGCGTTCAAACGAAGTGCGGGTTCAAAATGGCAGGATGCAAGGGGCAGGCACGGTGTGAAAGAAACCAAAAGCTGCCGCACCTCCAACGCGAGATCAATTAGCAGATGAGCTTGGGTGAGCTCAACTCGTGGGCCCAACTTCCAAGGTTGTCTTGGTCGGTTGGAAAAGGAAGGCACTGCCCAAGTGGGTGGGTAGGTACCTGGGTACTACGCAGGAGGGAAACCAGACTCTAACCTCTGCTCAATTGCTGGGAGTGTACCTAGGTACTTTCTCAATCTGATCACCAAATTGCACATGTGCAGCAATTCAATGCAAACTCGAGGTCAGGCCACACTATGGCGAGCCATCCCAGTTGCTCTACTTGGATGCGAAAACTGCCCCATGGCGACAGCATCTATGCCCGTGGTGGCCTCGGACTGGTGATCCAGCAGCGCACCTCAGGTTTTCAGTTTGTCTTTGAACCTGTGCTTCTCGATGGCTGGAAAGACCAGGCGGTTCACGGCGGGACTCTCATCATTCTGGATGGTAGACAGGCTGCTCGGGTGGGCCATTCCAGATGTCACCTCCAGGTCTTGAAGTCGTTCGCAGTGGCATGGGTGGTCCATGCGAGAAAACCTTCCAAGCACCTGAGGTTGCTTGAACTCACCAAATCCCCAGTCGGCCCATCTAAGGGTTTCCAACCTGGAGGATACAAGCATATGGACACAGAGATCCCCCATTTACATGTGTGGAGGGTTCCAAGATTGTGGCTTTGCCGTGGCTGACAAACTCAGCCTAGGTGCTGAAGTAGTCATTGGACGTCGTCAAATCCTTAGTCTTTCTCACCCACCTCGGACTACATCAAGGCTCGATATTAAACCCTGCAGTCCGACGGCCACCTATCCACCAGGAGCCCTCGCAACGTTGATGGCATTAGCCGTGACGATCGCATTGTCCACTCGAATCCTTCATGGGCCTCAGAGCCCCGATTCGGCAGGTGCTTTCCTTGTGGTCGGTCAGAAAACTCGAGACTCGCCCACATGTGCAGCTCTAGGCTTCGGATCCACATGGCGCTTACGAGACTGGTGTTTACATGTAAACAACCTGGGAAGACTGGGCCCAGAACACCCAAACTCCATAATGGCTGACATAGCTAAGCTTTTTTCCGCACACTGGCTAGCCTGATTGATGCTGGCTCCCAAATGTCTCGCAGATTCGCTGACCTTGGAAAGCTTAACTCTTACTTCCGCGATCCTTCGAGACCCGCGTGTTTGGTTTAAGCCCTGACTAGCCCCCAGGCAACAGCATTTACCCAAGCTCCGACCCATGACACCAGCATCCTACAGTGGTTCCCGCCCTAGGCTACTCAACTATTTACCATGATAATAATGTGAATACCAGATTCAATCACAGCCGCGGACAAAATCAATTGTATAAAAAGGAGCCGTTGCGACGAGATGTGTTCCACTGTCAACCCAGCCTCGACAGCTGCTCTTCACTGACGGACCATTACGGACCATTGTCTCTCTTTGCCGTTCAATTATTTGTCTTGACTTTAAATCTCCAGACATTATCTCGAAATGAGGTTCTCAGTCCTTACTGCTGCCGCCTACGTGGCTATGCTGCAGCCAGTCGCTGCAAACTTCGACGTCTACATGGTGGACGTCTACGATGCCATCTTCAACTCCCACAGCAGGGTAAGATCAAACAAAGCCCCTGCGGCTGCCCGAGCTCAACCCCGCCATGTCTTGTGAAATTGCTCGTAGGAAGAGTCTGACGGCATCTACAGGGCTGGCAGATCTTCGAGGCACAGCCCGGGTCCTGCCAGGACGTCCAGGACGCCCCCGTCTTCTGGAGTTCATCAGACGTCAGCAAGGACAACGGCGTCCGCTGCAAGGGGAGCGGCTGCGACTACACGCCCCCGGCCGACAACATCGACCAGCTGGAGATGAACTTTAGCATGCTCGGCGGGCCAATCTACCACTGGAGTAAGCAGGGCTGACTCACTGCTCCTCGTGCCCAGCTGGGCCGGCGGGGAGCGCACACCCCGGGCGACGAGGCTTGAGCTGACTTTTTGGCACACACAGCGCTCTACAAGGACAGAGGCAGGACCATGGTCGGATGTACGCAACAAGCCCCCTTTCACACACACAACTGCTGCTGCTGCTGAGTTCTGAGCTGACTTGAGATTTAGTGGACGGCAATACCTACGGGAACTGCATCGTCTTCCCTGATGGGGATTACAACTGCAACAGCATCTTTGGTGGCAAGGAGCAGCACCATGGTTATCGCAAGTTCCGTTGCCTGACCCAGTTCACCGCGGACCAGATCAACCACGGTCGATAGTCACCAAATGAATGCACTTCGATTCAAGACATGTAGTAATTGGGAAGATTAAATCAAGATTTGAGGTCTGCCTGTCATTTCACGTCGACGCTGTTAAGTTGCTATGCCTTCAATGACGTTACCGTACCTGCTGCAATTTAAACAAAGATCACTTGCGCTTTCGTCAATGTATAAGTGGCCTCATACAATCCTAACATTAATTATGGCATATATAGTCGGCAGTTTCTGGTTCCAATGCCCATATTGAACACTGGGATTAGTGATGCGTTAGCATTGTCTGCCCAGGGCATGCATATATTATCTCGCAATGGTAACTGTCGAAATCTTCCATGGGAGACTTCATTTTGCTGCCTTTGAACTACCCTCACCATTACTGGTTTTAGAAAATATTCTCTGAAAGCCCATTGCTGGAACAGATTCTTATCAGCGCCCCCTAACTAGGCGTTGATGAAACTATGCTGAGGGGGCGCTGTGATGACCCGCCGGCCTGCAACCTGATGTATTGGTGTTTCGAACTATGTAGGAATATGAAAATAGAGTCTTCCTTTTACGTTAGTACCAAAGATCAAAACAGTATGGGATGTCGAAAATCCTAGCGCCAGATCTTGGTGGGATCGGGGCCGATTCATCTGTGGCCTCATCTGAGGCGGCCGGCCCATAACAACGGCCATACTGGCAGACATATCAACTACGTTCCTGTCAGTATCTGCGGCGCAGCATACACAATCACACCTTGAAGTTTCAATCTTGCGGTCAATGCCGGCCAGGCCCGCGTCAAGCCGTTTAAAAGTCCACCGTGGGCCTATGCGGGCGTGTCCATTGGGCTATGTCGCACTGAGTACCGCGTGTCTCGAGATGAAAATGCCTCCACGTGTTCGCCACATTTCCTCAATGGTGCATCTCCTTGTATTCTTACTTCCCTGCCCCTTTTCTCATGATTTCTATGCATACTGAACCTGCTGCGAGTTTCTCTGTGTCACGTACTACACATCCTTCAAGTCTCTTTGGCGCCCACAACCCACAGCACGCTTGTTTAATCTGCTCTTGGCCAAGATGAGCACACAAAAGAAGCTTCCAAATGGAACAATGGCAGCTAATCGTGCCAAACGGCCACAGCCCGACCGCTTTAAAGTCTCGGACATAGTCAACAGCAGAATCCGGGAACTCATACCGGCCGAAAGTCAAAGTGTCTTCTGTAGGTTTCAAGGCAACTTGCGAACTTACCTCAGCCTCCAGAGCCGGGCCGTTCGAGAGAGAAAGAAAATCTCGAATCTTATTAGCTTCACCTCCACCCATATAGGTCCAGATGCCCTGGCGGTTCCTGCAAGTACATATGTCAGAGATACTTGGGGACGGGACGGAACCACAATTCTTCGCATGGTAGATGACGCCATCAGAACTGATCAAGTGCGAAAAGTTGAGGGCAGTAAGTCTGAGTGTGCATCTATACTCTGTCCTGACGCTGACATTTGATCTGCCAGCCCTTTCCAACGGTTGCAATGTTTCAATCGCTGTCCATGAGAATCACCTCGATCTTATCATCAAGGGCCCACAAAACCTATTCTCCAAAATCGTTGAGCAGCTATGCTGGTTGGTATGTGTTGCAGGCCATAAACCAATCACATACTTGAGGAAGTACATCAAGCAAACGAACCAAGGGACAACAACACGCTCAGAGGTCGAGACCATATACACTGAAAGGCCTATAATCAATTCCAAAGACGGGTACCACGTCCAGGTCTCTTTCACTGAGGCGTCAGTCGAGGATGCTCCGAAGGGCTCTTTGTCTGCGACACCAGGTCACTGTTGGAAGACAATGACCGGGCTCACCATCGTTGCACGTGGTTTTGCAATCCCTCCCAGACCACGGCAAGGCTCGGGGCTTGAGGCTTCTCTCGCGGTCCTGCGACAGCTCTTCAGACGCGGCTTCCCCAGCACTCACCCCGTCGCGATGGACAAGCCAATGGCCCTGTTTCCCCCACAAGCAACCAAGAGAGTTGAACGAGCAGGCAAAGCCGCCGACGTTTACGAGCTGAGATTAATCATGGCCGCAGACTGCGAGCGGCCACTGCGGGCAAAGCGAAATGTCATCTACTGGCATTTTGACCCGGCAAGAATATGCGCGTCGGAAAATTCAATCCAGGAGCTGGAAGACAGCATCACTGTTGAACCGTGGGCTGTTGATCCGCAGTCCCGGCACTTTGTCGGATGGAGCACAGCTGCGGGGCTATTGGCCAGTAAGTTACATTCTAATAATAGCACCACCTCAAGCCAAACCCGGTCCCTTGGAGCTGGGAGGGCAGGCGGGCCTTCAGCGGCCCGGCCCCAGCCACGATACGATGGCTCCATGCAGAGTGCCGCGCCTGAAAGTAGCAGGCCACCGGCCGGCTTACGGGGGGCCGCCTGGCTGCCTCACTCCCACCCTAACTCCCATTGGGTTGCCCGCATCTGTGATGGATCTGAGCCTGTTCCAGTGGACAGGCTTCATCCGACCCCCTCTCATCCTTTCCCCATCCGCCTCAACTTCCTCGCGTTTTCTCTGTCTGCGCACATGTGCGGACCAGCGAGATTGCGCGACTCTCGGTCTCGTCGCTTGATTCCGCAACCGGAGCTTCAAGGCTAATTACGATCGATTGTCGTTTCAACAGTGTCGACCAAGCCTATCCCACTTGGCGGGTTTTGCAGCCTGAGGCATCGCGGATACTTCGAGTTTGTCTTAACAAGCATAGCAGTCAACCTTCGATTACCCGGGCTCCTGTCATTGGGGTTCAACGTTGCGGCCGAGAAAGTCGAAACCTCGGCCATCAAAGACAAGATGCCCGATCGTGACACACAGCTGCAACAAATTCGCGGCCGCAATTTCGTCATCTGGGATGTAGATCGCAAACGAGGCTGGCTACTCCGTGGTGATGTCGTGGCACTACACGTGCTTCGCCTGTACCTCGGGCAAGCGGCGACCACAGAGGAATTCGACTTCTCCTCTTTGAAGATCCTCAAGGATGTTGAAAATGATGCCTCCCCCGCATACAAAGTACTTAGTTGGCTCAACGACGAAAAGTCAGCACTCAAACAAATCTTCAAGGGACATTCCGATACTGAAGACGACGCGGAGAAGAAACTCAAGGAGGCACTTGGTCCAAAGCTAGACACCATATATGCCCAGTTGTTGCATATGTCCGATGGTTCACCACGATTGAATCAACACGGGGCTAGCATCTCGGGCCCGCTTCGGACATGGTTCAAGAAGAAATGGAGCACTACTCTGAGAGGGTGGGATCTCAAAGCACTCGCCAGCCTCGATGAAGCCCGTATGTGCCAATGGAAGTTGGACAAAGACCCAGGCTGGCTCAAAGTGACGAAAGAGTTGGGAGTGACATATCTATTCGCTAAAGGGATGGGGGAATTGGTAGACCCGCTTCCCGGCTCATCTTGTTGTCACTTCCCAACTCTCCCTGCTGGTAAAAACTTTCTTGCTTCTAACATGGAAACACTTGGTCGACTCGTCGAGAAGTATGGCGGCGATGACAAGATGGGCGACCCGCCCGACACAACTGTGGCTAGGTTGAGCAGATGCCACGGTTGGGAGAAGGGTCTGGATCCGTTCGAACGCAAATATTGCAAAGGCGATCACGACCATCTGAGCACCTTGGGAACTAGTTGTTTCCCGGTCCAAACCTTACGGGATGCAGCGTACGAGGCGGATTATGACAAGAGGGTAGCAGGGACAGAGACGAAACTGATACAAAAGAAGGGGCTGTATACCAAGAAGGAGGTCCAAGTCATGATGAGCAAACACCCAAAGGGGGTTGTGGTGTTTGGGCATCAGCCGGATGCAGAGGAGATCAAGGCAATGTGTCGGAGAGGCGCAACTGGAGCAGCACAAAATGCAACGCCAACTTCTGCAGAGCCTGCAGAAAAGCCCTCGAGCCAGGGCTCTACTCAGGTCTCTGCCGGAACAACACCGGCAGCGGTGTCAACAACAGGATCAGGGCGGCCCTCAACAGAGTCATCACGGAGAGCACCCAGCATCGACAGCAAAAGAAACGCCGCTTCCAACACCCAGCCCACAGCCTCCGACGCTACCAATGCCTCTGCGCATCCCGGGGCTTCAAAGCCAGAGTCTCCAGCGGGCTCCGTGCGCAAGGCAGCCAGCGGTGCCAGCCTGAGGAGTAATGGCTCAAGTATCCATGCCAAAGCCTTGCAAGGCAATGGCTCTGGTACAGGAAAGGCCCAGTCAAGAGAATCTCGACCCGTCAGCAACTCACCCAGCAATGCCAGTCTGAGGAGCACCGCCTCGGGTACGCATCCCACAGCCTCGCTCGGTAATTACAATGGTGCTGGCCAACCCCAGGCATCTCCTGCGACTTCGGGGCAGAAGGCAGCTAGCAATGCTAGCCTGAGAAGCATCGCCTCATCCGCCCACCTCAAAACTTCTGAGGCTAGTAGCATCCGTGGTGCCCATCCTCAGGTATCAGCGCCCGGATCTCCTGCGGATTCGATGCACAGGGCAGTCAGCAATGCCAGTATCAGGAGCAACGACTCGGCCGCGCGGGCTGGAGGCCCAAACACCAGCCTTGGCGGACCCAACGAGCCGAGCTCACAACAGAGCCCACGAAATGCGAGGAGAAGGCCAAGCAGTTCTAGCATGAGGTCGGCGAGCTCGGTCGCTTCGAGGGCTACTGGAGGCTCTCAGACCCAGAGCACATCTTCGCAACCACCTGACACGGCCTTGAGGAAGACCGACACCAATTCTTCGGAGAGGTCCACAGGCTCGCATTCCTCTAGGATCAGGGACAACTTGGCGGCCTTTACCAGCAATCGCCAAAGGCAACAAGCCCTCGAGCAAGTCCGCAATCCAGCACCGACGGCTGGCAACTTGCTACCTGCCCAGACTGAAACCCCAAATCACCTGGCGTCCTCAGCGACAACGACAGCGAACTCGTCTGCCGCATCTCGGACGGTTCCTGCCGCTAATGATGGCTTGTAGGCTTCATCTTGAAATTTCGATGTACTATATTTAGACGGCAGAAACTTGATCGCGCTGGAGGTTTATCAGTAGTCACTACTTGGACAGATGCTTACTCAGAGTAATGTAAGAAACTTACAGCAGCGAAAAGAGATGTAGAAAGAAAGAGGAGAATACATGTAAAATAGTGGGTGGGACTAAAGCGAAAGAGGAAAGACCTGAAAAGGAACATTCCAGTGTACATTTGAAATGTCATGCCTCTGGATAGAGCGATATCTCACTACACTGCTGGCTACTGGCCTTGGAGATGGCCTTGCTCTTCTATGTGGTCTTCGACTTCAAAATTTTACAATGCTTAACGGAAACAAAGCTTGAAATGTAAGCACGTTTCTAGAGACGACAGGAAGAAGTTTACGATCATGTTAGACAAAAGTATGACTGCATGCAGTCAACACTTTTGCATCCGAGCCAAGTTGTTGTGACTGTCCATTCTAAGAGCTGGTAATGAAAACACACTGAATTTAAGCATCTGTAGGAAGTCGGATAACGAGCTCTGCTCATGGATCTGTTTTGAAGACAAACTGCCTGGTGTCCCTCTATTTTATACCATCATTCGATGATAGGAAGCTTTAGTGTTGGATACTCCTTCCCTCTCAATCGTGACCATCGTGAGTCGCCAGCACGCTTGCATCTGCTGAAACGTCCCATTTCGGACACCGATGAGAGTTCAGAGAGGTTAGAATTCCGCCTGTCTAGCGCAATGTTTCCAGTTTGAAGGACCGAATCATTGGCCTGGGCAAGCTTCTTCAGCTTTTTTGGACCAGGTCGATTCCCAAACACGACCACCCCAGTCTTCCGGAACTTCCCCCTCGTGTGGGGGTTGGGTTCCTCACTGTCGGCCGCTTCGCTCACATCCGTCCGGATCGCCACATTCATGACCTCGACATCCTGAGACGAGTACAGCCGGCCTCTCTTTCTTTTTAGAATGGCCATGTCCTTTTCTTGTGTATCATAGTGCGGGACTCTCATGAGCCTTTGGACAGGAAAGCAACCGGAGTCGACCTGTTCGACATGCTCATCGCAACCGTGGTGGTGACCAAAGGGCTCCGCGCCCCGTTTCCAGGCATACCAATGGGATAGCCTGGCAACAATCTTGTCCTTTTCATCGATCCCGGTCCATCTATCGACCAGGTATTGGATCTTGTCCATTCCGATCGCAAGATAATCTTGGCCTTTAGGAACGATCTTGAAATGAGGGCAGCAGTCTTCATCCCGTGGCAATAGCATCTCTCCAAAGTCCTTTCCGAATATGATACTTGCTTCCGCGTCTTTCGCAAACTCGAGCCAACCAGGATCTTTTTCAAACACATGCGTGTAAACCTTGGCTTTGCCGGTGCGGTAAATTCGCTCGAAGTCCCATCCCTTTGCAACAACATTGCGACGTTGTTTGACAGGCATCTGGAGGAGGGAAAAGCGATCCACATCACCCGGGAATCGCTTCAATGGATCCATAGTTGCGAGAGCCTGGTAGATTTCCTTGAGCACATCGACAATGAGCTTCTCCTCGACTTTGGCCCGGCCTTGAAGCGACTGGCTGGTCACAGGCGTCCCTCCGGTGTCTTTGAGAACTCTGGATATAGTGGTCTCTAGGTTCTCCGAATCATTGAGCACCATGAATTCTCTTTTCGAGGACCTGTCATCGATGTAGTTCAACGTGGACAAGTCGAACGGCTCGGCCTGAGGAATGTTCTTGAGATACGCGCATAGTAGCTCCAGCACGACGACCCGGCCGTTGACGAACCAGCCACGGCGCGTCTTCGTATCGAAAAGGACAAAATTTCTGTACCTATGACGCTCAAGGTTGCGAAAGGACGACCAAAATCGATTGTCCCTGAATGCAGGCTTATATCGCTTTGTCCTTTCTGGACGCTCGGATGGGAGCGCGGCAAAGGAGGGCCCAGGTATCTGATGCTTACTAGAGACATCTGTATCGAGGAATTCGACCATCCAGTCTTTGGAACTCAGATTCAGCTCATAAAGCTGTTTCATCTTCCAGAGAAATATGATCGAGTCTTCTATATCAAAATAGAAGTAAGCTGGCGCAGAATTGTCTTGCTTGAAACTGGGTCTGTGGAACTTTTTCAGTGGCGAGTAGAAGCCATACCCGATGCGAGCCTTGCGACGACCCTCGATTCCTTTCCCTATTACAAGCAGCGGTATATAGTTGGGTTCTAGTTGGTGTAGGGGATTCGAGGGGACACCGTACCACAAGTCATGTGGCGTTTGGTGTTCCAATTCGATCACCCAGTCGTCTGCTTGGGCCCATCGCGGTAGATATAATGCATCGTGTTCAGGATACTGCGGAGGCGTCGCCTCCAAGTCTTGCAACTTTGACTTGTTTCTGTCAATGTCTTCAGGCGAAAGACACCAACCCAAACACTCAAGTCCTATTTTTGGTCCTTCGAGGGCTTCCATTGCCGCTTGTCTCTCTTCTTGCGGGTCCGACTGACATTCTTCGTTCGTTGGCTCCTGTGTGGGACGATGGCGTGCCTCGATGGCATCGGCAATTCCTGGGGAATCAACGGTGAAATCGAAAAGCTTCACGACAAGGATGACGTATTTCCATATGGGCTCAGTGAGCTTTTCAACCTCACCAAGCTTCACAATCACCTCAATGAACTTGACAGCGACCTGAAGGTGGCTCTGCGTATAATCCGGCTCCAAAGGCGCGATCTCACCCCAGTCGATTAAAGATATGATCCCATACGCCTTGTCTCTCGGGTCCTGGCACTGCAAATGAGACACAACCTCGTTGAGTAGCTCGAACAAGTTGTTTTTCACATTCGCGTAGTTCTGCTTCAACATTGAGATTGTCGCCATGCACGGCTTCGGCAGCTCATTGAGCCAGGATCCGTGCAGCAACGGATGAGGGAACCCGTGGTTGACATGCCTCCGAAGGAATCTGTGACCGATAAAGTTGAGGTGAGGTGTCATTAAGATAGATTGTGTGTTGTCTTTGTCGACGACGAGTTCCAGGTTTTTAAACAGTTCTTCGAACAGGTGCAGTGCGTCTTCCTTCGCCAAAACATGCCGGCCACATAGGATCGTGAGACTTTTTGCAAGTTGTAGCTCCTGAAGAATCCAAACACGGGTGAAGTACGGTCTCACAGCTAACCGGGCCAAGGCGAGACCAAACCTGTGGAGGGATGTGTGTCGGTGAAGCAAGCGAAACCGGAGAGAGAACCCGCTCAGACCGTTTCCATCTCGATTTTTTCTGAGCACCTTTCTGGGCTGAACCAGGTAATGGCTGAGACCGTAAAGCGATTCGAAGAGGAAGAGACTGTCATCGGCGTGAGCCCCGATGCAGGATAACACATGTGATGCATTTTTGTAGATGCTTCCCATCATGGCGACCTGCTTGCTCTTCTCCTGGTCGTTGGACTGGTCGATACACAGGGCATCAACCCAGAAATACCGGCTCTCGGTGTACCACTCTGATCTGGTCTCCCGGTACAAATGGGCCTGCCGCTTCCGGTAAAGGAAAGACTGGCTTTTTCTGTACCAGTAGACCTGTTTCAGGGCTAATTCGCAATTTGTTCGGACTTCCAAGGTCTTGTCATTCATAAGTATGAACGTGTTCGACTTAGGATCCCCCCATGTGTAGGAGACAGCGTGGTACGGAGGCATGCTGTTGATCGGCCATGTGGTCAGCCGACACCTGACTTTGGTAGTCTTGGAGTAGTTGTCATCCAAGACCTCCAGGAGCCTCATATATTTAGCCGGGTCTGGAAGAGCCTCATGTGTGAATCCATTGTTGGAGGGCGCGGGACTCTCCATTGTTGCTCATGAGGTGAAGCCCTTTCTGCGGATTCCAATGGCTGGAGGGGCTGCCAAGTGCTTGGATTTTACGAGTAAGGGTTGATATGGTTCGTATGACTGGTATTGATAATCCAGGATCGTCCACGACGTGGACTACAGCGGCCAATCCGGTCTGTGATGGGGACATCATGAGCCATACTGACAAGAGAGAGGAAGGCATCTGATTTAAAATATTCCGATTGACCTCTTGTGTGCTGTCCAAGTGGGTATCCCAGGGTACCTCAAACCTTCAATTTCAGGGGGTCGACAGTTGCAGTCCAGTCTGTCGTCCCTGTTGGCTGAGCAGGACCTGTTGGTGGCTCGCCTGCATACCGGTGGGGTTACACGACATGAGCCCGCGTCCCGGGATCGAGAATTTTCCCAGGCTTTGGCTTCATCCTGGCTGCTTGCGAGCAGCAGGGGGCCATACTACTACTATGCCCCAGCGCTAAAACGCGAGTTTGACCCCATTTACAAAGTAACCCTAATGCAAGCCAGGCAACAACCATCATGCGCACCAGAAACGGTGCAGATGCCGCGTACCCGCCTGCTACAAATGTTTTCGCGATGGAAGTTCACCTCATTATTGAGTGCCTCAATACTCATCCCTCAAACTAAGTGGGTGGTTTCGTCTTTAATCCGTATACGCGCTCTTGTTATCAAGCTGTAGGCGGTCCCTTCACACAGTCGTAAATACTTCGTGACCCTTTTGCTTTACCTGTCGACATACACTGAGACTCTGAAATCCCTGATTCCGCTCCAATATTGCAGGCATGATCACGTCCTCCACCTGTGAACTGTGAGGAAGCACGGGGCGCATTATCTTGCGACAAGCAACAAGTCATTCATAATACCCTGCCTAGGTATCGAAGAAGACAAGCCTGAGTGATTGAACTGCCACAATTCTTTTTCCAAGTACCCGAGAGCTGCAATTTGCGAAAAGTCCAGGTAACTGTGAAATGGACAACAAGATAGGTCCATCAAGAACCGGGTTAAATATCTGACCTAATGTAAAGAAACCTCAGGCCTACACCCCCGAGGGTCGCCCTAGTTCAGAATTTTAATCTCCTCTGTGGCCATTCAGTTCACATACTTAAGTAGCCAGTTCCTTCACCCTCCGCCACCAGTCTTGTCCCACATACTCCATGGTGTCCGGGTTGTAGTCCTGTTCGAAAAATTCCAAGGAAGGCCGAAGGGTGTTGTCGTCGGTGATATGCAATACCCTCACCAGGATATCAAACTGTTTTCGCCCGTCAGTATCATTAGGCGAGGGGCAGGTTGTAAAGTAGGTACTCACGTGCCACGGGTCCACGCTCCGAGTCAAGTCGTCATCCACCCTCAGCGTTCGTGCCTCGTTTTCCACCGCCGTCGGCCGCCGCTGGAAATTGACGGCCGTGTCAAAGAGCCTCACCGGGCTCAGCCTCGCGGCCACCTCGCGCACGTTGGAGGCTCCGTGGTGGGCCCCCTCGGCACTTTGCTCCTGCAGCCTCGCCGCCAGCCCCGCCATGTCGGCCCCCACAACACCCTCTACTCGGTGCACCAGCACGTTGATGCAGCAGCCCACCAGGTCCCAGACGGAGGCAGCGTCGGGTTGGTGGTTATGATCGTAGTCATCTTCGTCGCGGCCGCTGACAACGCACTCGAACGCGACATCAGACTTTCCGGTGAAGCTAGATAGGGTCTTTGCCCAGGCCGCCGAGAAGATAGACGCCGGGGTGAGGCCGTGTGTGGCGCTGAAAGGGGTGAGGCTTGCGGCGGGGATTGAAGGGAGGGAGAGGATGACCTTGCCCTGTCGCGAATGCTGCTGATGCTGCAGTTGACGCGATGGAGTCCCGGCCCCATGGAGCGCGCTCGAGAGCGCAGACGGGGACAAGCCATGAAGGAGGCGTTCCCAGTATGCGTCGTCGATTTTGATGCGATCTGGAGACCCATGGGCGGCGACGAAGGCTTTGTACGATGCGACAGTGCTGCTGTTGTGAGAGTCTTTGTCGGGCCCAGCCTCATAGGCCTCCAGCAGTGCCCTCTTGATCAGCCCCAGTGACCACCCATCGATGATCAGGTGATCCATCTCCACATGCAGATACACTCTCTCCCCATGGCGGAGGATGTGCGCGCGGTGCGGTAGGAAGCAAGCGTCCACATCCGGCGCCCTCGCATCGCCGAACTCAGGTTCGGGTGCCGACGACGGCGACTCGCATACGACCACGGTTGCTTCGGAAGCAGCTTGGGCGTCTAGGACGACCTGCACGACCGGCAGTCCCAGGCGCTCCGGGGCGTCCTTCAGGAAGATGGAGCGCAGCACGGGGAAGCGCGCCACGACGCCCTGCCATGCGGCCTTGAGACGTGGCAGGGACAGAGGCTCGGCGGTCAAGGACCACAGCTCCATGCGCCACGACATGAGGAACACGGCAGGGTTGGCACTGCGCGCCCTCAGAATCTCGCGCTGGAAGGCCGAGAGCAGGTGGGCGCCTTCGACTTGGACTTGGTTGCCAGCTTGAGCTTGAGCCAGCCGGGATGTCAGGAGGGGGCGGTACGGTCCCAGCAGTATCTTCCCCGAATCTGTGGACTGTCCTGATGATGCCTGGGAAGAAGCCGAGGGGTGCTCTTCTCCCTTGCCGCCTTCCCTCTCCTCGAGCTCTTTCTCGCCCATCATAGCAGCGAGATTTCCCAGAGTTTTGGCATTGATGATGGCCCGCACCGAAACGGGAACATCAGGAAGAGCTCTCTTTGCCTGAGACACGATCTGGATGGCGGCGATTGAGTCGCCGCCGGCAGCAAAGAAGGAGGTAGCCATGCCGATTTGTGCGGCTGGCATCCGCAATACATTGCTCCAGACCTGCCGCAGCTTGTCGGCGAGGGACCCGGGCACGACAGCCTCAACCTGGCCCTGGTCATTCTCATTCTCGCCGCTGCCTACCAGCTCGTTGTACATCTCCAACGTCATGTTCTGCAACCACTGCTTCAGTCTCTTGCGGTCCATCTTGCCTGAGATGAGCAGTGGCATCTTGTCCAGCGCAGCCGTCACCAGGCCGCCCTGTGTCAGGCGGTTCTCAATCTCGCCCAGCTCAATGCGCAGTCCTCTCAGCTTCACTTGCGTGTCACGCCGCCCCACGACGTGGAAGGTCCCGTCCGGGTTGGACCGCCCCAGGTCCCCGGAGCGGTAGAGCATCGTGTCGCCGGTGAGCTGGCGCATCCAGCCCGGCGCTTCCACGAACGCTGCGTCCGTGGTGGCATTGTCGCCATAGTAGCCACCGCCGAGAGCTTCCTGTGGTCATCGGCGTCGACTATCCACATGCTCGCGCCGATGCTCCGGCCGACGTGGGACTGGTGCGCGTCCCTCCCGACGCGCAGGTTGGCTGAGCACCACACGGCTGTCTCTGACGGGCCATAGGCGCACGTCAGGTTGACTCGGTCGGCCCAGCGGACGATGGCCTCCTTGGGGATGGGCTCCCCACTCAGGATCAGCCGCTCCAGCGTGCGCACCTCGGCCGGTAAGAGAAGGTTGGCGACCGTGGGCACAACTATGAGGGTGTTGGCCCGCAGCGCCGTGATCGCACCAGCCAGGTCATCCGTACGATCTTGCTCTGATGGGACACATACGCAGCCGCCAAAGGAGAGAGTCGTGAAGAACTCGGCAATGGAAAGGTCGAAGGTGTGCGCGCAGAACTGCAAGGTCCGCCAGTGTGGGCCTGCGTTAAACGCGGGGCCGTGATGCAGGATCGACGTGCAGATTGCCCGGTGTGGCATCAAGATGCCCTTGGGCTTGCCTGTGCTTCCCGACGTGAAAAGGAGATAGGCCGTGTCCGACGGCCGACTTGCCACACGAGGAGGCTCTGCCCAGGGACGATGCGCTGGACCACCCTGGACCTGTATAATGGACAGTTCCTTGGGCTCAAAGATGTCTCTGAGGACGCCGCCGCCGTTCGGAGAGGCCAGTGACACTTTCATCCCTACCATTCGGACAATCTCCTCAATGCGACCACGCGGGTGCGCAGGGTCCATGGGCACATAGATACCGCCGGCCTTGAAGACGGCCATGATGGCCACCACGGTCCAGATGGACTTGTCAAAGCAGACACCAACGAACACACCGGGCCGGACACCAAGCTCTATCAGCTGCGCGGCGAGCGAGGATGCGTGCACGTCAACCTCCTCGTAGGTCAGCGACCCGCCGATAGAGCAGACAGCTATGGCACCAGGCCGCTTGCGTACTTGGCGCTCGAAAAGGTGGGCAAGACGGAGCGCCTGTGGAGAAGGGATAATGAGCTCGTCATACTCGATGCGAAGGAGGATCCCGGGGTCTCTGGAACCATCCGCGGACAGGGCGAAGGTCAGAACGAGAGGGTACGGGTGCTGCTCCTTCTTCCCGACCTCGCCGACATACTCCAGGCCCAGCGTCTTCATCGAGGGCTCGACGGCTGCGGCAAAGGACGTAGGGTGGACGACGAGCAGGCTCCGGAGGTCAAGAGCAGTTGTCTGCTGGCTTTTGTCCATGGCTAGGAATCTTCGGATTCGTGACGGGCCCGAGTGTTCGAAGGGCATCATCTCGACAGTCTGATGTCGGATGCGCTGGAGCAAACCAGAGACGGATTGCTCCGGTCCAACACTTGACACAATAGGCACCAGATTGATAGTTGGACCCGTCATACGCGACACACCAGGAACGGCCGCCGTACGCCCATTGTTGATGGCACCAAAGATGACCTCGTCGGTCCCCGTGTAATGCGATAGCAGGATCGCCCATGCAGCCCTCAACAGAAGGGACTTCGTGGTGCCGAACGGTGGGAGGCTATCAAGGGTGAGGTGGTGCTCCAGCACGCCGGTGCTTGGGTTGGCTCGAAACTCGAGGCCATGCGGTGCAGCGGGCCAGGGCGTCGGATGGACGCCCGACAAAGCCTGCGTCCAGAACTGCTGTTCAAGTGCTGGATCGGGGGAAATAGCTGGGGACCGAATGAACGAGGCAAACGATGGCCGCTGCGGCCCAGGTTCGCCCCGGAACCGCTGCCCAACATCCGACAGGATCTCGGGGATGGATGCTCCATCGCACAGGGCGTGATGCGCGGTCCAGACGAAGTAGTGTGCTCGTCTTGCGGCGTCTTCTATGATGGCATAACGGAAGAAAGCATCCCCAATCAACATGGGCACCCGTGCATCTTCCTCGAGAAAGTTTTCTAGGCTGGCCTGAGTGATATTCCAAGACACGGGTTCCGCATCAGCTCTGACGACCGCCTGCAGCGTCTTCAGCCCCTGGAGCTGGCAGATGCGCGTGCGCAGAACGGGGTTTGTCTGGATCGTCTCATCCCATGCACGCCGGAGATGGGCCAGTTCCAGGCCGGGGCGCACGCGGAAAACAAACTGCCGCACGTACGAGTTTGAAAACCCATCATGCTCAACCAGCAGAGACTCCTGCATCGGCGTCAGGCCGTACGCCGACTCGATGCTGGACGCGGGCAAGCCACAATACTTGGCAACCTCGTCCAGGGTGACTTGGTCTTGTTCGCGGTTCCTGTCCAAAATCTCATCTCCGTCAGGGACGGATGCGTGCCCTTTCGGTGGTTCAACCAGCCGGGCTGTCCCTGCCATATCCTCGAGTGAGGCGTTCATGAAGATTTGTTCCATGGTGAGGTGGATTCCCTCCTTTGCAGCAGCCTCGACAAGGCGTTGCGCCGTGATAGAATCGCCCCCGACCTCGAAGAAGACATCTTCATTACTGAAACTTGAGATATCATCTTGTAGAATGGTAGCCCAGATATCGCGTAGCTTGGTCAGAACATCGATATGTGTTGGGCCTATTCCGCTATCCGGTGAGTATCCAGAATCAGGTATCGAGCACTTGACATCAGCCCGCAGCCACATATTATCTAACCCTAATTCATTATGTCTAGACTTACTTCTTTGGGGCTCCGAGTCACTACTCCGTTTCGTGTGTCGCGCAAGATTTCTACCGCAAGCATCTCGTTCAGTGTATCGTGTCCAAAACACACTAGCGTGTACTGAAGGGAATGATCACAGAGTCATCTTCTCTCGAGCGATCAATTCATGTTATTCAGTCAGCAAGACATTTGCCAGAGCTCTCCTTGTCGGAGCTTCATCGGACCATCGGACTACTTGCATATCATCAGGCACAACAAGGTAAGAAAATCCCCGAAGGTTCCGGAAGGATGCCGAGAGGGTTCGATGAGCTCTCGACTAGGCAAGAAAATAACCGACTCCGCATAATTCTCAATCACCACCCTCCACCTCGACTAGGCTTCCGCGTGAAGACAACCTCGCCTGCTGGTTGTCAATGACTTGCACGGACGGGGGAAATCGACGCGCAACCTCACGCAGACTGGCGTGGCTCTATTTTATGGTGAATGGGCTGCTCAGATTCAACGCTGAACCTGCCACCGTCATCTGTCTGTTCAACATTAGACACGATGTAGGTATAGTGCCAAGCCACGACATTGTTGTGTAGAACGTGGTATTAACTTGAAACAGGCTCACCAATCCAGAGACCAAGTACAGCCCCTTTCCACCAGTGTGGCTGCCGGATCGCCAATGGCCGAGTAAAACACTGACGAGGCCTCCTCGGTGGCTCTCGACTGATCTGAGGGATGGAAATCAAGCCCTGGTAAACGTAAGTAAGCCCTATGTTTACCGTCTGCTTCTTTTTGTTTTATTATTAGGACATACGGGCTCGACTGATGGAAGATGCAGCCCATGGACGGCGATGCCAAGTTGCGCTACTTTGAGATGCTGTTGAGGCTCGGCTACAAGGAGATTGAGGTCTCGTACCCGTCAGCGTCGCAGACCGAGTTTGACTTTACAAGGCGGCTTATCACGACTGGCGCAATCCCGGAGGACGTCACCATCCAGGTGATGGCGCCGTGCCGGGAGGACCTGATCCTGACGACGATCGAGGCCGTGCGCGGGGCCAAGAAGATCATTGTACATATCCACATGTCCACGTCGGCCTGCTTCCGCGAGGTCGTCTTCAAAAAGTCCAAGGGCGAGATGCTGGCGCGCGCGGTGCGGTGCGCACAGCTTGTCCGCGAGGCCACGCGGCTCTCGCCGGGCGCGGAGACGCGCCAGACCGAGTGGACGCTCGAGTTCACGCCCGAGAACTTCCAGGACACGTCGCTGGACTTTGCACTCGAGATCTGCGAGGCCGCCAAGGCGGTGTGGCGTCCGACCCGGGACAACCCCATCATATTCAACCTGGCCGCCACCGTCGAGGGCTGTCTGTTCGGCAACGGCGAGCGGACAGGAAACGTGGACCTGGTCACGCTCGGCATGAACCTGTACACGCAGGACCTCGGGCGCGAGCACCAGGCCATCATCCGCATCAACGCGCAGAGCGGCAAGGGGGGCATCGGGTGGCTCGCCAAGAATGTGCTAGGCGGCGTCGAGCTGCCGCGAGGCCTGGAGATCGCCTTCACGCGCGTGGTCAAGAGCCACGCCGACGCCACCGGGGGCGAGATCACGCACGCTGTCCTCGAAGGCTTGTTCCAGAGGGAATACATGTCCCTGGGGGCCTCTCAGATCGCGACAGTGCGTTGTGATCACACGATGGAGGACAGCAGTGTCCAAGTGGACGCTGCCGTCGCCGTGGGCGGCGTCCAGCACCATCTTCGTGGCGCGGGGCCCGACCTCATCAGCAGCATCGTGCAAGCCGTACAGCGGTCAACCCTGACCGAGACTGGATTTTCCACACGGCATCACTCCATCCAGAAGCAGCAAGGTCAGGAAGAGGACAAGCACGCCGTCTTCGTTGAGTTGGGTGAGGTCGACGCCCATGGCTGCTGGGGCGTGGGGATGCACGACAGTGTGGCATGGGCTTCTTTGGCTGCTGTAAGTCTTCAACTCTCCATCAACTTCGGCACTCTCTGCATTGATCTCACGGTTATCCAGGTTCTCTGCGCCGTCGGAAAAGCACAAAATGACTCCAGCCGCGCAACGACTCCCCATTCAACAAGTCCGGGATCAGGCAAAGGGTCGGATGATCAATGGACGTGTGTCTGTAGTCTTGGCTGTGACGGGGCTTAGCAAGTTGGACGACCGAGGTAGAACGGTATAATCTGTTTCAAGCCGCATAACCAGCAGAAGGAGATGCCCTACAACGTTATCAATGACTTAGATGAGGAAGCCATGATTCCTATTTTCTCTCTACAATAGTGTCCAGTTATATCTCAAAGTGCACTCTTTACATTGCTTGAATTAATGTTGGTCTGGTGCTCGGCTCAAAAAAAGCCCAACAAGGTCTACAGCACTCATACTACCAATATTGGCCTTCTCGAGAAGCATAACAACCCTACGCGTCTCCCAGAAGGTAGAAGGGTGAGATTTATAGCGGACTTGGGAAGGTAGACTCGGTAAACGCTCTTGCAGCTAACCATTTCGGCGCTCGGATCCACCCGCCGGTCGAGAAAATCACCAAGGAATATTATGAGCCTAAAGAAGAAATGCTGTGGCCGGATATTATCGGGTGCCCCGGTGCACATGCATCGCGAACTCCATCAGTTTGTGCTAATAACCCGGTCCGAATTCGGACTGTAGAGTAGGATCTCGGTGAATCCTTTAGATTTCATTGCTCTTAGGCTTGTGAGCCCCTAGCGACATTAAGAGGCAGCGCGATGCTGACTTGTGGTCTCTTTTGTGGCCACCTGCATCCCCTTATACAATAAACGAGTAATTGTTTCAAACATGGTACTGAATTCTATGAGTTACAGAGAGGGGCCGGGCTTCCAATACCCTACGCCCTCGTTATCGCGTACCCTTGGGCAGCTCATTGACAAGCAGGCTGAACAACGCGGCGAACACGTGGCTCTGGTTTCCGCCTGGCAAAACGCAAGCCTGACATACCAGCAGCTACTCAACTCTTGCAGGAGCATTTCAGGGCGTCTATTACGGCATGGGGTGCGTCCCGGTGACCGCATTGTTGTGCTGGCTGGCAACTCGGTTGAGTATGCGCAGCTGTTCTTTGCCGTGGGAGCTATTGGGGCCGTCTTCAGCATTATTAACCCAACATTGGAGCCTGATGAGGTCATTGAGGCGGTCGAATTTCTGTGTATGTCTTCCTTCTCACTTGCTCGTATTCACAAACCAGATTGGTCTCCTGTGTTATCGCATGTGGACTTACACAGCTCACATGCATGCAGAACCAAAGTGCATCTTCATAGCAGACAGGATTGGAAACCGCAAGAATGCCAGCGTTTTGGGTGATTTGGTCAGAGTAAGACAGCAACCAACGTGTTTTGTTCAGTTGGGCACCACAACAGCGACTGACGGTGTACTGACCTGGGATGAATTCCTGCACGACGCCGGAGATAGCCGCGGTGGTGATGATCTCCTGGCTCGGTATTGGGCCACCTGCTCCCCAGATACCACCGTCTGCATCCAGTTCACGAGCGGTATACCACCGGCCCACCTCGTGGGCAACGCCGTCCTCGTGGGCCAGCGACTCGGGTACACGCCGTCAGACGTCGTCTGCTCGACGACCCCCCTGTTCCACTGCTTCGCGCTGGTCTGCGGCCTCATCGCGACAGTCGCGTACGGGGCCACCGTCGTCCTACCCTCGGACGTGTTCCTGGCCGGCGCGACGTTGCAGGTCCTCTCCGAACGCAAGTGCACCGTCATCTACTCTGTCGCCACCATGCTGCAGGCCATGCTGGACCACCCGGACGCCGGAACCCACAGGCCTGGGATGTCCCTGAGAACCGGCATCGTGGCCGGCTCGGCCCTGACCTCGGACCTGGTCGGGAGGCTGGCCGCCGAGTTGGGCCTCGGGGGGCTCACGTACGGCTACGGCATGACGGAGGCCTCCTGCATCGTCTTCATGACGGACCCGAAGCAGGACCGCCTCACGGACGACTTCTCCTCAGTAGGAACCCTGCTTCCCTGCTTGGCCGCGCGGGTTGTTGACGAGCATCTGAGTACTGTGCCTGTGGGCAGTGCGGGAGAACTCCTCGTATCGGGGCATTCCGTGTTCCAGGGATACTACAAAAATCCTCTCAAAACTGACGATACCATTGTGAGGGATGCTCAAGGGCGACATTGGCTTCGAACGGGAGATTTGGTGTCGATTGACGATGCCGGGAGGTGCACCATAGTCGGGCGAGTGAAAGATATGATCAAGAGGGGTAAGTCGTACCACAATGATGCCGTTGCCAAATCCGTCCATGAGATGACTTACACATAATAGGCGGCGAGAATATCTTCCCACGCGACGTGGAGGCGGTTCTGGAGCAGCATCCCGAGATCCACGCCGCGGCGGTTGTCGGGATACCAGATGCCTTAGGGTACTGGGGAGAGGTTGTTGGCGTCTTCATCCAGCGCGCCTGCGGCTCGAATTGTAAGCCCGAGTCAAAATCTGTGGAGCGCCAGGGAGGCTTGGGCAAGAAGGAGCTGAAGCGTTGGCTCCGCGGCCGCATAGCGACCCACAAGGTGCCTGAGTATTTCTTTTGGATTGGTGAAGGAGGCGGTGTTCCTGATGAGCTGCCGACCAACCACAGTGGGAAGATGGTAAAGTCAGAGCTGCGGGCTACAGCAACAGCCCTTTCGAAGTCAAAGGGTTTTCAAAACGTAGAGTAGAATGAAGAATTCAAAATAAGAGTGTTGTTTTAACGGCCCTGCAGACTGAATGTAGCCAGGTAGAACGTGTAGCTGGCATATGCGTCTTTGTATGTAAGCTTTTCTTGTCAGGTATCTTATAGTATCTTATCTTTATAATTTCCGTTGAGCTATCTGAGCCCTTTCGCCTTAGTGAACCACCCTTGTGTGGCCTTCCTATTGTCTGTCACGGCACATGGTCTCTTACTAACAGGCATCTGCACTATCATAAGTAGACAAGTTCAAATGGCTCATACAATCAGATAAACTTCAAGGCTAAATTCATGTTGATCTCTAGTATACCTAGGTATTTGTGTCCAGCTTGTACTCAAGCTACTTGTGGTGTGGTCTCTTTAACAAAGGGGGAAAATTGGGGTGCACATAAATTCCGTCGACAGTCTACATGCAACCGGCTGTACACAACCCTGTGAAAGAAATGGGCTTCAACTCCTCATTGCCGCTTCGCAGAAAAGTATTGCTGCTTGACCTCATCGCCGCCCTGCCACTTGACACCATTATCCCACGCCTCAGACTGATACTGAACGAGTTCCGACGACACCTCCCACTTACCCTCGGGCGCGGTCGCCCACAGCTGGGCCATTGTGTCCTCGGAATGGTGGAACAAGGACCACCCCAGGGCGTTGGTCGTGGTGACACCGCCCTTCTCGGTTGTGGCCATGTGGCGCCCAAAGACCAGCGAGCCGGGCCCCGGGCGCAGCAGGCGCACCAGCTGTGCGACGATGGCCTGCTGCTGCTCGAAGCTGAACAGGTGCAGGAAGGAGCCGACAAAGATGATGTCCACGCGCCCGCGCAGCTCCGAGAGGAAGCCGGGGTCGAAGACGTCCCCCGTGAGGAACCGGGCGCGCAGGCTGCCCCTGTCGCCAAAGAGCTCGTAGCCCAGCTCCATGAAGCGGCGCTCCGTGTCGACGCCCACCAGGTTTTCCGACGGCGCCCCGTCGTGCACCAGCTTCCGGAGGTCCTGTCCGGCGCAGCAGCCCAGGTCCAGGAAGGTCTCGCCGGCGCGCACGCGCGAGAGCACCTCGCCGTACGCGGGCGATAGGCAGGCTGGGAAGTCGAGGAAGCGGAAGACCCCGATGCATGGGTAAGGCATGCTGTGCCGGCCTTGGTTAGCCACAGTGCTGGGCTCATCATGATCCTCTGGAGATAAGGCAGGGGGAGGAGGAGGAGCAGGCGGCGGCGGCGGCAGCAGCAGCAGCAGCAGCAGCAGCAGCAGCAGCACCAAAGCACTTACATTTCCCAAGCTTGGTCCCGAACACGATGGATGTGATCCAGCATCCTGTTCTCGGGAATGCCCGAATACTCCCTCAGGACCTCTCGTGCGATCTTGGGGACGTGGCTAAGAGTGTTTTGGTACCAGGCCACATCTCGGGATGCTGTTTTCATGCCATTTGTCCAGTCTACAGACTTGGGGTCGACAGCCGGGCTGGCAGCATCCACGGCGGTAACAGTATCAACGGCCAATGTATCGTCTCTGGTTCAAGAAAAGAATAACGAAGATGCGCGGCAAAAATTGTTTGCTTCTCACTCTTCCCATCCCCCCTCCCTTACATCCCACATGTTCGGTGGCGGTCCTTCTTGTGTTGTTCCGGGCGTTGCGAAGCCGGCTGCTTGCTCCAGCTGTCGTCCAAAGTTTGGAATTAATATGCCGCGCCTTCTGCATGTTGTGGTTTTTGGTCCGGAAGGATTCTCGGGGAGCATCTCGTGCGGGTCTACCTGGGAGACTCCTACGGGATTTTATCATGGTGTTTTTGGGATCGTGCGATGCCTTCGCGCTCGTACGACGCGGAACCCCGTTCTGCAGGTATGGCCAGTTCTTGAAAGACCGTCTGCGAGCTTCCTGGCCGAGATTGCAGTCAGTGCTCGACAAAAAAGCAAACAAGATGAAGCATATAGCTTGATAAGGTAGCTATGCAGGGTGTTTGGTGAGACACCGACCTTGCTGGCAGAGCCTGTTGCCCGTGATCCATCTGATGTATCATAAGCGTCCTGCAACGCCTGGGGACTGCTTTGCTCGGCGTCGGCAATTTCGCTCCCGAGCCCCTACCAACACAAGTTCTCATAGTTTCTATCTAACCTGCATCGGTAGATCAACCACCGAATCCCTGGATGCTGCCCAGCTCTGGGCATCTCACAGGACTTTCTAATTTTTAGCCTACTGTATTCTCTTTCCACTGTTATTGGCACTGTATTTCTTCAGACGCTGGGTCTTGAGCGTTTACCACTGTATGAAGGCGCCACGTACATTTTATATGTATGGGGATTAAAAACGAAACCACCACTAATTTTTAGCCTAAGGTGCCTACAGTGCGAATTTATGTATATATAAAACTGGGGAAAAGAAGCACTATCTAGATAAGGTGCTATTCAGCGCCACTTGCGTGTCTCATGCAGGTTTAGAAATCACGCCATAGAATCCTCCAGCCAGGTAGAGTCTACACACGTGTGGTGGGCCCAAAAGCCCAACGCAACAGCCGCCTTACTCCCGGAGGTTTGATTACAGACTGACTAACCCATGCACCAATAAACCACAACATTTGACACATATATCTATAGTATGATAACACTGCTGAGACTGGATCCTGCTGTTAGCCCTACATTACACCGTGCACATACTACTGCTACTACTACTACTACTACTAGGACAACCACAACAGGAGATAATGTGCTCGCCCATGGACCACAAGCCTCGCGTTTCCCGCAGGCAGAAGATCCCGGGCAACCTGGTCAACAACTGGAAGAGCTCGGCGCCGCGGGGCGCGAAGCCGCTGGTCCGGAGGCCCAGGACGGCCTGCGATCGGTGCCGCACCGCGAAGGTCAGGTGCTACGGGAACGGGCAGCACGACTGTGACCGCTGCGCCAGCCGGGGGCTTCCCTGCAGGTACATAGAGCCGCCTCGGCCACTCAGCCCTGCGTCCTTGGGCATCCCTTCGGCCCTCGTCGACGCGGGGAACCCGGAAGACAGCCACAGCCAGATGGACTTTGGCGCCGACCACCTCAGTGATGGTCAGTCCGCGAGTGACAGCGCCGCACTGCAGCAGCTGCTGGGGTCCTCGGTGGACCCGTCCAGCATCGACCACGAGCAGACAGACAGCCCAGAGCATCAGCAGCAGCATCAGCAGCAGCAGCAACAGATGGACTGGAGCGCGGTGGACCCGGCACTTGACTGGACGATAGGGATGAGCCCCGTAGCGGGTCTCGACCTGCCTGGGGGGTTTTCCAGCGACTCGACGACGCCACCCGACTCGATGGGCGGCTCCGCCACCAACATGGGCATCACAACCCCTACATCGGGACAGCAGGCATCCTTGTCGAGCCTCGGCCTCCTACCTGTCATCACCAGCACCAACGCCGCCGACCTCTCATGGCAGAGCCAGCTGTTGTCACCGCAGGGCTGCCAGTGCCGCTCGGGGCTTGCGCTGCTCATCCCCAACGCCAGGGCGGCGCTGCAGAAAAGGCGCCTCGACAGTGTCCTCCAGGTGACGAGCGACATAGTCCAGCAGTGCCAGGGCATGGTCACGTGTAAAAACTGCAGGGTTAACTGTACCGACCTGATCTGCATCATGGCCGTGTTCCAGGAGGCGGACGTCTGCTTCGACTACATTGCCAAGGGCGACATCGACAGCTCGATCAGCGTGAGCGTGGGGTTCTATGACATGGCGGCGGACGGCCGGGACGCCATGCAGTGGAGGCAGATGCTGGTGATGCAGCTGTGGAGGCGGGCCAACAAGCTGCTGGACTCGATCAGCGCGAGCGGCCAGGCCATGCTGAGGGACCTGGACCCAGACTGCCGGCTGAGGAGGCTCAACATCAATTACCTACAGGCTGTCATTGAGAACTCGAGGGACAACTTCAGCCGTGTAATGAAAGAATTCCAGGAACCTAAAAACGGCGAAGACGAGAGGGAGGAGACTGACTAGTAAGAGGGAGGAGATTATACATAGTATTAACCTATGGCAACAACTGTTCCTGTCCTAAACCGTGCTAGATCTTCGAAGCAAACCGTTGCGGCCTTGGATCTCCCGCAGCCACCCCCCGATCCTCCTCGCAACGCCCCCCGCGCTCTCCTCCCAGGGCGTGCCCCGGCCAGCCACGATATCAGGGTGGTGGATATGGACCACTTTGGGTGTGGCGGCTGGAATATGGCGAGATAGGCCAGCCAGAAGGGCACGTGGGCCAGGATCCATGCCTTGCGGGCCAGCCTGAACAGAGAGCGGAGGGGCTGGTAGGAGAGACAAGTGGAACCTGAGGGTATCGTGACGGGGATGTGCCCTGCATGCATGTTTGTGTGTGTGTCGTGTGAGGGGGCGGGATGTCGACCGAGTCTTGATTGTAGGTCAAGCACTAATGTATCTTGTATTCTGTTCCTCCCGAGTTCGGACGCAGGAGCGGTTGCGTTGCGTAGAGATATTGTCGCCGTACGATGGTTGAATCCTTCCGGCTTATACGGAGCATTGTATACTTAAGTACCTATTCAGGAATATCTCAATCTCAGAGTGCGAGTGCATCTCTTTATAGAGTATAGTGTAGTAAAGTGTACCTAGGTAGTTAATACGCATTCTTCACAGAAGCAGTCTAGCAAATATGACGGCAGAAGAAGTCCTGCTGAGCGAAATCACCACCCGCCGCCGGAGCTTAGGCTGCCGATGTCGCCAGCGTCGTGCGAGGGGTGTGGGCAAAGGCCGTGGGCATCGACGAGTCCGAGTTGCCCGAGGACACGCCCATCGGCAACTTCACCGACAGCATTACGCTCATGCGCGTGCGCGCCGATATCAAGCGTGCCGTGGGCGTGGCGCCGTCCATGGTCGAGATCCTGGGCGCCCAAAATATCACCGCACTGGTCAGGCTTGCCGAGGTAAAGAACCCGGCTGCCGCACTGTCAGCCCCCCCAAGCCGTGAGGGCTACATGTTCATGTATGGCTACGTCGTCAAGGCCGCGGACAAGGACAAGCAGGCCCTGCGGCGCGCCATCGAGGCCTCCCTGCTCCACCACAGGGTGCTGGCCTCGTTCCTGGTGTCGGACCCGGCGATGCTGGACGGGGACACCTTCGGCACGCTCGACGAGTTTAGGGAGGTCACACGGGAGGCGGCCGACATCGTGAGGTGGCTTGTTGACGACCGGAACTCGGACAAGCCTGTCGGTGGGGCAATGCGGTCGTAGGCGGGGCCAGGAACGGAGGAACTCTAGGGCAGACAGTCTGATGTTACTTCTACTACGAGGGCCTGCATGGGAGAAGACTAAGACATAGAACGTAGATCGTAGTTGAGATATTCAAACGAGGCCGAAGAACAGACCTAGCCCTTCATCATCTTCGACTTTATCATCCAATCTGGTAAGTCGTACTTATCCTGCTTCATCCACTCGGTTTCAATCCGGAGGTAGTGCACGTGAAGATGACGAGCTATTCTGATTGCGTCCTGAAAGGTCTGGCACAGCACAATACTACAGCTCTTCAAGCCATCCCTCAATCGACTCGGCTATAGTACATGCCGGTGTCCATTCTCAAGCCCGCCTATCTATCTGAATACTGTCTAGGTACGACTCCTTCCCGGGGTTTACACAAAACCTGAGTCTGAGAGCTCAACCATCTTGAACGAGTTTCTCTTACGGCTATAAGTATATATATTCATATGCTTTGTCTTTGTCCAGCGGAACCCTCTTTAGACCACATTAGAGATGTTTAGATTACAAAGTAACAAAAGATATTATGATAGAAACCGATCTAATAACATACAATAAAGCCACGGTTGCGATATAGCCGCGACTGTCATGCCATTAGCACAGGAATACGTCCAACATGGCGCCAAAGCCCTAAGCAGCAGCCGCAGCGCCGCCTCCGAACAGCTTCACCCTCTTCATGAACAGGCTCAGCACCGCGGTCAGGCCGCCAGCCACGATGACCAAGATATAGACCTTACTCATGGCCAAGATAATCGCATCCAGGACCTGCGACCTGACGTCCGGCTCCAGGGTGTCCAGGAAGCCGCTCGTCGAGCCCTGGATGGCGAGACCGATGGTCTCGGACGGCACATCCGGCAGGATGGCCTGGATTGCCGACCGCGCATCGTTGAGGAAGAGGGTGTTGGCGATGGCAAGCGAGATGCAGATGCCGAGGAACTGGCCCAGCATGACGAGGCCGACGGCGGCGGGGACGTCCTGCGGCGCCACGACCGCCTGCGCCACCGACAGCGACGCCTGCAGCCACATGCCCACGCCAGCCCCGAGGACCACCGTGTAGCCGTAGATGCGGCTGGCCGAGGTGCTGGCCCGCACCGTGTACATGAGCGCGGCGCCCGCCAGGGCGAGGAGGCCGCCGGCCGTGAACCACGGCGTGTAGTAGCCCAGCCTGCCCATGAGGCTGCCGTTGGCGATGATGAGGACCACCATGACCACGATGAAGGGGAGCAGGCGGACGCCGGCGTCGAGCGCCGAGTCGCCCCGCGTGAACTGGAAAAAGGTCGGGACAAAGTAGATGGGCACGAAGGCCGAGGCGCCGGCCGACGCGCAGCAGGCCACGAGGATGAGCACGGTCGGGTTGTTGAAGATCTGCACCGGCAGGATGCGGCGGGCCACGGTGGTGAGGACGGTCTGGACCTGCTGCGCGGCGAGGAGGACGAACAGGACCCCCGCGGCGCAGAAACACCCAATCACCTCGCCGGACCTCCAGGGGTAGATGACACCGCCCCAGTTGACGGCGAGGATGAGGCAGACCAGGCCGCCCATGAGGAGGATGTTTCCGACGTAGTCGATCTCCGCATACCGCCTGCGCAGGGAGACGCCCGGCCGGGGGTCGGCGTGGTTGGGCAGGAGGAAGATGTACGCAGGAGCAGCAGGGACGGCGACGAGGAGGTTGATGTAGAAGGCCCAGCGCCAGCCGACAGAGGAGATGCTGAACGCGCCCCCGATAACGGGGCCAAGGACGATCCCGAGGCCCCAGGTGAGCCCGGTGAGGCTGACGTAGAAGGGCCGCTCTTTCATGGTCGTGGTGGTCGCAATGAGCGTCATGACGCCCATGTAGATGCCGGCGCCGCCCACACCAGCGATGGCACGGCCGACGATGAGCGCGTCGATGTTGGGCGCCCCGCCGCAGAGGGCGGAGCCGACCTCGAAGAGGACCACGCAGGTCAGGTAGAAGGTCTTGGCGTTGAACTGGCCGTATAGCCGGCCCCATGGCATCACGAAGGCGGTGGCCGGCATGACCAGGCCGTTGCTGAGCCACGAGAGCTTTTCTATCGCGCCCCACTCGGCAATAATGCTAGACTGGATGTCGGCCACGACGGTGCAGTCGAATGCGTAGAGGAAGATGGACGAGAGGAGGGCGGCGCACGAGAAGGCCCACTTGAGACCATGTATGTTGCGCGGAGAGGGCTCTGGGGCTGTATCCGCCTTGTTGCCTTCTTCAACATCTTGATCCTGCTTCTCGAGGACATTGTGGTCAGACGAGACCTGGTCGGACGGGGGGTCCGATTCGGGGCTTCCTCTGTCCGCCATTTCGTCAAACAGGTCGAGCTCAGGGGAGCAGGCTAGATGCGTATTGAGGTTGTCACTCGGTTGAGGCCGCCGCTTGGAAACTCCGGGAGCGAGTGTTCAATGTTGAACGGAGAAGAGACCGCTATAGCAAGACGGTAAATATCAGTAATGATTCCGTGAGCCTTTGCTACAATCGGGTCCTCTGGCGCCTCATTTCAACGCCAGACGTGTCTCTGCCGCACACATCTTATAAACGACGCGAAATTCAGCCATTCGCAACCACAGATTACCCAAGTAGGCAAGTGGACCCCCGAGCCCTGTGGGTCAATCATTATTAATCACCATGCGGCCCCCAGATTGGTACGGCCTGGTGTTGTGAATGGGACAGGCAGAACAGGCTCGTCCTGACGCGGGAATTTCATTTCCAGATTAGGCAATTCATATTCCGAAACTCAATTATATGTACATCCTCAGAGTCTTGTAGGTGACGGCCTGTAGGTATCGCAGCTGTGACGCAGCGGTTGAATTGATGGTATTGAAACCAGTTCTATCCCTAACATGCTTCGCTGCAAACGAGAATTACGCAATTCGCCTCCATCTGATCTTCATATCTTGATCAGGACGCATAGCACCGGAACCGCAGTATTACGTTGATATACTTGGCTCTTGTTATTGCCGCGAATAGATCTGAGAACTCACTCCCAATAGCTCTTTTGAACACCATCTTTGTGTAAAGCAATTCCTCAAGGAAGGGGAGGGGGAGAATGCCTTACTTGTAAATCGTCTAAAAATCACATTATAATCCCCGAAATTTAGTGGCTTTCTCAGTCTTAGGTCAGCCTCATTGCCCCGGATTTGCGGTCTTGCACCGATGTGGAAACGCGGGGGCGGTGGCGCAATTCCGAGCCGGAAGATATGCCGCTGTCTGTGACAAGCGAAGTGATGCCCCCCCCTGGCTAAATTCGCATGTACGCACGTGCCATACAATTTTTTTCACTCCCTCTAAAACTAGTCTTTTCTTAATAACTCTCTAATTAACTAACTAAAAATTATATAAAAAATATATTTATAATCCTTATTTTAAATTCTATAAGGTTATATTTTTAAAATATTTATTTAAATAAGTTTTTATATATTTTAATAAAATCTAAAAGTTAAATAATTAAATATTTTAAAAATATACTCTTATTAAGTTTTAAATAAAAATCTTAAAAGTACTCTTCTTATAATTTTAAATAAAGATTTAAAAAAGTTTTATAAATATTTATATATATATTAATAAAATTTTATTTTTAATTAAATAAATATTTAAAAATTATATTTTTATATAGTTTTTAATATGAATTATAAATATAATTTTTATATATTTTTTAGGTATATAATAAAGGAGTTATTGAAAGAAAACTACTTTAGAAAGAGAATAAAGAAATTTGTGTGGCACGTGCGTACATGCGAATTTAGCCAGGGGGGGGCATCACTTCGCTTGTCACAGACAGCGGCGACCCGATATTCCCGGTCGCCGGTCTCGATATATTGAGCCGGCAGTTGGCACAGCCAAACCTACCCCCTGGCATATCTCGTAAATGCCACCATGAATCTGTTTCTGACCCAGATCCCTCGCCGGCCGGCCGGCGCTATTCGAGCAGCGTCGGTCATGACCTGCCGACGAAAGCTCACAAACTCAGGCTCGCGCCCCCTCGCCTCGATCCAGCAGCAGGCCACAACACCAAGTACGCCCAACAGGGCACCGCCCACCGCAGTCCAGTCCCTCGGCAAGACCAAATCAGGCCGCGACTTGCGCATACGCAGCTACCCACGCTTCGCCACCCTCGCGGAGGAGCGGCAATACCGCAAGGAGCACCTCGCAGCCGCCTTCCGGGTGTTCGCAGACCGCGGCTACGACGAAGGGGTTGCAGGCCACATCTCCGTGCGCGACCCGATTCTCACAGACCACTTCTGGCTGAACCCCCTCTCCGCACACTTCAGCCAGATCCGCGTGTCAGATCTGATCCTGGTCGACGAGGACGGTGCCATTGTCGAGGGCGACGAGCCGATCAACACCGCGGCCTTCACAATCCACAGCGCCATCCACAAGGGCCGCCCAGACGTCCATGCGGCGTGCCATGCGCATAGCGTCCACGGAAAGGCGTTTAGTGCCTTTGGGCGGGAGCTGGAGATGATCACGCAGGACTCCCTGCGGTTCTATCGGAGCCACGCTGTGTATCGGCATTTTGGGGGCGTGGTCGTTGATGCGGACGAGGGAGCGAGGATTGCGGCTGCGTTAGGGAACGGCAAGGCTGTCATATTGCAAAATCACGGGCTCCTGACTGTGGGTCAGAGTGTTGATGAGGCTGCCTTTTGGTTCATGTCACTGGACCGGACTTGTCAGGCGCAACTGTTGGCGGATGCGGCTGCTGCGGCTGGGTATGAGAAGGTTCTGATCGATGAGGACGAGTGTAAATTCTCGGCGCAGAGCGTGGGCGGGCCGGAGAAGGGGTGGCTGGCCTTCCAGCCGTATTACGACGAGATGCTGGCCAAGACGAAGGGGGACTTCCTGAAGTGAGGCTGTGCCACTGCCCATGAAGAGCTGGATGAACGATGTACTCACCTGGGCAGCGAGATATGGCTCGTTATGTTCATCGAGTCAGATCCATGGCATAGATTATTTCATAATCTTTGTCCCCCGGTATCTAGGTGGTACAACTGTCCGCCAGTTTGATAAGAAGCACTTGACTTGTTTGCCGCCCTTAAGTAGTTTCGTTTCTAATCCCCGTACATATAAAACGTATACGGTGCCTTCATACAGTGTTAAACGCTCAAGACCAAGCATTTAAAAAAGCACAGTGCCAATAAAAGTATAGAGACAATACAGCACGTTTGTGGGCATGTGGCATCAGTTCGCCCCCGAGGTCATTAAAGACTGACCACACACGCCAAAATTTCGCAACCAAATCACTGCGCCAGGCATACTTAGGTAGTGCAGTTCAGGGGGCAAGTATCAAAGACGGAAATCATCGACCCAGGAACTGGCGGCGGAAAGTCTAGAATAAAATTGATATTTCCTGACTATGGCCGTCACGTAGTCCCAGCGAGCTGGGCCCTCGCCCCACCCCCATCTCTTTCCAGCATTCACGCCGCGTCACATATCCCATAAGTTGCCTGACACCCTGAAATCGGAGAACAGTAGATATCCGAGGAGCCACAGTAACCGAACTGGGAACAGCACTGCCCATATTGCCACCCGATACACGACTTGTTGTTTCCGCACGTGCCGTCCGTAGTTGTGCTCTGGCCCGGCGGGAGACCCGGCGTCGGGCTGGCGCTCGCGCTGCTGCTGCTGCTAGAGCTGGTGCTTGTCGTCCCCGATGTCGTCGTGGCTGTTGACGTAGAGGATGGGCTGCTCGTCGACAGCGAAGATGTCGTTGATGTTGAGCCGGGTGGCGGGGAGGATCCCTCGCAAAGGCCGTACTGGGCCTGACACCCTGAGACCGGGGAGCAGTACACGTCCGAGTCGCCGCAGTAACCGAACTGGGAACAGCACTGCCCGAAGGACCACCCCAGGCAGGACTTGTTGTTGCCACATGTGCCGTCGGGGGTGGTGCTCTGGCCAGGTGGCAGGCCGACAGTTGGGCTTGCAGTGGCACTGCTGCTGCTGCTGCTGCTGCTGCTACTGCTACTGCTCGTGGTGCTGCTGCTGGTCGTTACAGTTGTCGACGAAGTGGTCGTAGTTACCGTGGATGACGATGAGCTGGTTGTTGTCGTCGTTGCAGAGGTGGTCGTAGTGATTGAACCTTCACAGACACCGTAGGCCGGCTGACATCCCGCGATGTTGGAGCAGTACATGTCCGATGAGCCACAGAAGCCCCATTGCGAGCAGCAGAGGTTGTTTGAGCACCGCGCACCATTGGCTGCTGCACCGCATTGCGCGGCGGTTCCCTGGCGTCGCGAGAGGGTGAAGTTGAATGTCTTGCCCCCGTCCAGGACGCCGTTGTAACCCCGGCCTAGCCCAGGTGCCACGTCCGGAGTGTCGATGACGGAGGCGGCTCCTCGTCCGAAGAAGAGCAGTCCTGCCAGCGCGTTTGCGAGACTCGGCCAATGCATCTTGGCTTTGATAGCAGACTTCGGTGTGTGGTTCCTGGCTTGCAGAGTTCAAGCTGCTAATGTTCATCATGATCAGCGGAGGACCCTAGATTTTTTATATTGACCAGAATATGCCTGGGCCAATCCGGACGACACTCGAAATTCGGCTCGGGTATTCGGGCTGAATGGGTAGATACCGCGTGCACCCGCAGCTTTTCGGTGCCCAGAACACCAAATCACCCGGGGACATGTATATCTGGCCTCCAGAGGTCGGATGCTAATTGTAAAGACCTATTTACCGGGTGAAGGGAAGGTGCAAAGATTATATCGAGACTTGGCTGTGCAGAAAACGATCCGCAGGTACCGAATGGAGAATGCTGTGTGGCCTATGGCGCATGCATTTATATTGCAGGATAAATTGGGCTCTCCAAATCGAGGTAGCACTGTCCGTGGCTCATGATTGATAGCTACGACGACAGCATGTTATCAACAACATGCCAAGCATATCACACCAAAAATAACTTTTGTATGACCTACCAAGCCTGGACACTGTAGATAACTCTTGGAAACCCCAGGTATCAAGTGGATGTCAATGTGGCACGAGATGTTGGCCGGGGTCTCGGGCCCGGCGGCCGGTTTCGCCTACTCGGCCGGATTTCTGGGGTGCTAGGAGTCCATGGATATTTCCAAATCTGTGCCTACCAGGTGACCATACTACATATTACTAGACTCAAGTGGATCGCATATTCACTTCATAGGAGACGAGTAAGCCGACGTTAAAGTAACGATACGGTACTTATACACTGCTAGGAATAACCAATAGGTAGATTGGTTATTATGGTCTTTTGGCCGGATGGTAGAGCGTGTGGCTAGCAGTCACACCTACTATTGCAATAACCAATCTAAGGGCGTAGGTTCAAGCCCCCACATTCGAAAGTCTTATTCGGTCTATAATTGCACTACCAGGAAGGTAGTGTTTACTCTAAAAGCGGCTTAATTAAATAACCTATACCGTTTAAGATTTTCAGGCCTCCTATAAGTACACAAGCCGACTCAGCGACGCACTATTTAGAAACCACTCAGACCCTCTCTCTCTATATACCTAAAGCTCTATAGAAGGCCTTAGAGGAGGGTAGTAACGGTACAGTACTTATACACTACTAGAAATAACCAATAAGTAGATTAGTTATTATAGTCTTTTAGCCGGATGGTAGAGCGTGTGGCTAGCAGTCACGCCTACTATTGCAGTTGACTAATTATGGGAAGAGATCATGTGTATCCGGCATACCAGCGGCTTGTATTTATTACGCTGTTTACGTTGATCTTTATACATTTATGAGAGATGGCCCCGCTAAAACTCTGGTACATACAGGTACACGTCAGTGGCACGAGGAGCCGGGGGAGAAGACAATGATTTGCGTGACGCAACATATGACCGCTGTCACGGTCGGGCGACGAACCTTTATACTTGTGAAGTATATGGCCATTAAATAAGCATCCCTGGTCTCCCAAAGCTCTCACCCGGGCAGGCCGGCATTGGTAGGGGAACTTCGAACAGTTGAAGTCAGCCAGGCATTGACTCTGAAAAGAGCCAGTTAAACGCAGATGGCAGGTGCATCCGTTGTTTCACATTGTAATAGTTGAAGTCAATGGCGTCAAGGAAGTGGCTTGAGATAGGAATATGGCTACCCAAAAACTCCATCAACCTACCACTCAGCCTCTTCTCGGCGCTCGTGGCAGGCCAAAGCTTTCTCTAGCAATATTTTACCGCAGGCCAGTGCCAGGCCAGGTATCGAAATGCTCACCACGCCTCCTCCTTTGGCGGAGATGAATAGAGCGGTTGTGTGACTGACCGCTGATAGGTGATTGACTGGAAGCCCTTTTATTCACTCAGCTATAAGATGGACAGGCCTTTCATGACTAGATGCCTGACCAGAGCCGGCCAATATTGGACGTAAGATGAGTGTCAGTATTTAAAAGCGGTCTCAAGGGCTACTAAGTACCAGACCTCTATCGTTCTCACAGCTGTGAAAATACCACAACGCCAAGCCTCGTTCAACAACGAGCTGTGAGGACCCAATACTGGGATTCGAAATCCCATACCATACTGGCAACAGCGAGGTCTTCTGATGTCTGACCCCGTAGGAGCTTCCCGCACAAGCCCCCCCAAGACTTCATGAGTTAATCTTGGAAGTGTCTGACTTCGTCTTGATACCAGAATGCCCCCGGAAACCACGCAGGCCAACTGCAGCCACGAGGCATGCGAGGCATGCGAGGCATGCGAGGCATGCGAGGCCTCATGACAAATACTGATCACTTGAAAGCGGAATCGGACGAGGAACTTCGCGACGTGGTGCATCAGACATGCATCATGGAGGAGACAGCCAGAGAGCTCGTCGACATCATCAGCAATTGGCGCGCCAGAGCCCATTGGCAAGTGCAGGATGCCGATGCAGTTGCCTGGGAATTACGGGGTGCGCTTGCCCACGCCAGACAGAGACTTGAAAGTGAGATCAATACGCATGGCGAGACCAACCTGGGACGTCGTGGATGGCAGGTGCATCTGGACCACGAAGTCAGGCGTGCGGAAGAGGGGTGCGAGCGTGCGCAGGCTATGCTTGACAGATATGTGCTCAGGGCGCAGGCCAGAGATGTTCTTGGCACGGCCGCAATAGCTGCGGTGCAACAAGAGCAGGCCCTGTGCAGCATGGAGGCTCTGCAGAGAATTCGAGAGAAACCGGTCACTTGGTATTAGTATTCAAGGTACAACAATGGGGCCCTGGGGCCAACACAGCCTTCAAGATCATTTTGCTGTATGCTCTACAGTATATTGCGCAGCCCCGGTGTACAAACAGTGCCTCATCAGGAAGAATGACGGGTTGAAACTGAGTTCTGGCTCTATGAACTTGAAGTCCCCAGAGTGCTCGTCCAAGCCCGTGCGGGCGAACAAGCAATAAGCAGCACTTGAGCAACTGCCAGTGTGACCGACAGGTGTGGGACTTGGCAATTGCTTGTTCCTGCCACCAGTTGACTGCAGGCCTACAATACCTTCCGACAACTGTCGGTCCCAACCCATGCATGGCGACTTCAAGGTATGAAGGCTGGTGGAAAGTGCCAGCCTGCTAATGCTGTTGTTGCTGTTGCCAACCTCGGAAGGCGCCTACAGCCTTCCCAAGGATCCTGCATAAGTAAGTAGGTCTCCCTCGTCCAGGACTGGCAAAACGGCATTGGATCTCATCCGAGTTCACACTGAATCAATCTCACACTGTACCACCATCACCACCACTCATCCACAGTCCACCTCGCAAGCAACGGCACCCAAGAGGACAGCCTGAGAACCAGCAACATACGAAAGCAACAACAACCCAACAAGTACAACGGCGACAGGATGGACAAATCCGTGGGTGGGCCCGCAGTATGATGTCGCTGTATTTGCCGGGTGTCTGACCTTTGCTTGTCAACAGGGTGATGCACCTGCGGCCGACCAGGCTGGCCAGCAGGAGGAACTGGCCGCCGCTAGAGCACGATTCCACAACCTGGTCGACACTGGCGCCGACCGCGAGACAGTCAAGGCGGAGTTTGACAGCTTCATGGCACTGCAGAACAGGAACGCCATGGACCTCATGCTGAAGAAGAGCCTGGCCCTGACGGGCCTGACGGAGATGCTTCACCAACTCAAGCTCGCTGAGAAAATGCTTCAGGAGGTCAGTTTAGGCGGGGCCGGGTCTCCTGAGGGCAGCGGCGGCGATGCACAGCAGGACGAGGTGGACGGCGGAGCCTCTGCATCGAAGGGTCAAGCCGAGGAGGAGCCAAAGGAGAAGGCCTAGGGTCTTCTCACACAAGTATTTCTAGTCACCGACCTGGGGTCACTTCAAAGCCCCTTTTCTTACACTCTGTCCTCGCACACAATCGACCCGTCTGCAGCAATTGGAGCCTCGGATCATAGCCCAGCCATCACCACTGGCAGCAACAAAGAGGGCACCTGGGTCCGAACGGAGTATCACCAATCCTTAGGGGCCTGGCAATTGTTATCACTTGGTGGCACAGACATTACTAGTACCTCGGTTTTAGTCCGGATCGTGTTGAGGGCAACAGTCACTCGTGATGGAGGGCTTGAGAGATGCGGTATAGCAGTATAACTCTTAGATAGGACTGTCAATGAACTGGCTGAATGCAGTGTGGCTTGGGTGGCTTGGCAGTGTGGAAATTTCGAGCGAGTTCCGAGACCCTTCAGCACTTATATGAGGCCCAAACTCTATTGCGGGCAATGTCTTGCAATTGCGTCATCGGCTCCCCCAGAATGCTGCAAACTGTTAGATCCCGCCCCAGTGGTCGAAGCGGTTCCTGGTGACCTCCCCCGGGCCAGGACTAGTGCTGGAGGCAGTAGAGGACCCTGGGCCTTGGCCTGGGCACTGACCAGACTGTGCCCCACCTGGGGGCAGCAGCAGTGAGTGACATCTGGAGCGAGTGACCTGGGGCCAGCAAGGAAAAAGCTTGACCGTGGGCGTCACTCCTACTCCGTGCTCCGTACTGACCTGACTGACCGTTTGCCCGTCCCGTCCCGTGCCATCCCAGCCCAAACCCCAACATTTCAGTCTTTTCTCACACTCACTCATTCACTTCACTCGCTCACTCAGCTTGCTCAAGCCTGCACCACCTTCCACACCGTCGCACCGTCGCCGTCTCAGCAACGATCGAGGCCACGACAGCACCAACAGCCAATTGCCTACAATGTGAGAGCAACGAGGGCCTCACACGCGAAATGGTATAGCTTTTTTGGTCGCAGGTGCAGGAAAGAGAGCAGAGAGAGCAGAGGTCTCACCTTATTCTTATTAGTCCCAGACACAATCTCACCTTGGCCGCTCGTTGACATCATAACTCCCATTCCAGCCCGCCAGCACGCCAGCATGTCTTCGTACAGGGACATCCCCGAGGAGGTCCTCAACCGCCTCAACAGCATCTCCGGGTCCTTCAACCCCAGGGACGACGACCAGGAGAGGGTCGCCGCCGTCGTGGCAGAGCACCTGCCCGACGGCTACACCGCCGCCTTCGACGGCTTTGACGGCCCCGGAGACGGCCCCGCCGAGCCAGCCCCCTCGTCCTCCCTCCTCCCCGAGGACGCCGTCGACGACTCGGACGCCGCCCATGCCGAGTCGTCCCTCCTGCTCCAGGGCGGCGACATCCACCGCGACCTGTTCAAGATCCCCGCCCAGCCCCCCGGCATCCAGCGCGCCATGACCTTCTCCCACCCCGTGCGCACCGAGTCGCCCGCCGCCGACGAGCTGACCGCAGGCGACATCAACCAGATCCAGGGCTTCCGCAGGCACCACGTCCTGCAGAAGCAGAGGACCCAGCGCCCGCGTGGCTTCCAGGGCGGCACCAGCATGCCCATCACCCGCAGCTTTGTCGAGTTCCTCGACCTCTACGGCGCCTTTGCCGGCGAGGACCTGGCCGACTCGGACGACGAGGGCGTCACCGACGAGGAGGCCACCCCCTCCGAGCACGCCGTCGACGGGCACGACGACGACGCCGCCAACGCCAACGCCAACGAGGCCACCCCGCTCGTCCGCCGCCGCCCGCACCACGTCCGCCGCAAGTCGTCGCGCGTGCTGCGGCGCCAGGGCGACGCCGGCACCACAAAGACCTTCCTGACCCTCCTCAAGGCCTTTGTCGGCACCGGCATCATGTTCCTGCCCAAGGCCTTCTACAACGGCGGCATCCTCTTCTCGTCCGTCTGCCTCGTCTCCGTCGCCGCCATCTCCATGTGGGCCTTCCACCTGCTGCTCAGGTGCCGCACCTCGTGCGGCGGGTCCTACGGCGAGATCGGCGAGGCCATCGCCGGGCCGTGGATGCGCAACGTCATCCTGACCAGCATCACCCTCTCGCAGCTCGGCTTCGTCTGCACCGGCCTCGTCTTTGTCGCCGACAACTGGTTCAGCTTCCTGGCCGCCGTCACGGGCGGCGCCAACCCCCTCGGCATCAAGGCCCTGATCGCCCTGCAGGCCCTGCTGCTCATCCCCCTGAGCTTCATCCGCAACATCTCCAAGCTCGGCGCCGCCGCCACCCTCGCCGACGCCTTCATCCTCATCGGGCTCTGCTACATCTGGCAGTACGACATCTCCCACCTCGCCGCCCGCGGCATGAGCCCCACCGTCGAGCTCTTCAACCCCGGCGCATACACCCTCACCATCGGCGCCTCCATCTTCACCTTCGAGGGCATCGGCCTCATCATCCCCATCCACGCCTCGATGCGCCAGCCCGACAAGTTCGAGTACCTGCTCGGCCTGGTCATGCTCATCATCACGGCCATCTTCACGTCGGTCGGCGCCCTGTGCTACGCCACCTTTGGCGACCAGACGCAGATCGAGGTCATCAACAACTTCCCGCAGTCGTCGCGGCTCGTCAACGCCGTCCAGTTCCTCTACGCCCTCGCGGTGCTCATCGGCAACCCGGTCCAGCTGTTCCCCGCCATGCGCATCCTCGAGGGCCGCCTGTTTGGCCACCGCAGCGGCAAGAAGGACCTGCTGACCAAGTGGAAGAAGAACGCCTTCCGCACCGCCCTCGTCGTCATCTGCTGCGCCATCAGCATCGGCGGCAGCACCAACCTCGACCGCTTCGTCGCCCTCATCGGCAGCGTCGCCTGCGTCCCGCTCGTCTATGTCTACCCGGCCTTCCTGCACTACAGGGCCGTCGCGTCCACGGCGGGGGAGAAGATCGGCGACGTGGTCCTGATGGTGCTGGGGGTCGTGGGCATGTTTTACACGACGGCTATCACCATCTCGAGCAGTTTTGCGTGAGGTTGTGTGGGGTGATTGAGGAGGAGTGGTTCATAAGCATGGCATGGGGGGATGGGAGACGCGGAGGGTTAGAGACGGCAGGGCGATGGCAACACAGTACTGCATGGCCAGGTGCATTTTGTTACGCAAATGACAGCTGGAAGACGCTGGGGAACACGAATCGAGCCGGCGCTTGGGTCTGGGGAGAAGAGGGGTGGTGCATACGAGATAAAATGGGGTTTCCGGCCACAGAGAAAGAGAGAGAGAGAGAGAGAGATAAAAGGGGGGAAAGAGGTGTCAGGCGAGAGCAGCATATCATTGGTTTGGACGTTTGGGCATATGTGTATGATTTTCAGGCATTGTCTGTTGGCTATTTTCCTTCTGGTTCGGGTCTGAGATAGCGTTTGTATACGGATTCTGTGCATAGGCAATGGGCAGGTAGGAAGGTAGCTGGGTGTCTATTTCAGCAATCTACCTGGGATCCCATTTCAGATACCCGTTTTTCGCCCCCGTGAAGCCTTATGCCAGCCAGAATACAAGGAAGGACAAGCGGACCCGCACGAGTCACAGACCATCCATACCATAACCATAGACAAGGTCAAGGACAAGGCAAGCTAGTCCCTCCCGGGATCAACATCATACTCCACGTCCGTCCTGATGACATACTTGGCCGTGGGCCTGTCCTCCCGCATCACACCGGTCCCCTCGTGCAGCAGGCTGCCCTCGGTCTCGCCGTGCGGGAACATGGCCACGCTGCCCTGGATGGGCCTGACGGGGTACGCGTTGAGGGTCCCCTCGCGCGACGACGGCAGGAAGAAGGTGGTCTCGCCGGCCGAGAAGTCGTCGTTGAGGTACACCAGGAAGGTGAAGAGCGAGGACTGCCTTGCGCCGGGCGGGCTGGCGTCGTACTGGTACGTGTCGTCGGGGAGGATGCCCGAGGGGGGCCAGGCGCCGTCTGGGCGGGGGTGTCAGCATGCCGGAGGACAGCAGAGGGTAAAAGACGACGAGATGGGAGAGGGACAAGACCCTGGTGACCTACCAATATGCGCGCGGTACTCGGCACCGGGGACATAGCGATAGACCCGGAACCTCCGGTTCAGCCCGCGGACCTTGCGGCCGCCAACCCGACCCGGGACGAACGGCTCCACCCGGGCCCAGAGCCCGCGGCAGAACTCCTCATCAACAACCCAGTAGAAGTTGTGCGCGAGCACGCTGTTCTCGGCACCGTCCCCGCCGGGCCGCAACGGCGCGTCGGGCGCGAAGCCGACGCCCTCGGCCGCGCCGATGATGCGCTCGCACTCGTCCGGGGACAGGACGTCGCGCAGGAGGTGCAGGCCCGGGACCGTCGGGTGGGAGTGGTGGGCCGTGGCGGGGGCGGCGGGCGACGAGGGCGGCGCGAGGGCGACGGCGCCGTCGGTCGAGGCGTAGACGGTCGCGGGGTGCCTGTTGGGCGGGTTGCGCTGCGGGCCGGGCACGGTCTGGACCACGCGGAACCTCGAGCGCAGCCCCGCCGGCATCGAGGCCGCCAGGGTCCCGTCGAGCACCGAGGCGTAGGTCATCCGGCGCGGGGGGCCTCGGCCGGGCCCGCGGAGGTCCCACGCCGGGCGCACCGACAGCGTGCCCGCCGGCTGGGGTGGCGACACGTCGGGTGCTGCTGCTGCTGCTGCTGCTGCTGCGCTGTCGTCGGCTGGTGGCGGCGGCGAGGAGTGGTCCACCGGCCCCGTGACCCGCAGGATGGCGTCCAGCACCCTGAGCGTCTCGGCCTGGGCCCCGGTGCGCGCCCCGCGGCCCTCGCGCTGCTCGGCCAGCCCGCTGATGACGTCCAGGTCGCGGACCCAGCGGCACAGGGCGCCCAGCTTGGGCACCTGCTGGCGGATGCGCATCTCGGCCAGCAGGACGCGGGCCTCGGTGTGGCCGCCGTCGGCGAGGGCGCCGCTGATGCGGGAGGTGAGGTTCGCGTCGGCGTTGGCGTTGAAGCCGGTGGTGCAGGCCCTGCGGAACTCGAACACGGCGGCCCGCAGGTCCCTGCAGGCCTTGGACTTGATCAGGCCCGGGTTCTCGACGAGCGCCCGCAGCGTGTCGACCGTCACCTCGAGGTCCTCCTCCGGCACGACGGTGCTCAGGAGCCTGGGCTCGAAGGTCCCAGCCGCGGCCCCGACTGTCGGCAGGACTGGGGCCGGTGCCTGCGAGGCCGGCTCCGTCCTGGCCCTCTTCGCCGCGCCGGCTTGCTGCTGCTGCTGCTGCGCCTTGCGCTTCTGCTTGGACTTGGACATGGCCGGTGGTGGACTGCCCCGGTGCGTATAGGTAGGACTCCTGGTGTAGGTGTAAGATGGCCAGACGGGGTTGATTGGCCTGTTTGATGGTGGAGTGGCTGCTTGTCCTGCTTGTCCTTGTCAGTCGAGGCGAATTTGCGGCGGTTGCAGGTGGCGGTTGATATCACGTGACATGGGCGGTCGGATCTCCTGAGGTGGCGAAGACGGCAAGGAGGGGAAAGGAGGTGTGTTTATAATTCAGCAGCCATCTGAACTAATTCATTGGATCATTGGATCATAGACCGCGGCTGATTGGACCGTCGTCGACGACAGTATCAAAGGTTGTTGGCGGTTCACATGTACTTCACTCGACCCTACGATTCTACGTTACTCGCCCGAACAATGTGTGATCAATGGGTTTGATATATTGGCGCCAGTGAGGCTGCTGTATTTACTAGGAAAATTCTAGACCGGCTTCATCTATGACCTCTAACCCGGTTAAACCCTTCTACACTTGTACACCCTTAGGCACACACTCACTCCTCTGTCAGGCTGCCATTGCCACTATCTACATCCTCCGCCCCCAGCCATTTGGCCATCGCCCGTACCGCCTCTCCATACTCCACCCCGAGGTTCTCTGGCGGTTTGAACGGCAGCGGCTTGTCCCACGCATGCTTCGCCTCCGGGACCACCCGGTACCCGACTTCCTTGCCCCTGGCCTTCAGCCGCTCGGCGAATATCTTGCCCTCTGCCAGGAGCATGTCGTACTCGCACAGGCACAGCTGCACGGGCGGCAGCTTGTCGACCAGGTCGTCCGGCATGAGGCCCGGCGACAGCAGCGGGTTGTCGAGGTTGGCCTTGAGCTCGTCGGGTGGGTAGATGTACGACGCGTCGAAGATGTCCGTCAGGGACCGCGGCAGCGTCATCTCGGGCTTCGAACACGTCAGGCGCTTCCGCGGCCGCGACATTGTCCAGTCCAGCAGCGGGTAGAAGAGCATCAGCCCCACCGGCCGTGGCCCGCCCGCTTCGGCCGCCTTTGGGATCTTCGAGCCGGTCTCCCCCGTCGACAGGGCCAGTCTCGACATGGACGCCGTCAGCGCCGGCTCGAGCTTGTAGCCGAGCCTGGCGTGGTCCTGTAGCAGTACCCAGCTCGCCAGTGCCAGCGTCCCGCCGGCCGAGAAACCGGTCAGGATGATCTTGTCGGGGTCTATCCAGAACTCGTCCGCCCTCCGCCATATCTGAAGTATCGCATCCGCGCAGTCCTCGACCGGCGTCGGGAAGGGATACGTAGGCGCCAGCCGGTACTCGACCGAGAACACCACCGCCCCCAGGGCCTGCATCACAGCCATGGCCCACCGCCCGTCATCCGTCCCCTGGCCCAGCACGAAGCCGCCGCCGTGGAAGTTGATGATGGCCGGCCGCCGGGATGTCGGGTCAGGCTGGGGGTTGAGGGTGGAGGGGATCTTGTCCATCGGGTTGTCGACGGGGCCCGAGGGGGTGGTCGGCAGCGACAGGGAGCTCTTGGACCTGATCGAGTGGGACGACCTGAAGGATATCCGGGACGAGAGCCGCGACAGGGAGGGCCGGAGCGAAGACCCAGCCTTGTCTGCTGTCTCGTCCGAACCCCCGCGCACCGAGTTTCTGGACGAGAAGCGGGACAGCGGGGGCTTGAGCGAATCCCCGGACTCGTCACCGCTCTCCCTGCTCTTCTTCTTCTTGAGCGACCTCAGGCTGCCCCGGGAGCTCTTTCTCGACAGCGGGCGGTCTGGCGTCCACACGTCTGCCTTGATCTTTGCCTTCCCTTTGTACTTGTCGGACAGGGTCGAGTCGAAGTACACGGTCTTGTGCGGGGAGGGGACGGCGGGCGAGGTCATGTTGCCCATGCCAAAGGCGATGGACGCCCCCGTACGGTAGGCATACGCCCTGGTGGCCAGTGTCCATCGTGAGGATTGTTCGAGGGGGTTGTGGTAGACGTCGAGCGAGGGGCTCTCGATCGCGTCTTTGGCCTCCTGCGCAACATCTGGCTGCTCAGCCAGGGTGGCTGCGGCACCTTCGGACATGTTCAGTTCTTGTCGTGATTGTCTGGGTCTGGCCGTCTTCAGATTCGAGCCCGATTCTTGGCTCGGTAGGGACTGGCTGTTGTTGTTGCTGTGGTCGTTGACCTGCCGTGACTGTGGCAACGTGGCGGCTGGTTGGCTTAGCAAAGGAAAGAGGGAGCGTGCTTTGAATTTCAGGGAACGGGTACAAACAAGGGTACGTCATCTCGCGACAATCCCGTGGGAGGAGGGTTTGGAATTAGACACGCCCACCAACCAACCCCATCATGTCTCAGGGGTATTTTAAACAGCCCACGACCATACCCCCGTGTGTGTGTGTGTGTGGTGTGTGTTGTGTGTTGTGGAGCTGGTTGTCAGTCAGAGGGAGAAGCTGAGTATCATTGGGGGGTCTCTGGGGTTGGTTCCCCAGCAAGGTACCGGGAGACGAGGGCGTGAATGCGAATGTGAACGTGCATGTGCAACTGTGTGGCTTTCATCTGTCGATGGGAAATGTCGTTCAAGGTTGCTGGAGTCGCGGTGGGTGAGTGGGCTGCTGTCAGGAGACTTGGTGACGGAGTGACGTCAGGATACCCCAGTCTCGGGATGCGCCGAGCACGGATCACAGTGACGTTACTGTGGCTGGACGGAGATTTGGGCTGACGGGGCCTCACGGCGGAGGAGGACGGGACGGAGTCGAAACGGGTGTGGGGAGCTTTTGTTCCGGTCCCCTTGCCGCCCGGCACTCTTCTCGCCCGAACGGAATCGTGGCATTCTACCACAGATCGCCCTTGTGCACCGTCATTTCGAAGACCCTGCCCCATTTTGTTTCATCTGCTAACTCTAGCATACATGTATCTGATCTGCCGGACCTCGTCATCCCAGACGTGGATAGTTGCTCTCCAACCGCCAGCATCCGTCGACCAGCTCGAGCTTCACCACAACGCCTCAATGTCATCCGAAAGCTACAGCGAAGATGACACCGCCAGGCCGGCGAGAACTGGCGAGTATTCACTCGTGCCAGCGCCACGGGTTGTCGAGACTGCCACCAAGGAAGTAGAGCCCTGAGTGCAACCGATTCCCATCATGGCAGGTTATTCATTTGGAGGGTGGGAGCGGTGGCAGAGAAATCGCGGCCCGCCATCAGATCTGGCAGCACTAAGGCAGGCCAAGGTCGGTGGGGCCTTGGTCAGCCTGCTGGCCCAGAGATGCCCCAGCTGCCGTGTCACCCGTGTCACCATCAGCCACACGATCAAGCTATCTGGGGCTGCGAATCAGCGCCTTGGCAGGGCCAAACCCCGGCCACGACCACACAAGCCACACCAACTCAGCTCTTGTTGCGACGACGCCCAGCGCCCAGAGCCCAGAGCCCTGCTCTCGAACTTGGGCTTTCTCTTGAGACTACCACGATGATGGCGTCGAGGACGGTGATGCGTGGCCGCCCAGGGATCAATCGTCTTGGAGGTCTTGTCGTGTCACTTGACCTGCGGATGGGCAACCAGTGTGATGAGTGCCGGGCTGGCGGCGGCTTGGGTCATCGCTGTTGCCGTGTCGCGTCCCCGAGCCCCCGACAGCTCTCACTGGCCAGACCAACCAGGCTGGCCGAGCCGTCTGCTGCTCGCTGGCAGCACCAAGCTTTCCTGGATGGCCCTTGGCAGAGGACAAGAGAATGAGCCACGCAGCAATGACTAGCCGTGACCCGACCTGATGCTGGCGCGATAATAATAATCCAGCTTGAGGCTCGCCCGCCCGTACTGCGTACAGTACACTAGATAAACGAGGGCGCGCACCTGCAGCATCTGAAAGGACAAACCATACGGCCCATCCATTTCGGATTTGAAGACCATTTCGGGCAGACCAGCAGCATTTGAAATCAGCGGCAGTCAGGTGACGGTCGGGCTGCACACCCAAACACCGCGCCGGACGGGACAGACAGGGCTCCCGAGGACCGTTTGCTCCGGGTCTTCCGTGACGTGCCAACATTCCCAGTTCCCAGTTCCCGACCGAGGCCCTGCAACACCTGCAACCCGGCTACTTTGCTACACGGTACTCCCACCAGTCTGCCTTTGAGTGACTTGGGAATACCTTGGGCTGCCAGGGTGCCCGCTGAGACTGTCAGTAGTGTGGTGTCAAACGTCCACTCAGGTGAGGATCACTGTCCATCGCAGTTATTCCCGGCTGCGTGCCTGTTTTTGGGGCACAGGGGTGGGTCATCTCTTTTCCTAGCCAGCAGCGAGTGAGCAGCGCAGTGACGGTACCTCTGTCGAAGAAACTGCATGCGGCTCGAGGTACGGGCTTGACGGGGCACGGAGTACATCGGTACGTATCCCTGGCACTTACAGCACACCCACGTCATAAGGACCCACCCGTCCTGGACCTTCCTTACTCACTCTACCCAGCTGCCCAGGCACCCCGGCTGGTGTTTTTCGGCGCCGGGCTCAACCCAATTTCGCGACCACGGTTTGTCGAGCGGCAGGGCACCAAAGATAACCTAGGTACCTAGGTACCTAGGTGCCCAGGTGCCTTGCACTCGGGCAGAGGCAGGCCAAAAGGGTGGTATCCACTCTGCCACTTCGCGCTTCCGCTCCATGCCGGTCACCCATACCACGGAGACGAGGGGGGAGAGGAACGGCTCGCACACAGAACTCGGTGGAACAGCCGGGAACCAAGGAAAGGTAAGGTTAGCATTTCCCAGAAGCTCGACACGCACGTGTGTGCTGCAACTCTTACGTCGTTGCCCGTCTATCCTTGCGCATTGCGGCTGGCCCGGGCTCGTTTGACACAGACGAGGACGAGAACGGAGCCGGACGGAGACTGGCAGCCCTCCTCCTGCTGCTGCTGCTGCTGCTCCTCCAGCCACCTACTTGTACCTTTATTAACCTCCCTCCCATGGCCCACCCTCCCTTGTGTCTGCCTCATCGTCATCCAGACGTGCCTCTTCATAATTATCCTCTTCCCCCGAATACCCTTCCAAGACGTGATACCCCCTCCCCCATCAGCTCAGCGAGTGTCCTCCCTCCGCTGACCCATCCTTGTTGTTTACTCCGTCAGATGCCCTGCCTCTGTGCAGACAACACCAACAAGAAAAAACAAAACTCCACCACCTCGTCAGCTACCACAAGAAGTAGCATCAGCACCGGCAAGAACAACAGGGCCAACAACACCAGAACTCCTGGCTGCCTGTCACTAAACATGACAGCCCTGCAAAATGCATTCAGGGCTCTGTCGCCACGGTCCAGCGCCGACCATGGCGCAAGAACCAACAGCTTCGCCAACGCCAACGGCCACGCCCGCAGCAGCTCAACCGGCTCCAGCTCGAGCTTGGGCAAGGCCAGCCGCCGCACCGAGGAGAGAAACGCGAGGAAGGAGACCAAGGCCTTGAGGCTGCAGGCCGAACGGGAGGAGATAGAGGAGAGGAGGAAGCTCGAGGACCAGCTCGCCATGCAGGAGGAGGACGAGGAGACCCGCGCGAGGTACGGCTTGGCCATGGACGCGAAGGAGCTCCTCACCATCCGGGAGGTTACTGAGCTCCCAGCCGGCAAGGAGGTCACCTTCCGCGCCCGCATACACCACCAGCGCAACGTCTCCAAGCACCTCGACTTCCTGCTCTTCCGCGACCAGACCCACTCCATCCAGGGCGTCCTGCAGCACGACACCTCCCACTTCGTCAAGTGGGTGCAGCGCCTCGAGCCCGAGTCGCTTGTCCAGGTCACCGGCACCCTCCAGTTGCCCCCCGAGCCGGTCCGCTCCGCCACCCACAAGAACCTCGAGGTCAAGGTCTACTCCGTCCACGTTGTCAACGCCGCTCGCGACCTGCCCTTCGACAACTATGAGCCCCCAGAGACCACCCAGGCCCGCCTCAACAACCGTATCCTCGACCTCCGCCACCCCAGCAACCAGGCCCTGTTCCGCATCAGGGCCATGGTCACCCGCAAGTTCCACGAGGTCCTCGACCGCGACGGCTTCATGGAGATTCAGACCCCCAAGCTGCAGCCCGCCGCCACCGAGAGCGGTGCTGAGGTCTTCAAGGTCAACTACTTCGGGCGACGCGCTTTCTTGGCCCAGAGCCCCCAGCTGGCCAAGCAGATGACAGTGTCTGCTGACTTTGGCAAAGTGTACGAGGTGAGTACCGAATTAACCCCCCCCCCCCCCACACCGTCTTTTTTTTCACCTGCAATATCTGCCCCCATATTGGAAGGTCCATCCTCACTTGGCGGCCTCGCCCTGTTCACTGGGCTGGTCACCGCTCGGTAGCCCGCAAACATCCAGCGTCCTTCCCTCATTCAACAGTTCACGTATCTGACTTGTCCAATAGATCGGCCCGGTCTTTCGTGCAGAGAACTCGAACACTAAGCGCCATCTCACCGAGTACACCGGCCTTGACATCGAGATGGCCATCCAGAGAGACTACCACGAGGTAATCTACCAGGTCGACGCCTTCATCAAGGAGGTTTTCCGCACCCTCCAGTCCATGCCCGAGCTCCAGATAGTTCGTGAGAGATGGCCATCTGAGGATATCGTGTGGCTCGAGGAGACACCCATTATCCCATTCACTGAGGGCCTCCAGATGCTGCGCGACGATGGCATCGATGTCGACGACGAAGATTTATCGACCAGGAACGAGATCCGCCTCGGCGAACTCGTTAAGGAGAAGTACAAGACCGACTACTACGTCCTCGATAAGTTCCCAGCCAACGCGCGGCCATTCTATACCATGAAGGACGCCAAGGACCCCAAATGGACCAACTCCTTCGACATGTTTATCCGCGGCCAGGAGATCTGCTCAGGTGGCCAGCGTATTCACGATGCCACCAGGCTGCGCGAGAACATGAAGTCGATGGGCATGTCAGAAGACGGCATGGAATACTACCTTGCAGCATTTGATCTTGGAGCGCCGCCCCACGCCGGCGCGGGTCTCGGCCTGGAGCGTATCCTTGCCTGGACCCTCCAGCTTGTTGACGTGAGATACGCAACCCTGTACCACCGCGACCCCAAGTCCCTGCCCGAGCGAAACGTGCGCCTCCCCCACCCAGAATGTGACACGAAGCACGTCAGGCCAGAGGGCATCAACAACTACCCCCTCGAGAAGCTGATCGCCAACTATGGCGACGCAACCAACACGTCGTGGCTCGACGACCGCTTCGAGATATGGAGGCACGCAACCACCGGGGCGGCGGTAGGATATGTCAAGAAAGACAACAAGTTTGCCATGATCACGGGCGACCCACTCTGCGACCCGTCCCAGGTCAGCGAGGTCGCCAAGGCCTTTGTCAGATTTGTCGAGAAGGACCTGAAGCTAACGCCCATCTGGATGCTGGTTTCCGAGTCTGTACAGGAAATCCTCGGCCGCAGCCTGGGCTGGCGCACCCTCACCTGCGTCGAGGAGCAACGCGTTGACGCCGACAAGCACGCTGCTGGGCCGCAGGGCCGCGAGGCGCGCAAGGTTGAGCGCGAGGGCATCGATATCGATGAGCTACGGCCCGACGAGGAGTTCATGCGCCGCGCAGATTTGGCCATCGAGCAGTGGATGGAGAATCGCAAGGGCAAGAAGCAGGTGCATCTGACCGAGATCAGGCCGTGGGTCGACATGGACCATCGTCGCTACTTCGCCGCGCAGAAGGACGTCGAGGAAGATGGCAAGAAGGTCAAGAAGGTGGTGGCCATGGTTGTCCTGGCGCAGCTGTCACCCCGCCACGGCTGGCAGGTCAAGTGGGCACTCGACATGCCCGGCACGCCCTCCGGCGTCATCGAGGCGACCATCCAGACAGCGCTGGCGGCACTCCATGGGCCTGTCACCTTCGGCGCTGGTGTCAGCGAGAAGCTGGTCCCCGGTGCCCACCTCGGTGGTGTCCGGGCCAAGTTCCTGGCCAAGACGTATGATACCATCATCAAGAGCCTGCGTCTGAACAAGAAGAGCGAGTTCCGAGAGAAGTTCGGCGCGTACGGCGAGCCGGTATACGTCTGCTACCCTCGTATGGGTCTCGGCGTGCGGGACTTCAAGCACATCATCCAGTTTTTCGAGGACTAATAAGTATTAGAAGGATTTTAGAATCGGTGGCACAGAGATACCCTGAGGATGATCGTTATTGTATACCCAATGGTTAGATTGAGCAGAGGTGTCACCAGAGTCCGCAACCCAACAAGCGGTAGTGTAGGAAAGCCGTCTGGAACGGAAACCCGAAAGAAAACGGCGGCATTTGGGCGTTTGATGGTCTCTGCTTTTGCCCCTTGTGTCTCTTTTCTTTTATTCCCCTTTTCGCGACAGTATTGATAACCCCGGAGGACAAGCATATGCAGGATTAATTCCCCAAGCGTACGAGGCAATTGTAATGAGGAGTCAAGAGAACCATATAAGCATAGATACCACACAGACACCGAGCATCCCTTCATATACTTCCTTTGCCCTGACATATCCCGTCGTCATGGATCTGCCATCTCTCCCGTGCTAGCGACATGGTGTGCTGATGATCAACACTGGGCAGCCCATTTCCAACTGCAACGCTACGGCCTACTGGCTTATGGCAGCCGGGCCTTGGCCGGCCCGGTCAGAGGGGAAGCTCCTCTCCCCTCTACCCGAATGAATTAACTGACTGACTCTTGTCTCTCCAAAGTAGGAGCGGCCGCAGGGGGGCTACCCGCCGGTTAAACCGGCTGAATTGACGGCATGCATTAGCTCCCGCCGTTCCTCGTCCTTGGCGCGGGCTCGCGACTCGGTATATATCCTCACGATGGGCCATGTTCTCATCTCGAAATTTCACATAACCCCGGGCTTCCTCCAGCTGGGACTCTCTTCGCTCTCGCGCTCGGTCGCTCAAACCAATCCATCACCCCTGAATTTACACAGTGGCTGCGCACCATAAACCATGCCGCCCGTCCGCAACCCGATCCTCCCCGGCTTCAATGCCGACCCGTCCATACTCCGCGTCGGAGATGACTACTACATCGCGACGTCCACTTTCGAGTGGTTCCCCGGCGTGCAGATTCACCATTCGACGGATCTGGCTAACTGGGATCTCGTCTGTCGGCCGCTGACGCGCAAGGCCCAACTTGATATGCGGGGGAACCCGGATTCTTGCGGGATCTGGGCGCCGTGTTTGACGCACGATGGTGAGTTTAGTCACCATCTCTTCCTTTTTTTGCCATCTGATCTCACAAGCATCATTGTGCCATGGCCCCATGGCAGAGGTCTCACGAATAGGGCACATTCTTGTTAAGAGTTTCCAGCGCGTCCTTGCTAACAGCACGCAGGCGAAGATTTCTGGCTCGTCTACACAGACGTCAAGCGCAAGGACGGCAGCTTCAAGGACACACACAATTACATAGTCCACAGCAAGAACATCACTGGGCCCTGGAGCGACCCAGTCCACGCAAACAGCAGCGGCTTCGACCCATCCCTGTTCCACGACCCCAACACGGGGAAGAAATGGTTCGTCAACATGCTCTGGGACCACCGTCGCCGCGGCGGACTGTTGGGAAATTCGGCCTTTGCCGGCATCATCCTCCAGGAGTTCGACCCGGCACAGGGAAAGCTCGTCGGCCCCAAGAAGAATGTCTACCCAGGCACGGAGCTCGCCCTTGTCGAGGGGCCGCACATGTACTATCGCGAGGGATGGTACTACCTTCTCACTGCCGAGGGCGGTACGGGGTATGAGCATGCGGTCACGCTCGCGCGGTCGAGGGATATCTGGGGGCCATACGAGGATCATCCGCAGAAACACATCCTTACTAGCAAGGACCACCCTCACGCCGCGATCCAGCGCGCCGGTCACGGAGATATCGTCGAGACCAAGGACGGGCGGACGTACCTTGTCCACCTATGTGGACGGCCTACCACGCAGAAGAGGAGGTGTGTCCTCGGCAGGGAGACGTCGATCCAGGAGTGTACGTGGGGCAATGACGGGTGGCTCTATGTTAAGAATGGGCCTGTGCCGAGTCTCTTTGTCGATGTCCCGGGGACGATGGATGAAGAGAAGTACTGGGCCGAGTGTCGCTACAATTTTGATGGAGAGCTACACAAGGACTTCCAGTGGCTTAGGACGCCTGAGCCGGAACGGATCTTCAAGGTCGGCGGTGGCAAGCTCACGCTTTACGGACGGGAGGCTACCGGCAGCTGGTTCGAGCAGGCCCTCGTCGCGAGGCGCCAGACGCATTTCAGCTACGATGCCGAGACGGCGGTTGATTTCCACCCGGAGGATGAGAGGCAGTTCGCCGGGTTGACGGCGTACTACTGCCGGTATAACTTCTTCTACCTCACAGTCTCGGCCGACCCGGACGGCGAGAGGGAGCTGCTTCTCCAGGTCTCTGATGTTTCGTGGCCTGATGGGAACCTGGACAAGCAGCCCCTGCTCGAGCCGGTCAAGATCCCCAAGGAGGGCAGGGTCAAGCTGAAGCTGACGATCCGCGGGCCGAGACTGCAGTTCTTCTACGCTGTTGGCGATGAGGAGCTCAAGGAGATTGGGCCTGTCTTGGATGCCTCGATCCTGTCCGACGAATGTGGGGGGCACCAGGTCCACGGCTCCTTCACTGGCGCGTTTGTTGGCGTGGCTTGTTCAGATCTGAACGGTACCGCCAAGGAGGCGACATTCGATCACTTCGTGTATCGACCCGTAAAGCACGAGTCTGATCGCTACGAGATCTGAAGGGTCGCAATATCATACATAGATTTTAGAAAGAACCAGTGAAATACTCCACATATGCTCTTCTGTCAGGACCTATTGCAGCTAACTATTGAATCTGCTGGTACTCATACTTCAAAGATCAAGACATCGATGTAGCCTCTGACAACATTCTCACGAACATGTTTGGATCAGGGTCACGCCCCAGATACTTTCGCAGAAGGCCCAACTCGTCACCGGTCGTTGACCCGGGCTCGAGAATCGCCCGTCGATAACGCCTCCCTTCCTCGCGTACATTGTTGTTGATAATATCAGTCAATTCGGAGCACGTCTCATCGGTGAGCAAGGGCTTGAAGTTAGACAGGAACATGTCTGTACTGAAGACATCGGCACTTGAAGGTGCACGTTAGCTGCGCCAGCCGCAGAAAATGGCGACTTCTCTTTGGAAACACTCACAGTAGATATCTGTAGTAGCTAGCCCCGTAGCCCTGTGTCAGTCTAACGTGCGTCTGTCCATGAAGTGTGTCGTATCCCAGTCCCAGGTCCTCAGGGCCACTCAGAACTTGAAGGCTGAAGTCATGCCTGAGTCTGTTGAGAAGCACCGACTGATCCCTTGTAGCTGGGTCATCCCACTTTGTATGAACCGCAAGGTCAAATTTTGCAAAGGTCAAGTCGCCGAGCTTGCTTGATGCGACATTCTCATAGCGTGTGGCAATCAGTTGTTCAATCGCTTCTTGTGGGAGCCTATTAGTGTCCTCATCTGGGTTCGTTTAGTGACAGGATACGGCCCGCATGATTCCTTGTCGTAAAAGAAATGTTGAAGCACTAATAATCCATGTCAGTCATGCGACAGAGAAAAGAAAGACGAAGTACATCACATCTAGAATGACTTATTAAGAATCACTTACTGGGGCTCGGTTCTCTCGCGGTCTTGTGCAAAGACAGATCTAAGGTTGTACACTCCCCCTTCTCGGTATACAAGATCCAGCCCGCACATCATGCAAGTACTTGATAAAAGCTAGCTTCCTGGTTCTGGTTAGCCTCGTAAAGACGATGTCACATTCAAGAAAAGCCAGGTTGCATGGAGCCATCCGTACCCAACGGCTCCAGGGCTGCCCCACATGCCTGCAGCCAACAGGTGCCGTATCTCACTGGTGGTTGGTCGAGCCGCCCAACCGCGAGTTGGTGGCAGAGGCTGAGCCTGGGCTTAAGAAGGCACCCTAATCCATACAATCTTGCACAATTTCGCAGCACTCTGCCTCGTCATTCTTGATCCACCCTGTCAAAGCTACTTGCCGCCGCTGTGACCCTCCACCGCATTTGCAAGAGCACATTATTCCGACTCTGCATGTGGTGCGGCCAACTCGGCCCTCTCCACTTAGAACCGTCGCACATCCTCAGGAGTGCTGAATCTGGCAGGGCGGTTGTCATGGCATCAACTCACCCCGTCAATCTTTTCGCAGAGCTTAACATCACACGACTCCAAGTCGTGGGATTCATCGTCATAATTGTAAGTCAGGCGGCGTCAAAGCGCACGAATCTAATTTACGCTGGCGGAAGCAGACTGACAGACCCAAACAAGGTGGCTTTATATGCAGTCGTTCGCTGTGTTTACCTACTACATTTCCATCCCTTGGCAAAGTATCCCGGCCCACGAATCGCGGCTGTATCCAATGTCTGGTGGGCATATCATTGGTGAGCTGATTTCACTGCCTGATTTACTTCAAATTGGGCTATATGGTATTCTGACCACCCCAGGCTGAGTGGCCTTTATCCATGGGCGATTGCGAAAGTGTTGGATGAATATGGTGAGTGCGGTATTCAAGGCACCAAACCTCGGTATTGACGTCTCGTTCCAGGTGATGTTGTCCGCATTGGTCCAAACGAGGTCGTCTTCATCACTCCGAAGGCATCGGATGGTGCGTCCCGCTCGTCAACCTACCAGCTGCGATTGGCAAACTTACATCAAGTGTCAGATATCTATGACTCCCACACAAAACACCTAGAACATTTCACCAGGACAGACTGGTTAGATCTCGGTGAAGGTGAAGATGGTATTATCTGGGAAAGAGACCCGGCCAGACACCGTCAGGTCCGAAAAGGCCTGTCACCAGCATTCAGCGTGAAATCGCTCCAAGCCAAAGAACCCACACTGCACAAGCACATTGACTACTTCTTGGAAAGAATCAGAGAACTTGGAGACGACGAAAGTGGCGTAGATCTTCGAGAGGTGTGATATCAGAATTCCCAGTGCTTACTCAACAATGGACTGTTAAGGAACTGACAGGTTGCTGAAAGTGGACAGATTGGCTCGCACTTGACATATCTGCAGACATGGCATATAGCCGGGAGATGAGGCAGATGGAAACAAGTGAGTCAGGTTTTATTCGATGGCTACCCCTTCTGTGGTACATATCTTGCTGACAAGACATAGTGAAAAGTGCGCCGCTCCTCGACGCAATGTGGGCGGTCAACTTCTTCGTCTCTGTCAACGCAGTGACAAAGAAGTTCCGCCTACTAGCACCTTTGAAATTCCTCTTCATTCCGCCGTCTCTGCTGGCCACATTGCCGCACACACTGGCACTGAACAGTAAAGAGGTGGTGACTCGGATCAATCGCCGCGGGAATACTACCCATCTTGATTACTTTGAACATATCTGCCCGCCAGATGCTCCAGAGCCAGACAAAAAACGGCTCAAGCACATGGAAATCTTGGCTGGTCAACTCCTAACTGCTGGGTACGAACCGATCTCAAGTCAATTTCTGTGCACACTCATGTTCTTAATCCAAGATCCCACAAGCTACCGGCTCCTGGTCGAAGAGATCAGGGGCAAGTTTGGAAGCACTCACGATATCGACACAGAATCAGTGGCACATCTGAGGTTCCTCAATGCATGTCTAATGGAGACCCTGAGGATTACAGTAATCGGCGCCAATGGGTTGCCTCGCATATCGCCTGGGGCTGTCGTTGACGGCCACTACATCGAGAAGGGGATAACGGTCCAGTATGGTCACTTTGCCTTCACGCGGAGCCCTCGATACTTCCATGAACCGGAATCGTTCAAGCCACAGCGCTGGCTTCCGTGTGACCACGAGCAGTGGGACAATGTGTTCGCTAATGATGCCAGGGATGCGTTTTGGCCGTTCAGGTTCGTTCGACAGCAGGAATTTGCGTCTCGGTGGAGAACATGAAGTACTAATCAAGCCGTGAACAGCCGCGGGCCTCGGAGCTGTCCCGGAATGGGCTCGGCTTGGCGACAGACTCGTCTCTTCATTGCCAAAGTCCTCTGGAACTTCGACGTGGAGCTGGTTCCAGGGCAAGAAGTTGTATTCGGTCGTGATTTTCGGTCGTATGCGATGTGGGAGAAGCCCACTATTCGCGCACGTTTCCTCCCAGTTGTCCGGAAGTGATTGACTACCTGAGTATTTGTTCTCATTCCAAGACTGAAAGTTTGAATCAGATATGAAATGAAAGCCAGGTTTGGTTGAGTTTGTCTCGAGATTGTGGTACCGTTGCTGGGGACAGTTTCCAATGGCATCTCGCCCATAGCCAACAAAATCTCTACCCTGCGCCCTTTAGCCTCAGCCGCCGGGCAAAAAGTAGATCTTCTTAAGATAAACTTTGCTAGGAAAATGTTCCAGCCTCTTCTCTAATGATTAATCGCTCCTCTCCCCAGACCATATGTTTTCCGTCTGAGCTGCCATGGCAGTCTTCACAATGTGCACGTGACAAACCTAATGCAGTCCTCAAGGAAGAAAGTGCCATGATAGCACATTCTCAATGGCTGTGACGATAGGCTCTAAGGTCACAGATCCCACATTAATAATAGGGAGAGAGGGGGGGATTTTGAAGTTATTGTGGTGAACTTCTTTTGTGAAGATAATGGCCAAGCTGCTAAATTTTGGAGCCATGCACCTCATCGACAAAGCATAGGGTGAAGTTAGTGGTAGTAGCCATTGTGTTTGGAAATCTGAACTGACCGTTGCTGAGCGACATTCACTTTGGACCTAGCAAAGCTGCGAGCTCAATTCAAAACAGCCCGCCCCAATTCACTTTCGCTGCGCGGTTCCAGCAGTCAACACAACTCCTCGACAGCCTCACTCGACAGCCTCAGCACCGAGTCTTTTCACCCTTCCTTGTCCAAACAGCAAGACCCAGACGTCCAAAAAGATGTGCGTCATTGTCTGCTACGCCTGCCAGACCTGCAAGCAGGAAACAGGCCAACGCGACTTTGTGCGCCACACCGACGGCCAGCGCTTCGCCATCCCCGACCCCGCGATGCAAGTCGTCTCCTTCTGCAGCGCGGTCGAGACTCTGAAGGTCATCATCCAACAGCCCGCACTACAGTCGCTCGACTTCCCCTGCGCCAACCCCGACTGCTTGGGTGGCAATGCCAAGTTCAACAAGGATGAGTTCGAGGACGAGGAGGCGCGCATTGTTGGTCTTTTGGGTGCTACTGCTGAGATCGCTGCGGAGGATGGCCGCCCTCACAACGATGTCAACCAGATGCTCGAGGATTTGGGCGTCCCGCTGTCGGAGATGGTCGATGTCCCTGATGCCAAGCTAGTCAAGTGGACGGGCCTTGCGACGGACAAGCTGAAAGAGATGGCTGAGAATGGAGATGATATCAAGGCCGTCCAGAAGGTGAGAGAATCAGATGTCATACTAGATCTGGTATTTTCTTCCACATCAGCACAGCTGACTTCGATTATTCTATCCTAGGCCCTGGCCAACATCACTGGCATGAGCTACCCCATGGGTGCCATCTACAGCAAGGTGTTGGAGCTTGGATTCAGTCGAAAGTGCTTGCCAAAGACTAAGAAGGCCTGATTTTGTCAAAGATTCTGAGATGAATGCACCGCAGAAAAATTGGTTGGACAATATGGGTTTGGTTCTCCAGTAGAAGCAAGGTTCAAAGGAACTGCCAAGGCTTCAATGTCGAGGCGATTGTTTACTCAACTACCTAGGTACTGGCTGCGTCGATGTAAATGAACTGGATGGAGACTGAGTCCTGGGGCTCTCAAACACAAAGCAAATCGGGTAATGAAGGTAGCAGGATCCACACAACTGTTGATCAACTTCATCAACACCAGTCTACAGCAGGTGACAATTAGCCCTCTAAATTGTGTTCCGTCTTTCAAGGTTTCCTGCCTTTCATCAAAGCACAAGGAGCTACTAAGTAGCACATAATTAGCCCTTTGTGCAACCTATCTGTCTAAACACTGGAATACACCAAAAATGTACAGTTGTAAAGGAGGCCATTCACTGCTAGGAAATTATATGCGATCACGTTGTTCAGTTGATGAACGATGGACTGCTGACCAGAGTTCTGAATGCCTTACACCTTGACTTGAACTCCTCAGCAACTCCATAGTCATCCAGCATAGATCCATACTGCTTCTTCGGGTACCAGTTGTGATGACCTGTGTATCTGTACCATCTCATACCGGCAGACAACTCTAGCTAGGCATTCCCTCTTCACAGTAATAAGCCAGATCCAATAACCCCTTCTAGATCCATGCACCTAACTGTCTACTGTACTAGTAATCACGAGCTTCGCCCTTACGGTTCCACCCCAAGCGTTCACGACATCAGCAGTCTGTGTCGATCAAGTGGCGTTCGTCGTATATGGAACCTTTCTCTGTTCTGTGAACTAACCACCCAACAACATAGCCACGATATTGTTGTGAGTCCTGGTGATATTAACAGCTGACCAAAGTCCTGTTGCTCTGAGGTTTGTAATGGGGGCACTGTGCCGAACCAGCACCTTGACTGACACTAGCCATCAAAGTTGAACCATATGGCAGTCTTTCCAACATGCACGAAGGGCTCCATGCGTCACTCGGCTCGAGACTGATTAATACAAGCAGCCTGTCTAGCCTAAGCTAACTGGGATATAAGGTCACCGTTTGAAGGCGCCACATATTACCGTTTATATGTATGGTGATTATCAGAAACGAAACCACCATGAGGCTGTGATGGCACGTTATGATAAGGCTTTTTTGCCGGTTGTAGCTTCACTTTGATATGCAGGGATCACTCGAGAAGACAGACCTCCGAGAAGTCCCAAGGATTAATTAGGCAGGTTGACTCCACCGACCTTGTAACGTTGTGTTGACGGTTCTCCTCAAGTTACCCCGCCCCGAGTATACTCTCTTCCAGGTACCATAACCATCTTATCCTCCCCTGTAACGTCTTATTCACCTGTCCTCAGAACCTTGGAGAATGCTTTGCGCTAACCTTGAGCTCCCTAGCACCAGTAGATATCGGTATACTAAATGCCGACACAGATATGCAAGGGAATATCTCCGACTGGTTGCCTGACCGACCCGGGAGGGGATGAACCGCAAAGCTTGGATCGGCAGCGACGAACCATCCAAAAGCTTGTAATTGGCCAATCTTTGGGAGATCAGGGACGGGGAAAGAGACGGGAAGAGTAGGGAATGATGGGCTTCTGTAAAAGAACCCGGGTGCCTTCAGTGTTTCATTTCACACAACTCGCCACCTCAAAATTGTCTTCTTCTGCTGACTTATTACACAGCATCATTGAATCAATATCAACAGAATGCCTCAGAAGTCCCCAACAGGCACATGGCTACCTGCCTGGGTACCTCAATCCACACTCGTCTTATCTGTTCTGCTCGTGCTGTGCTCAGTAGTGCAGTCAGCGGTAAGTAGGTCCCCTTTCTCAAGCCCTCTGGTTGTACTCAATGTCCTCGAGTCACACAATGGCCGCTAACAGTCCAGACCGGTGGATATGATGGCTCTATGCTCAACGGGCTCAACATCTTGCCATCATATACGGACTACTTTCGACTCAATGCCGCCACCACAGGCCTCAACACCGCGTCCGTCTTCATCGGTGGTTTCCTTGGGCCCCTCGTGGCAGGTGTGATCTCGGACCGGCTTGGCCGACGCCCTGCCATCTTCTGGGGCTCCCTTATCACCATCCTCGGAATCATCATACAGACTGCCGCACAGAATGTTGCTATGTTTGTTGTCGGGAGAATTATCCTCGGCTTCGGCTCCGCTATTTCCGGAATCGCCGCGGGCGTCTACCTTTCCGAGACCTTCCCTAGCAGGTGGAGAGCCTGGGGCGTCGGGCTTCTGAACGACTTCTACTACGTGGGTGCCCTCATTGCTGCCGGTATCACCCTTGGCACCGGTCAATGGCAGTCAACATGGGCTTGGAGAGCTCCATCGTTGTTCCAGGCCATCTTCTCCATTATGTGCATTGTGATCTTGCCTTTCATCCCCGAGTCACCACGCTGGCTTGCATATCAGGGATTGTATGAGGCGTCTCGCACAGTCGTTGCCCAGACCAATGCCAACGGCGACCCGAATGATCCTGTCGTCATCACAGTGTACAAGGAGATAATCGACACCTTGGCGTGGGAGAAAAAGGAAGGAAGAGGATTGAGCCCGATCGAAATCGTCAAGACGCCAGTAGCCCGGAAGCGGCTGCTTATCGGGATGAGCCCCGGCCCGTTTTCATGCATCGCCGGCAATATCATAGCATCTTATTACCTTGGGCCGGAGCTAGACACAGCTGGTATCACAGACACTAACGACCAGCTCAAAGCAGTGAGTGAGAATAAGAGCAAATGCTCGTAACAGTACTGACATGTATAGAATGTCGTACTCAATGTCTGGTGCCTTACATGCTGCTTGGCCGGGACACACCTCGCCGCAAGATGGGGCCGGAAGCCAACAGCTATCCTCTCCCAGTGCCTGCTCGTGGCTTGTCTTTTTATCATCGGCGGCCTTTCAAAGAAGTATGCTGACAACCCAGATGGTGCTTCCTCGAGTCTTGTGTATGGCGACGTTGCCGTCATGTTCCTATTCCAAGGATTCTACTCCATTGCGTGGACACCGCTACTCTACCTGTATCCGCCCGAGGTCATGAACTACTCAATCCGTGCCAACGGTCTTGCTTTCTCGTCGCTCATGTTGAACGTTCTCGCGTGAGTTGCGCTTGCTCATTCTCTTCATGCTGCGGCTGATTATCGGACAGGCTCATCTTCGTCTTCATCATGCCCATCGGTCTTGCTAATATCGGCTGGAAGATGTATATGGTCAATGCTTCGTGGGACATTGTCATCATTGTGCTTATTGTAAGTCTTGTGGAAGCATGTTGTGTTATAATTTCTCACCTTTTATCAGGCTGTGTTCTGGGTCGAGACCAAAGGCAAGACCTTGGAAGAAATCGACGCAATTTTTGAGGGCGAGAAACATTCCAACGTCCCGGATGTCGAAAAGGTTCGCCGTGGCGAGCAGCTTGTCAAGGTTGAGGCTCTGGATGAGAAAGCATCTACGAGGGAAGGGTGAATGTCACTTGCTAGCCTCTTTAAAACTCCACTCAGTTATCCGGTCCTATAGCAAAATACCTATACCAACAGCCCCCACTACCATCCCAGGCCACCATTTCACCCAACCAAACCACTCAATTCCTATACAATGACTAATTATTTACTTATATATATTTTAATAACTACTTAATATTTCTAAATTCTAACTTTATTTAAATTAAGTTAAATAGTTAAATAGTTAAATAGTTAAATAGTTAAATAGTTAAATAGTTAAATAGTTAAATAGTTAAATAGTTAAATAGTTAAATAGTTAAATAGTTAAATAGTTAAATAGTTAAATAGTTAAATAGTTAAATAGTTAAATAGTTAAATAGTTAAATAGTTAAATAGTTAAATAGTTAAATAGTTAAATAGTTAAATAGTTAAATAGTTAAATAGTTAAATAGTTAAATAGTTAACTAGTTAAATAGTTAAATAGTTAAATAGTTAAATAGTTAAATAGTTATATAGTTATAAAAGAAAGCTTTATATTAAAAACCCCTCCTCGCTACGCTTACTTCTTACCCGAACAACCCTTTAGGTACACGTATTTTATCAACAAGCAGGGACGATGTTACTGGTGTAGGTGTTATGTTTGAGCGGGCGATGGGCAAAGTGTTATTCATTGACGAAGCCTACCTCTTGCAGTACACTGGTGGAAGTGGCGCCATTGAGGAACTGGTAGACTGCATGACCAAAGATCGGTTTATCGGCAAGCTCGTGGTGGTCCTCGCCGGCTACACCGAGGATATGGACAAGCTCTTGGAAGAGAATCGGCATCCGGAGCCGGTTTCCAACTAGCGTGCCTTTCCGACCAATGAGGCCAACGGTCGCCATCGACCTGCTTGAGGTTCTTGTCAAAAAAGCTGGCCTTGAAATCAGTGGGCTCAATCCTGGAGACAAATGGCGTGTTCGGGCTGTGAAACTCTTCACCCAGCTCGCCGCCACCAGGTCATGGGCCAACGGCCGGGATATTGAGGGTCTCGCACGAGCATTGATCCAAAATACATACAGCAACCATAAAGCCAAGGGCCAGGATGGAACCAATTCTGGCGCACAAGATGATTGCATGAAGATCAAAGGGACAGAAGTCGCAATTTTACTAGCGAGCCGATTGGCGGAAGCTCTCCAGGCCGACGAAAAGAAGGCGGCACCTGAGGAGCATGAGCGTGTGCAGGTAGCCGCAGGAAGGATCTGCCACTCACCAAGGACAAGATGCACAAATCAAGAACAAAAGTCAATGGCGAAAAGACCCGACAGTTTCAGATAGATCATATGTCTTTTCTTAGTATCATCAATTCCATGTCGTAATGAGATCGCTGTTGGCGTCCCGGGAACCATGTGGCAAGGGCTATTCATACTTTTGACAAGGCCATCAGTTTTGTGGTAATTTTACTCGGCATGAACCATCGAAACTGGGACCTGGCATCTCCAGAGTGGCAAAAGGTACGGCAAGAATGAAGACAGAATTCTAGTTCTGGCAGACAGCCAAGATGTTCAAGTCACTTATACCCACGGAAAGTAGATCAAAGCTCTTCTTATAAAAAGGTACGTATAATCTTCGAGTCTGTGACGCGCTCTGTGCTGGTGCTGTCGTGTTGGCATACCTACCAGCAGGGATTTAACTTGAAAAGGATATACTCGGGGCCCTGACTAGATACAATAGACTGGAATATAAAGTTGTATTAGATAGATACCGTCCATAGATAATCTAGAAACGTATTTTCACTTAAACTGGTGTAATATTAAGCACTGTCTCCAGAAATATCGTACCTTATAGTATGACATCAAGCCAGCCCCGACGCCTTGACTTCTATAATTATGAGTCCCTTCTTTATTTGGCCATGTCACAGCGTTTCTATTCTACGCCTCAGCATTAGCAGGACAAGTCATCGGGACAGGGCCCTCGACAGAGACCGTGTCCACCACCACCACCGCCTGCTTCTCGCCCCCTCGCACGGAGGCAGCCTCCACGTGCAGGTGGACTCACAGAAGTGATGGTTAGTGAGGGAGTATCCATCCGAGACTAGACACCTCTTATAGCTCTGATGCGAGAATTTCAAATGGCCACCGTGGGTCATGCCGGGACAGAGGTGCCGCGGCATTCCAACAACACTTTCTGTTTCTGAAGGTCCGGGGTGGGTAGGGTGGTCTAAAAGTGAATCTAGTACTTGATACCATTAATAGAAATATTTTTACAAACCAAGTATAATAAAGTACTATATTGAAATTTGGCAGCATGGTGTGGGTAAGACTGAAAGTCCCTAGAAATTCACGAGGCACAGATAGAAGGCAGAAAGAAGATCAGGTGATCCAGATGACTTCCCTTTCATTCTTGGTGAGTAACACGAATCAAAATCTTCTGCCTCACATAATATCTCGCACGAAAGTGTTTCACTGTACGCTCCCAGAACATAGCCCTGGCTAGCCACCTGGGGCCAATGAAGCAGGTCATCTCATATAATTCGGAGCTCTGTCATATCCTCAGCTGTTTTACCCGTGAATACCTCGTCATATCTGACACCATGCACATACGCCGTACTGACAAGCCTGAACCTTTGTCCGCCGTCGACGTCTCGTTCCAAAACAAGAGGCACAGGCCCGTTCCTGACGACCCATATCTCATCTCCAGGCCTGATAGACTTGCTCCCGTTTCCGAGCACCCCCTCACCAGTGACGAATATGTTGAAAATCTTTTGCATTACTTCCACCTCGATCGAAAACGACTGGTGCGCTGCGTGTGTGCTGCCGTGGTAGTACGTTGGGATTCCAATGCGTGAGTCTGCTGGTGAATTGACGCTAGCTTCAGTCCCGGCCAACTCGTTTATAACGGCCAAGGCGTCCCGAATAGTCGAGGATAAGTCTGTGTGCATCGAGGGCTGCGATGTCAACAAGGCCGCCAAGTCCTCTGCGAAGTGGGAGTTGGTCCTGCCGTGGAGGATCAATTTAGTCAAGAGATACTGCATAAACTGAGCGATGTCGTCTAAGCGGCTCCGTAGCGACCCGGGCGAGTCATCAGCGATCCGGAATATTGTCCCGAGTAAGGCTCTCTGGATCGGCTCCCCGGTGAGACAGTACCTAGATCCCAGGATGGTTAAGAGTGATTTGATATTCCGAGTCCATTCGTCCTTCGCATATGCCTCGGCAATGACACCAATGCGGACGCCGTATAGGTGAAGAGTCTCGCCAACTGCCCGGGGAAGGCAACCATCTAGCCGTCCTCTGTAGTCCTCGTCCGAGATGGCAGGGTTTTGAGGGGCTCCCGTATCATGCCGACCTGCGAACGACTGCCCCTCGCCACCAGAAGACGAAAACTCATGAAATCCACTCTGCGACACATCGTCCCAGTTAGGGACCCACGACGGCCAGAACGCCCCCTGGGCAGAACCACCATGCCGATGTCCCGCATAAGAAAGTATATCCAAGCACCGCCTGTGAACATAATACCTCGCAAACGACACAAAAACATCCCGATCACTACCCCCAAGGTCCCGCACGAGCAGCTGGACCTTATTCTTAGGCACGAAGCGGGTCGCGACCCCCAGCAGGCCAAGGACCTTGTCACGGGGGAACGTCGTCTCCTGGCCGCGCGCGCACTGCAGGATGCCCAGGAGGTAGGACAGTCTTACGGACGAGACCTCGTCCCTGGTGGTGGTGGTGTCGGAGGCGAATGCCTGCAGCTGGACGTGGTTGATGCGCGTGCGGATGATCTCGAATATGTACCCCGGGTTCCACCGCGGCCAGACCGGTTCGTCCTGGCCGCCGCCATTTGGGTCGGGATTCTGCTTGGCGCGGAAAAACGAGGACAGCAGCCAGCGGTCCAGGTTTAGGACGTCGCTGAAGTTGAAGAGTCTCGGTCCGCAGAGCATGTATACCTTCTGGGCAAGCATGACTTCCTGGATCGTCCAGAGGCGCGAGAACCACCGCCTCGCAAAGAAGAAATCCACGTACGACCTCCAGAGGTCGTTCCAGGTCGACCCGCTCGGGGGTGAGAGGTTGAAATTGTCGAGCCAGAATTGGGGGTTGAGCAGGTCTCCAGTCTTGAATATCAAGTCCAGTATGTATGGAGACTGGCGGTGGCGGCTGCGCTCTTGGACTAATGCTTGGTACACGGTGTCATGCCACCACTGGAACTTGGACATGTCCTTTTGGCATGCCCCGAGCCAGACGTTGGTCTGTCTCGCCATGGTGTAGATGTCGGCTTGGAGGAGGATCTGCTCTGCGACCTCGGCTGGGTCCTGCTGGTTAATACAGATGGCATCGATCCATAATGGCACGCGCTGTTTGATGTGCCATGCGGCATGGTATGTGAAGTAATCGGACAGGTTGGGTGCCAGCTCTATGCTGCTGTAGTCGGGTGCGTGCTTCGGTGTGGACCCCGGCTCTTCTCCAAGATGGCAGTCGTCCAGTGAACACTTTTTCTGATTCGTCGCTATAAGCAATTCACAAGGGGGAATAATGCGACTTGTATCATCCGGTTCGGCAGACCCCTCGCGAATGGCCGGGCCCCAAGTATACGACAGCGCAACATATCTGCGCTCAAAGTCCTCGAGGTTGACGACTTCCAGACGACCGGTAATGAAGTGGCGGGTGTGGTCTAAAGACTGAGGCTCGAGGAATAAGAGCCGAATAGTCCTTGATCCCGTAAGGGGTGAATATTCATGAGGCCAGGGGCGAGAAAAGTGAGACCATGTTGGCGGTAGTGAGATGGACCTAGGCCTGTGTGAGGCCATCGTTGGTCTGCAGCTGGTCGAGATGCAGATCGTGCAACTGTGCGGTTCTGCTCTGCAGATGAGGTCCGCATGCGGGCTGAGAAGACCCACTCTGTACAACTTGAGAGGTCTGGTGATGATGATGGTTTAACGTCACGTCTAACTAGGCCTTCATTTACAGATTTCTCATGTATCCTTCCTAGCACTAGCTGTCCCCCCTTTCGAGAATCTCTGACGGGAGGATTGGGTACCTCCGTTTCGCTTGACAAAGGAAAAATTCTATTTTTAATTTCGGCTAGATATAGGAAAAACCACAAGGGGAAAAAACCTATATCTAGAGGTAGTGGCAGAGCCGAATACCTACCATAGTATTTAACATGGTCGGCTGTTCCATGGGTCTGTTTCGGGCCCCCAGCAGGAATCGAACCTGCTACCTTTACAAGGTACACCCAGCGCGTGACCAATGCGCCATGGGGGCATTTGAGAGGTCTGGGAATGAATGGGAGGCGAGTGGAAGTGGGGGGCTGCAAAGGATTGGCGCCTGGCTGACAACATGGGCCGCAGGCAGGGTTCCCAGTGGTTTGAATTGAGGGGGCCCACACTTTCTCACATGTAGATTGTACCCACATCGGCAGGTCACATCCGACACTTGGGCAGGTTCACTATTAGGAGTTTGAATGCAGTCCACAGTGTTGAACAACAACTGGCCGTGACATAGTTTATTCATCGTTGCCAAATTCAATGGTATTCAAGGTTAATACGGCGGTTTACTAATGAGTTCATACAAGAATTACCACATATAGTATTACCATTGGCACAAGGCTGAGGCCATATACCCACGTACTGTATTGTCCTTTTATTGTAATTGGCATTGTATTCTCTCTGAGCGCTGGGTCTAGAGCGCTCACCACTGTATGAAGGCACCACGTACATTTTATATGTATGGGGGGTTGGAAACGCAACCGCGCGCTAATCTGAAAAGAACACTATAAAAGACTGAAGGAATTGTGCGAACTCCCAGCAATTGTGACATGAAACCCAGGTGTGCTCTGACCCCCATCCACATTACTGAGGCCTTTCCGGCGCCCGTTTTCGAATTCGGAGTCTGCCCATTATTTCAGGAAGGAAGAGATTGCGTGCTGCTGACTGCGATCCGACAGCTTCCCTTCTTCGTGCGGCCTCAGCCGTAGCCTCCTGCTCCTTTATGCATTTTGCCTTCCTCTCTTCCCATTCTTTGTCAGCCATCCTCAAGTAGGTGTTAGTATACTTGACCACACCCTTTCGAACTATTTCACACAGCTTTTCTGAGGATATTTCAATCTGTGGCCATTTAACGTCTTCTGCCTCTTTTCCCTCTTCCTTGCAGATCGTATCAATATCGGCCTGACTCACAAAATCCTTTAAGGAGAGTTTGAGTGGAGGGCCTGCCGCATGATTCTGAAAAGACTTTTGGAACAGCTATTGTAGGCTTGTGTGAGAAAGGCAATGGCGTTGAGGGGTATACATGGCGGGGATTTGGCACAAAAACATACCCGATTCTTGATTGCTCGTTTCCCAGCGTCCAGCCGCCATACTGAGAAGTAGGCACTCTGGGCAGCTGCTTTTAGGTCCAGAAACATATGAAGTTCAGGCTGTGACTGTAGCTTTCCTTTCTCGTGGTTTAATTTGTTTCTCAGCCACTTCCCCCGTACAGCCTTCTGCTCTGCATACATGTCATTCAGGTTGATGCCGATGACAGTTTGTACCTGATCGTTGAAGTGCCCGAGATATTGTATAGACTTTTGCTCGGCATCCTCATTTGTCTGACTCCATCCTACTTCTATCACCAACTCGGGGACATCCAACCCGAATTAGAATGACGCATCTGGCCTCAATTTGGTTGTATATTTGTACGGTCCAGCGCTTGGAATGATCTCCGAGGATCCTACTGGGTCTATTCCCTCGATGATCCTCGAGATGACACTATCAGATGTCTTCTGTGCGAGGCCCTTCACCAGATTATGAATCTCAGTGCTCAATATCGCCCCACAGGTGTCGTGGAGGCGGTTGACCATGTGGATGGTGAGCCGTTTCTCCGCTGGCGAGTAGCTGAACCTAATCAAATGTGAGCTATCAGTGAACATAGCAACTCGAGTATGTGCTTACCGGATTCTTCTCCAAATATGCTCATCAAGTTCCGCCTCAGCCTCGATACGGTCAATCAGCTCTTGGTATTCAATCTCGTTCAGTGCTGTCGATCTGGAGCTCAACCCAATGTGATGGCCATCAGAGAAGTCCTTGACCATGCGGAATGCGTTGTCCACTCGGGCCTTGGACCTGCGAGCCTCTTCCGCCTCTCGAGCCCGAGCCCGGCTGTTTGGCGTGGCCAGAATGTCGGAAAGCGGACGAAGAGACCGCCATGTTGTACTGGGGAATACCGAGATGCGCGAAGTACGATCTTCGAGGTCACTTTGGTCCAAGTCGTCTGAGTCGTCGTCGCGGAAGGATATCTCCGGCGAGTTGACGGCGGGGGCGGCTGTCTTAGGAGTTGTCGGTGTGACGTCTAGGGTTCTTGAGAGGAAGTGTGTCCCTGGGGTAATCTTTTTTCTACCTAAACGCCAAGAATGGGCGTCTTCTGGCGACTGTGGTGGAGTGGGAAGGTGCAGAGATGTAGATGGCTCAGGCGTGGATGGGTCTCTCCTAGGATTAGACGAAGCCAGGCCAGCTTGTGGGCCACCAATTCCTCCGTGGATTTTGTTGTCCTCGAGTTCTAGCCTAAGGTCGATTGAATGTGAGCCCCCAAGAGGCGGTGGTGGATCACCTGACCACAAATCGGGTTCTATAGGCGAAGATGGCGAGGGATGGCCTGGCCTTGGGTGTGATGGAGGCTGCTCGGTCCAGGACAGCTCTGGAGAGTGGTCCTTTTCTGAGCGCATCCTCAGGCGCTTTGCGAGAACTACACTATTCAAAGGACCGGTCAATTACCTAAGGATTCAAGGGAGTTATAACATTGTTTAATACTGCTCAGCTCCTTACCCCACAGGACAGACATATGGGCGCGAAGATATTCGTCACACAAACCAGACCGGTCTAGCGATGATGGTGTTCTCGGATCCTGGTGGCACTGCGGGCATCACAATGATTGCATGCCTGTCGCATAGAGTGTAATAAGTATTAGCAAAGGCAATAAATCAGGACAATGGTCAGAGGATGTGTGGGAGTATATGAGGCACACATTCTGCATGTATCTGCGCTAGGCCGCAAGATAGTGACTTCCCTAAATATTAGGTGTGGGTGGCTATCGCTTAGGTTATATAGCTACTTATTCTCTTCACTTCCGAAACTAGATATTAACTCCCTTAGGTTAATTATACTTATTATTAGGTAAGAATAATATAGTTTATAATTAAATAAATTATTTTATATTTATATTTAATATTATCTTTTATATCGAAGTATTATATAAATAAAAACACGACTATTCGAGTCACTTAAAATATATAGTGATAATTATATAATTCTAATAATCGCTAGCAGCTCCCTAAAATCTAACTCATGGAATAACATATTATAAACATGTTTCCTAGTTATATAGCACGAATAATGTACCTTCTAGGGCTTATAAGCCAGCCCGCTACTTAGGACATCGAAACTATCGAGTCTCACCTGCCTTCCCATAAGTATATTAGCTGTTAAAGTGCAAAATACATTCAATTATAGACATAGGATAGGGCCTTGGCATTCGCTTTGTGATAGGTAAGGCATAACAGCACTAATTACACGCAGTGGCGGGGCTTGCAGACGACCTACAACCAAGGTAGACTCCCAGCATTTACCGCTACTACACATGTGGAGGTACTCGACATCCCGCGAGAAGTCTCGTCTAATAACTAAGAAACGTGTGTTCTTCGTAAATTAGCAGCGCATCCGTCGCACGGGCGATTGCAGTTTCGAGACCCTCGTGAGGCCGCCATGTCGTGTATAAGATGGGTGTGTGCTCATCGGGCTGCGTTGCGGGGTTTCCACGAGGCAGATATGTTCTTCATTAATATCACTATTAAAGTAAATCAAGTTTGATTCAGCATCTTGCTTCTAATATTCCCCTCTAGAGAACAAAGTAGCCGGATTTTTTCTCATATTAGTTTGATTCCAAACCTTCACGCGCACAAAGTTTCCACCGTTCCGCGCTTCAT